CTCGCCGTCCNGGGAACCCCGCCCCCCCCCTTACGCCTAGCCTGCTTAGCCCGGCTGACCTGCCTGCCTGCTAGCCTGCCCTGGCCGCCTGGTTACCCCAGCTCGGCCCGACGTGGCCTGACCTGTCGTGGAATCCTGTCTGACACGAGGCGGCGGGCGCGGTGCAGCCGGCCAACCAGGCCAGGCCACGCTCCCCGCGCCCGGCCCTGACCTGGCTGGCTGGCTGACCCGACCCCTCGCTGTTGGCTGTTGCCTGCTCGCTGCTCGCCGTCACGGCTTCCTCCATCACCTACACCGTCTCCTGCTCGCCCCACATCCTGATCGTCCGCCAAGCTTCCGGGGTTGCAGCATCCCTTTGTCGGCCTCGCGCCATCCTCGGCGTATCCATCCACATCCTCGACCCCACTGGGCGTCCCACCGCACAGGCAGACACACAAACAAACAAACGACCGGCCACCCGCCCCGCCACCGTCCCCTCGCACGCCACGCCCGACAATGGCGCCATTGTCACGCCTCGTCGGCGCGCTCCCCGCATCGCTCCTCGCCCTCGTCGTCGTCGCCATCTCCACCGTCCTCCCGGCGGGCGTGCACGCCCAGACGTTTGGCATCGGCGACCCCAACAACGTCACCTCCCTCTCCGGCACCTGGTGCACCGGCGCCTGCCACGTCGTCACCGGCCTCCAGTTCTACAACCCCATCTCCGAGACCTTCACCTACCCGCTCTCGGCGGGCCAGTCCTACAGCTTCACCGACGACGGCTTCTGGGAGCAGGCCCTCTACCTGTACAGCACCAACCGTACGTCGTCCCGACCCCGGCTCGACCTTGCGTGCCGACCATTGCCGCCCTGACTGACTCTTCCTCTTCCCAACGTCGCCGTGTCCCTCGCGCTCCCTCCCTTCCCCTCCCCCTCCCCACAGCCTCGCAGCCAAACTGCGTCTCGGCCCAGCTCATCTGGCAGCACGGCACGTACACGCTCAATAGCAACAACACCCTCACCCTCAACCCCTTCAAGGGCGACGGACGCCAGCAGATCTCCGACTACTGCGCCCAGGTCTCCAACGTCGTCCAGTCCTACACGCAAAAGGAGGACATGAACGGTTTCGAGATCCACCTCGATACCCACTACGGCCAGCCCGCCTACTACCTCAAGCTCTACGAATTCGACGGCGCGCCCAAGCCCATCATGTGGCAGACCTACAACCCGCCCCAGATGCTCCCAACCGAGCAGCTCCACCAGGTCGTGAGTTGCGGCGGTCTCGCCTGGCGGATGACGGACGCGCTGCTGACCTCCTTGCCCTTCCTTTCTCTCCTGCCAAACGCCCCCGCCTCGCCCCGCAGGTCATCGGAGAGCTCAATGGCGCATGACTGCTCGCACCGCGCTTCTCAACCACCTTGCTTGCTTGCTTGCTCAACCCAGATACCGCACCCACCGTCTCAGGCCGTTGCCGCCGCCGCCGCCGCAGCAGCCTCGCGCTCTCGGGTTGACTGGCCCGCGCACGGCCGTGTAGATACCCCCAACGAGACCCTCACGGACCTTTTCTTGCCCTTTCGCCGCTTGCTTGGCCTCACCCTTCTTGCTCCGCTGCCTTTGGCCTCCTGCCCGCATCTGCTCCCCTGCATCCTCGGCCTCTTTTCGAAATCAGCAATGGACCTGTCTCGACGCGCGTCGCTCTTTGCTCGCCTCGTCGGCCTTGGGCCTTGTTTGCCTGCGTCGCGCTCGTGGCCGCATCCAAGGGCCAGCTCCGAGAGGCCTCGCTGTCGCGGTCGCTAGGCCGTCCGTGTCCTCTTGCTACGACGCGGCTTGATCGACGACGACTCGCCCATCGAGTCCGTCTAGGACGGGATCACCGTCGCCTCATCTGCCGGCGCCGTCTCATCCACGTCGTCGGCGACGAGAAAGAGACACGCCAAGTGTTCCAATTCATCGTCGAGGTCTCCGATCCGCGCCAGCCGAACACGCTCACGGCGAGAAGGGTACTCTGCCTTTGCCACAAAGAAGGCGTAGCGCTCGCGCTTAGGCAGCATCTCGTTGGCCGCACAGAGGCTGAGCGTTCGGAGGCGATCCGTACCCTTGAGCGCTGTCGGTCCAAGTCGAAGGAGATCGCCAGGGCCGCACTCGTGGTCGAGGAAGCAGAACAAGTGCTGGTCCTCCTCGCCTTTCTACTGCGGCCTCTGACATCGTCGCGAAAAGCTCGAGGCATCTTGTCCATCGCCGCCATGCCTTCACCTCGCCTTGACCGGTCTTTGCTTCGCCAGGGCGCTGCCACTCAAGCCTTTCATTGTCAGCCTTGCCTCTGCTAGGCAGTCTTTACCCTCTTGCTGCGACGCGACTCGGCCGACGGAGATCCGTTCGACGTGCCTGAGGCTTTGTGCTGTCCCTTCACATCTGTCGAGACGTCGGCCCTCCTTGGTTCTCTTTGCGCCTCTATGCCCTCGCCGGCAATCACTGGGGCTAGCTTGGCCAGTTCTTGTTCCAGCGCCTCGAGCTGCTCCAGACGCTTGCGCTCACGACGCTGCGGGTACTCGTCCGTCTTTGTGAGCAAGACGTACGACGACGCGCCCCGTCCACCGGCCCTGGCGGTAAATGAGAAAGCTTCGCTTGGCTCGGGGCTCCAAGACGGTGCCGTATTCTCCTCGACGCACGTCTTTACCAGCTTTCGGGCCGATCGCTGGGTCGAGAAGCCCCGGAGGACGGCCGTGCGCTCCGCGCTACGCAGGAAAGCCTGGACGCCGAGGTGCCTTTGAAAGCTGGCACTGCTGAAGCGCCAGACCTCCTCGCCCTCGATCGCCTGCGAAGCCTTGGCGTGTTCTCCTTGCAGCCACGCGCGGCGACATTGGAAGAGTGGCTTCAGAAGTCCTTGGCGGGCCGCATAGACCTCAGGCTGCTCCTCTCGGGCCTTGAGCAGCTCGACGATGCAGGACTTTAGGGCGGCCCCGCCGCACTCGAGGTGGCGTTCGACGAGACGTTTGCACACCGCCAGCTCGGGCAAAGCCAGAGCGACTCGCCACACCTTCCTCTGGGTGGGCGACTCTAGAAGTCTGGCTCCAACTGGCTGTGTGCCCTGCACGACCGCCGTGACGAGCAGGCTTTGGACGGCCGGCGAGTCTTCCCTCAGCGATATTGCCAGAGCCCGCACCGTCGTATACAGGTCCTTTGTGAACCCCTGGAGGATGGGAATCTCGACGACCTTCCAGGCCTTGGGGGCCTGTGATAGGCTGACGAGGTCGGACCAGCCGGTCGATCCGTCCAGGAGATCTTCGGCCGTTTCAAATAGCTCCGTGAAGAGGACAAAAAGCTCTCGCCTGAAGGGCCGCGAAAGCAGCTCCGTCGGCAGCTCCTGACGAAATAGGGAAGCAGGAAAGGGGCGCCGATCAAGCTTGCTCAGGGTCTTTAGGTGGTTGAGTTGCTCGACAAGCCTGACAAGGGAGGGTTTTGTTGCCAAGAGCCTCAGGTTTGACGACATTTCGCCACGACATGCTGATTGTAGCAGCTCAACCGATCGCGCTGGCCAAGCGATCAGGATGCGCTTGTGGTAGCGCACTTCCTTCGCCGAAAGCTCTGGTTCGTTGTAGTACTGCGAGTACGCGGTCCTGCGACGGCCATGCCACAATGAGGCGAGCGACACACGTTGCGGGTTGAGTACGTCTTGGTCGCCAAAAAAGTAGGGGAGGGGATCTGTGCCCGGTACAGGTTCACCGTTGAGCTTGATCAAGCGCCCGACAATGACACTGCGTGACCAGAACTCCGGCGACGATGTCCACGAACACTCATCGCTGCAATCTGCCTTGGCGATGAAGAAGGCGTAGCGGCGGTCCTTGGGGAGAGAGTCGTTCGCCGCGCAGAGGCTGAGCACGCGATGCCGATCGATGCCCCTGATACCCGCTGGGCCGAGTCGGAGCAGGTCGTGTCGCTCGCATTTCTCGTCGAGGAGATAGCAGAACCGTCTCTCCTGGTCGGAAAGCTGACCAAGCCTTGCCGCCATCGCCGTTCGAATGCCTTCTTCGAAGGAATACGCCGTCTGCACGCTGCCCCGTGGCCAGCAGATCGCATAGACCAGCAAGAGCTGAACGCCCTCCGTCACCCTCGTGAACTCGGACTCCGCCTTGACATCGAGGACGGCATAGTGGCAAGCGTACTGCGTGGTGCCTGCAGAGGCGCCAAAGTCGTGCACCACCGGCGACGTGTCCTCGTAGACGATCAGGTGCCCGCCATTGTGGGCAGATGGGAGCTGTACGATCAGGGTCGCGAATTGGCCATCGACACTGCCAAACTCGCAGAGCTGCTGCGAGGGCCCGCCGGCTGAGAATAGGAGCAGCTGCTGTAGGTCCAATACCAGCTCGACTCCAGGAAAGGCCAGGTGCTCTGCAATCACCGGTGCGAGCCGTGCCAGCCCAGCCTTCCAGGCAGGGTTCGAGAAGGCGATCTCAGACGCTTCGAGTTGCAACAAGTTCTGAAGGCTTGGTTCGCTCGAGTCATCGAAGCTGCTGCACTCGCGCAGCTCCGAGCTGCAACGTGCAGCCAGCCGATCGGCTTCGGTTTTGTCGACGAGCGGCAGCGTGACGGGACCGTGATCCTGGATGGTGAGACCGGGCAACGCTGGCAGAGGTTCGGCGACCCCTTAGAAAGTGAGCTTGTCAAGGTGAGACTGTGACTGCTCCGCTAGCAGAGCGCCAAGCTCGAACAGAGGCCCGCTGTTCTCGCCAACCGGATGGACCGGAACATCTGACATCGTGCTTTCTCCACTGTCCGAATCGACCCAGCCACCGTAGATGATGTGGTCGTCGAAGTGGTCAGAAGTGTAATCGAAGGCTTCGGCATCCTTGTCGGACACCTGAGAAGAGGGCATCTTGACGTCTCTCCTCGTTGGACGCAAAGCGGCGGGAGCCAGAAGAAGAGAGGCAGTGGGAAAATATCGCGAAAAAAGAGGAGGAAAATCGCGCCTGATGCAGCAGATGGAAGACGAGGAGATGGTGGTGGTGAGAGGGAAGGAGGGACGAACTCCTCGCCCACGCAGTAATCAACCTCCTCTCCAAGGCCAGCGGACGGTCTGGCCCGGGATTCCGCTCTGGCAGGGCGTGAACTTTCATCTCGCCCCGTGGCCGGGGGCGCGGAAGCGGCTTTGCTCGGTTTCCGCCTGCGCTACGCTACGCCCCGGTTTGAGGCTGTTCCGCCTCGTCCGTGAGCTACACACCGACCCTCGAACACCAAAGTGGCCAGGTCCGCCTGGTCATACGTGTGGACCAACGCTGGCTGCTAGCTCGCGCGCGCGTAGCGACGAGCGGAACGGGTCGATCAAAGCACCGCATGGGGTCGCCCTCGGCATCAGTTTGTGTGAGCAGGCAGAAGATGAGTGGCGGTGTATGTGCGTCGTCGTCAAGGGGGTCAAGCAGTGATTGTGGTAGTATTGGTACATGGTCAACGAGAATGCTTCCCCTCGCTGCGGGCCGCCGCACGACACCAGCATCTCAATGCACACCACGGCAGATTCGGATTGACAGATGCGAGCCAGAGCATCGAAGCTCGGAGGTGGCCTGACCTGCCTCGTCCGACTCGTGGGCAGCTTCGCCATTTCGTGCGTGTGCGGGTACAGGTACATGACAGTGGTATGGTACAGAGAGGGCCGGCGCGGTGTCGCAGCGATGCAAGGGGGAAGAGGCAGCCGTACATGGAACAGAGGGCCAGGCACCCGCTGCGTTCTGCCCGCGGCGTCATCGCACGGAATGGTGATTGATCGCGTGTAAGCCTGTCCGGGGGCTCTGCCGGGTTCGTGGCGCGCGGGCGGCGATGCCATCCTGAGAATGCGAGTGCTGCTATGGTGTTGGGCCGGCCGGTGTCTGTCGATTCAATCGCTGGGATGATGGGAAAGTCTCGCTGCTTGCGGCGCAAGGGACGGCGGGCCATGCAGAGGTCGGCCGTGCTGGCATGGAGCCCGGACCGTGGCGAGATGCGGAGTCTCCATCTTGTCTTGTCGTCGTCCGGCCCCTTCGTCGTCGGCTGGATCGGTCTGTACCAGATGTGCCGCGGAGCGGTATCTGGCGCTCCGGGAAAAAGGCGGCTCGGTGATCCATGTTCTTGAAGCCGGGCGGCCAGGTGATCACCACCTCGAGAGGGGCCGGAAGGCGGAGGCCGCTCGAGCGCTACTCGGCCTTGACACCTGTCGTCTCGGTCGTCCTGGCCCTCTTCTGCTGCGGCTCTTCTTCGCCGCGCGCGTCCGCAGTGCTCGGGGCCGCCGTCGCAGTGGATCCGACGGTGCTCTGGGCGACTGCCGTCATCGTCGATGTCGCCGTCGACGCTTCCGACGCGGGCTGGCTGGCTCCCCTTGCAACCTCGGCGCCGTTGGGGGGTGGGGGTGCGAGCGGCGGTCTGCCCTGCCCCTCGACCTCGTCGGCGGGGAACATGGCCAAGAGCCTCGTCTCCTCGTGCTTGAGCGCCTGTAGCTTCGTGTCGTGCTCCTGGTACTGCCTTTGGAGGTGCTCGCTGCCCTTGTTGAAGTCGACGTAGAACTTGCCGCCACTCTGAAAGGCTTTGGCTTCGCAGGTGAAGGCTGGAGGGCTGAAACCGGGCACCTTCCACATGACTCTACTGTGCTCCTTGGGGGCCCAGTAACGCTGCTTGAACGAGTCGAACTCTTGAGCCAATCGGCGGGCCATGTAAATGGACCGGAAGTTCCCCAACCTGGTCCACCGCTGCGTGCTGCGCAGGAACGAATCGACCTCGGCGTTTGGGTGAGCGGCGTCCCATGGGCATCGAAGCGCCTCCGCGTCGGCGTTGACTGGTGGCAGCTGAGCCTGCTGCTTCCTGGTCCACTCGATGCGGCCGTTAATGAGCGGCTCGAGGATCCGGCTGCGGGCTTGGGACTGCGCCGGCGTCCGGTGCTGCGCTATCGTGAGAGCCGTGACGCAGGGTCCGAGGGCCTCGACGTCCGCCTGAACGTGCTTCTGGACTAGGAAGGCGAGCAAAGGCTCGTCGGCAAGGGCCAACGCAGCTCCCCAAAGGCGAACTTGCAGCTTCGAGTCGGACAGCTCGCTCGGCCTGAAGCGGCGACGCTGAAGGATGCCGTCGACCGCGGATTGCGCCAAGGCCGTGGACCCCTCGTCCCCGCTTTTCTCGAGGACAGCGACGGCGAGGCTCAGGTCCTTTGACAGAGCGGCAGCGATCCGGCCTTTGGTCGCGTCCCACGCTTTTGGAGCCCGTGAGAGCCGTAGCAGGTCGTTCCAGCCGTCCTGGTCGTCGAGCAGTAGGCTGGCTCTCGGGAACATGTCCAGGTACAGGTGGAAGAGCCTGGCGTCGAAGTCTCGCGAGAGCAGGCGGCTGAGCATGTCGTGGCGCACCCTGTAGCCGGATTTTGCGGGGTGCCAGGCCTTAAAAGCGAAAGAGGCCTTGATCGCCTCGAGCAGCTCCACGAGCTGGTCGTTCTCCGGCCCGGCCGCCACTAGACGGTGAAAGGCAGCGTCTTCGCCGATGTAGCTGAGTAGGAGCGTGCCTTCAGATCTCTTGGGCCAGGCGACGAGGACGTTGTTCTTGCGAATTGCGCCGCCCGGCAAAGTATGCAGTCTCGAGGACGGGTCCGACGACGGTGCCGGAACTACGGTGTTGCTGCTCTCCCACAGCGCCTGGAACGTCTTGTTGCTGGCCGTGAGGACGTTCTGTCGAGCAAAGAGCGGCGACGTGTCGCCAAATCAAGGGACTTCGAGGCCTTTTTCAGACTTGAGCTTCGAGAGCCGGACGTATGAGTCCGACAGCGGGCTGGCCGTGTCGGATTTGTCAAAGAAGCGCAAGCTTGCATGCAACTCTGCCTCGGCCGTATACCACTCGTATCGCTGGTGTTGCGGCAGGAGACTGTTGGCGGCCAGCAAGATAGACTTTCGCTCGAGGTCGACGCCGTCAAACTCGGTTGCCGGCCCAGGGACCGAGCTCGCATACAGCGGCGGGGGAGGAACAAGGCTCTGCTCGAGGAAGTAGAACAAGGGTCTGTCCTCGTCGTTGAGGCGCCCGAGGGCCTCGGCGACCTGCTTCTTGAACCCGGCGTCGGCCGAGACGGGAGCGTCTGTGCCCGGACGCGCCTCTGGCCAGCATACCGAGTAGACAAGGGTGAGGAGGTGGCCCTCGATCACCGGCATGAACTGGTGCTTGTCGTTGGCGTAGAAGACGGCATAGTGGCACTGGAACGGCGCCGTCCCGGAATCGGCCCCGAAATCATGTGTGATGGACATGCCTTCGTGCTGGACGACTAGAGAGCCGCCCTTATGGACGGAAGGCAGCTGCACCACCATGGTGGCGAGCCTCTGATCCGTGGCGACTTTGGCGTGGAGCGTGTGAGGCTGGTCGCCTTGCCTGAAGAGCACCAGCTGCTGCAGGCTGAGGACGAAGCGCGTATCGGGGAAGCCCATGTCCTCTGCGACCGTTCGGCCGAGCTGAGCGATGCCGGCCTGCCATGCCGGGTTCTTGACTGAAAACCTGGTCGCCGTGAGGCGCAGCGGCGGGCGCGCTTGAGGCGAGGCGGAAAGGCTCGTGCGGCCATCGGTCGGCCTCTGCTGGCAAACAGCGGCGAGCCGCTCTGCATCGGCGGTGCTGACGACTGGAAGGGCGACGAAGCCGAGCCCGTCTATGGACAGGCCGGGCGAAGCAGGAAGCAAGTCCGTGGCGCCACCGACGCTGTACCTGTCGCGTCGCTTTTTGGCGTCGTCGAAGAGCAAGACGCTCAAGTCGTGGAGCGGTCCTGCCTTTTCGCCGACCTCGGTGTGGCGCCTGAGGGGAGGTGGCCTGCACGAGCAATCGCAGCCGAGCCCGCCGTTGTCCTCGCGATAGGCGGCACTCGCGCCCCTGAAGGAATGCGAGCAGAAAACGTACTCGGGCATGTCGTGGAGCTGCTGCGATGCCGTGGGTAGCGCGAGAAAGGGTACGCCGGCGCTGACGCCTCGGGAGGTGGGCCAAATTGGCGAACGGGCGAGGGCAGCGACGAGCGAGGAAGGGGCGCTTCTCGTCGCTACGAAGGGGGCCGCTCGGGCGGCGAGGCAGGGATGGTGGTGGTGGTGGTGATGGCAGTCGAGAAGCAAGCCGAATCCGGCCGGGACGCGCTTTCTGGCTTCCTGACAGGGCCAAGCCAGGCCAGGTCCGGGCAGGTTGGGCTGAGCCTGGCAGGCGCCGCATGCACGTCGAAAAACCCAGCCGTAGCCAGACGACCGCCTGCCCTGCAGGCGAGCCAGCCAGCCAGCCAGCCAGCCAGCCAGGCCCCCTGCCAGCCAGCCAGACGAGGCCCACCCGCCCGGCGCCAACCCTGCATCTCAGCTCGTGTAGCCAACCAGGCCAACTCGCCGCGCCCCTCCGTGCATCCCCTCGCCCTCTCTCGACTGCACGGCCACAGCCTAATGCGAGGCCACGGCCCCACTCAAGCAAGCAAACAAGCAAGCAAGCAAGCAAGCAACGAAAACTCAATTCGATCATGACGCAAAGCGTCGCAGGGCATCGACAACGACGTGGCCCTCGGTTCGTCACGGGGCCAGGTCACGGTCAACTGCGTGCGTGCGTGCGTGCGTGTGTGTGCGCGCGTGTTTGTACAGGTATGATACAGCTCGGCGCGCGCCACGCCACAGCTAGGCGGCCGAGCGCCTCGTCCTCGTCCTCGTCCTCTTGGCAGGAGGGCCGTCGTCGAGCTCATCTCCCTCGCCCCTCGACTGCTTGCCCGACTCCGAAGCCGTCTTTGTCGTCGCCTTCCCGCCCTGCGCTGCCTCGGACCCGGACCCAGATCCGGATGCAGACGTAGGCCTGTGGTCAACCTCTTGCAGCGGCTCGAGCGCCTTCCTCGTAGCAGAGGCGTCCGAGCCGCCGCCTTTCTGGACTTGGCCGTTGCCATCGTCGCTGCCACTGCCGCTGCCGCTGTCGGCGCTCGCCGCATCGCCCTCGGCGAGCAGCGCGACGGCACGGGCAACGTTGCGGTCGTACAGCTCGACGTCCCTCTGGCGATACTCCTCGCGCTTCTGCGGCCACACGTCAGTCTTGGTGAGGGTGACGTAGGCGTCCTTTCCGCTGCCACCCGCCTCGGCGGTAAAGGAGCAGTCAAAGCCCATGAGGTAGCGCGAGAACTTGGCCGCATCCTGCGCCACGTCGTCCGGCAGGATGTCGCGGATCTCGCGCACCACCCGGCGCGCCGCCGTGATGCTGCCCAGGCCCTCGAGCCGAGTGGTGCGTTCGGGCCCGCGCAGGAAGCGCTGCACCTCTTGGTTGTCGCAAAAGTCGGCCTTGTCAAAGCGCCAGTAGTCGTCCGCCGACATCGGCGCCGCTCTCTTGTCCCGGCGTCGCTTGAGCGCGGTGACGCACCGCTCGACGACCGGCCGGACGATGTGCTGCCTCGCCTCGAACTGCTCCGGCCCGTTCCTCTTGGCGCGCTCGAGGCTCCTCACGGTGCTCATGGCCCACAGGTCGTCGGCGGGCGTGTTGAGCTGCCTCTGTACAATGTTGCGGCACACGGCCTCGTCGGGCGCCAGGAACGCGGCCTTCCACATGTTGTCGTCGAAGAACGAATCGTACCTGCCAGCCTTGACGGGCTCCTCGGTGCGCACGAGCGCATCGCTCAGCACCGGAATCAGCTCGTCTGCGCCCTCCTTGAGCGACTTGTCGAGCGCCTTGATGGCGAGCCTGGCGTCGCCGGCGAAGGCGACGCGGACGCGGTCCCTGGCCGACTGCCACGCCTCGGGCCAGTTTAGCAGGCGCAGCAGGTCCTCCCAGCCGTCCTTGGACTCAAAGAGCAGCTTGGCGGTCGGGTGGACGTCCATGTACAGGTCAAACAGACGCTGGTTGAACGGCCGAGCGGCGATGACGTCGAACAGGACGTGGCGCAGATCCTCATAGATGGCGTAGAAGCCGGGGGCAGCCGCCTTGGTCGGGTAGAAGCTCTTGAGCATGGCGAGGAAGTCCTCAAGTTGCCTGTCCGACGGCTTCTCCTTGAGCAGCGAGCGCCCTGATCTGGCGCGCCGGCCACGCAAAGACGAGGTACTTGCTGTACTTTGTCTCGAGCGCGGGGCCCTCGTTGCCCGTGTCCTGGCACTTTGTCTTGCGGTGGCCGCGCCACAGGCCCAGCAGCGACTTGCGGTCCGGGTTGAGGACGTCGCGCTTGCCAAAGCAACCCGCTGGGCTCTTGCGGCCCGTGATGCGGCCGTCGCCCTCGAGTACCTGGAGGTGCGAGAAGTCAACGTCCGGAGGCGCCTCCTCTTCCCAGCCGTCGCAGTCGTCGTTGAGTACGTAGTCGGTCTGCCTCGTCGCCTGCGTGATGTAGAAGGCGTAGCGGCGGTCCGCTGGCATCAATGCGTTGGCGGCGAGCAGGCGGCCCATGCGGTCGCGATCGACGCCCTTGAGGGCGGCGGCTCCGAGGTCGCCGACGCTCTTGATGGTGTAGTCGTGGCTGAGGAAGTGCATGAAGTGCTTCTCCTGGTCGCTCAGCGTGCCGAGGGCGGCCGACAGTTCGTCTTCGCCCTGGGCGCTGTCGGCGGGCTGGGCGGGCACCTCGTCGCGCGGGCGATCCTTGGGCCAGCACACCGAGTAGACGAGCGCCAGGCGGTAGCCCTGCGTCACGGGCGTCACCTCGTGCTCGGCATCGGCGTAGTGGACCGCATAGTGGCAGCGGCCGGCCGACGATCCGGCCGAGGCGCCAAAGTCGTGGGCGACGGGCTGGCCGTCCTTGTAGATGACCAGCTCACCGCCTTTGTGCGCCGAGGGCAGCTGGACGACGAGGGTGGCGAACATGCCGTCCTCCTTTTCCGTGTCGCGGTGCTTGCCAAAGTGGCCGCCGGCCTCGTAGAAGAGGAACTTGTAGAGGTGGAGCGTCAGCGGGTGCCGGCGAAGCCGAACTTTTCGGCGATCAGGGGGCCAAAGGCGGCGATGCCCTCGTTCCACGCGGCATCGTTGGCGATTTGGACCTTTTCCGGGTCGAGCTGCCAGGTTTTGCGGACGGCGGTGTCGACGAGGGTGTCGGTGCCGCGGCCAAAGGGGGCCTGCTGGCAGACCTGGGCGAGGCGGTGGGCGTCCTTGGCGTCGATGAGGGGCAGCGAGACGGGGCCGTAGCCGTCGATGCTGAGCTCGGGGGCGGGAGGGAGGAGGCTTGCGACGCCGCCGAAGCAGAACCTGTCGTTGTCCTGCTGCTGGCGCTGGCGCTGCTGGCGCTCTCCCCCCGCGAGGAGCATGTCGAGATCGTGGAGGGGGCCGTGCTGCTCTCCGATGTCGGTGGCGGGGAGGTCATGCTCGGTGAGCTTGTAGTCGCGCCAGTTGTAGTCGGCGGGGTCGTCCATGGACCAGTAGTAGTCGCCCATTGTGTGGGAGCGCTGGTGGCGTACGGAGCTGGGCGGGGTGTCTGCGGTGAGGGTGTCGTAGTCGGTGTCAGCGACGAGCGAGCGGGTCAGACGTAGAGTCGTGCGGTTGGAAGAAGCGAGTCGAGAAGGTGCGGGCGCGACGCGATTCCAGTGGTGAAGCGTGCGATAAAGTCGAGGCCGAGCAGGTGGGTGCGGGTGAGGGGGGTACTCAGGAAGGAATCATGGCCGACGAGGCAGGAAGGATGTGGTGGTGAGGATCAAAGGCGGCTTCTCCCGTCGTCTTTCATCAAGGAGCCCGGGCGGAGCCAGCTAGAGCCCCGAGCGAGAAGAGGTCATCAAGATCGAAATCGCCTCGCCTCGATCGGAGCCACCGAGCCAGAAGACCCCGCCGGCCAGGTTGGACACGAAGCGCGACGTGCGGACAATTAGAGACCGGGCTGACAGGGTCCAGGCAGCCTACCTCTGCAGCTGCAGGCCTGGCCGGCAGTTGGCAAGAAGGAAGCAAGCGGCGCAGGCCCGACTGTGGCAGCTGTCATCGACGCGTCGGCGCAGGCAAAGGCAGGTGCACAGAGCCGCCTGGCAGGCCGGGCGGCGTCCAGCTGGCCTGTCTTGCCTGCAGGCTGACGCCCACGCCCCGCCCACGCCCCGCGCCGCCCCGACTTCTGAGCCCCGACCCGACTCGGCGCCACGCATGGCCAGGCAGCACGGAAGCCAGCCCAGCCCGTACGTCCAACCTCGCGCCCGCCTCTGCCCGCCCTCCTCGCCACCTACCACGTCGGATCGGATCGAGAGTGTCATCGAACCTCCTCGCACACATCAGCGGTGCATCTGCGTTCGCGCAACAAAGGCGATGGACGTGCGTGTCGCTGGCCAACGGTGGGTGGTCGCACGCCACTCTACCGCCGCTGGGGCGAGCTGGACCTCGACGAGCGAAACACGCTCTGCCGCCTTGACCGACTCGGTCCTCCATGGTCGTTACACGCACGCACGCACATGCACACCGTCAAGCCGTGGAGCTGATGCTGGCTTCGTGATTCGTTTCATTCGAGCGAGCCTTGCTTCCGTGCTGCGTGCTGAGGGGGTCGGCTCGTCGATGCCCGCCGCTCTGATCGCTCCTGTTGGCCGCCCATTGCCCCGCCCCTCGATGCGACTCTTCTCCAGAGCGCAAATGCCACATCCCCTCCTCGACTAGTCTCGTCGGTGCTGTCCTGCCGCTGCTGCCCGTGGATCATGGGCCTTTCGGGTGCTTCTCCTTCAGTCTGCCTGTTGTCGGCCTCTGTCCTGCCTGCGCGGCATCGTGGAGGCGGTGATACTTCTCCTCTGCTGTTATGGCGTCGGACCAGCTCCTGGCCACCTCAGCCGACGCAGGCACGTCTGACTGGGTCGAAGGACCGCCAGACGGGCTACTCGGCCTCTGGATCGGCCCTGATCCGCTTGCCCTGGCGATCTTCGTCGCTGTGCTCTCGCTCCCTCCCCAGCTGGGAAGGCGTGGGCAGCGGGTCGTCGGCGTCAGGCCTACTGTCGTGGCCGACAGTCGATCGCCCTCGAGGCGGCTGATCACCGCCGTCTGCGTCCTCGTCCTCGTCCTCGTAGACAGCCTCCAAGTCGGCATCGGCGTCCCTGTCCGTCAAAGCCTCGTCGGTCGACGTCGTCGCTGCGCTCGTCACGGGGTCGAGCAGCGACCCCCACTCCGCCAGCGACTCGTCGAGGTGCTTGACCTTGTCGAGCCGCTTGAGCTCGCGCTGCTGAGGGTACAGGTCCGTCTTGGTGAGCGTGACGGTCGCCTCCCTGCCTCGGCCTTCCTTGGCGGCGGTGAAGGTAAAGTCGGGCTCTCCGTGGCGCTTCCACTTCTGCGCGTCGACGGCGGCGCTCGGACGCATGCGTACCTGGCAGTCTTCGACAAAGTAGCGTGCAGCCTGGCTACCGTCGAATCCCGAGATGGTCGTGGTGCGCTCCGGCCCGCGCAGAAAGTCTCGCACCCTGGCGTCGCCGTGGAAGCGTGTGGCTGCGAAGCGCCAGTAGTCTTGCGCCGGTCTGGCTTGCGACGCCTGCGCCCGCTGGCCCTGGAGCTGCGCGATGCAGCGCTCAACAAGCGGCCTGATGGCCTCGCGGCAGGCCTCAAACTGCTGCGGCTGCTTGCGGCGGCAATTGCGGAGCGCGGCCAAGCATGGACCGATCTCGAATCGATCGTCGGCTGCGTTGAGGTGGCGCTGCACGATGTTCCGGCAGACGGCCGAGCCCGGGATGGACACGGCGACCTGCCACATGGCGGTTTCGTCCCAGTTGAGCCATTCAAGCCAATCGAGATCGTTGGCCGAGGATCCAAGCCCGTGCTCTTTGCGCAGGAGCGCCTCGACCAAGATGTGGATGGTCTCTTCCGGCGCTCTGTCCCGTTGAGCCCGGATCGCCCTGAGGACGACGTTGGGGTCGTCGGCCAGAATGTCGAGGACGCGGTTCCCGACGGCCGGCCAGGCCTGCTGCCACTGGGTCAGCCGCATGAAGTCGTTCCAGCCCCGATCGCTGTGCAGGAGCAGCTTGGCGGTCGAGAAGATGGCCAAGTAGAGATCCAGGAGCTGGCGGTTGAACGGGCGCGCCCAGAGTGCCTTGAAGATGGCGTGTCGCAGCTTCTCTTTGCCGACGGTGACGCCGGCAGGACGCACCAGAGCAGCGTAGAAGTGCTCGACGACGCGGAGAAAGTCCGCCAGCTCGGCGTCCGAGGCTCCCCTGGCCAGCAGCGCGCTCAGCGTCTCGTCCTCGCCGGCGCAGATGACCTCGAGCCCTCGGACAAGGCGTGCCGGCCAAGCGAGCAAGACGTACTTGGTGTAGGTCGTCTCGACCGCCGGGCCCTCGTTGCCGGTGTCCTCGCTCTGCTTGGTGCGGTGCCCCTGCCACAGCTTGAGGAGCGACTTGGCGTCTGGGTTGAGGATGTCGTGCGCGCCAAAGTAGCTGGCAGGGCTGCACGATCCTTGGATGATCCTGCCGCCGTCGAGATCCTGCAGCTGCTTGAAGGCGATCCTAGGCCGCTCGTACTCCTCCCACGCCTTGCGCTCGCAGTGCTTCCAGAACAGCTGGCGCCGCTCCGCCTTGGCGATGAAGAAGGCGTAGCGGCGATCCTCGGGCAGCAGCGCGTTGGCGGCCCGCAGGCTGACGAGGCGATCGCGGTCGACGCCCTTGAAGGCGCGGTCGCCGAGGCCGGCGATGCTCTTGGGCGTGTACTCGTGATCAAGGGGCAGGTAGAAGCGGCGCTCCTGGCCGCTCATCTGCCGCAGCGCCGACGCCATCTTGGCCCTGACCTCGGCATCGACCGACGAGGGGATGCTCGACCTGTCGCGGTCTGCAGGCCAGCAAACCGAGTAGACGAGCGCCAGGCGGTGGCCCTCGGTCACCGGCGTGATCTCGTGCTCGGCATCGGCATAGTGCACGGCGTAGTGGCACTTGAACGCGGCCGTACCGGCAGCGGCGCCGAAGTCGTGCGTCACCGATGCGCCGCCCTTGTACACCACCATCTGTCCGCCGGTGTGGTTCGACGGCAGCTGAACGACGAGGGTGGCAAACATGCCGTCCTCCTTTTCCGTGTCGCGGTGCCTGCCAAAGTGGCCGCCGACGTCGTAGAGGAGCAGCTTGTAGAGGTGGAGCGTGACGGGCGTGCCGGGAAATCCCATCTTTCTGGCAATCAGCGAGCCAAGGGCGGCGATGCCATCGTGCCAGGCCTGGTTGGCGATCGTGACCTTTTCGGGCTCGAGCTGCCACGTCTTGCGTACCGAGGCGTCGAAGAGCGTGTCGCGTCCGCGGCCGAAGGGCGCCTTTTGGCACTTGGCCGCGAGCTTCTTGGCCTCGGCCGGGCGGACGATGGGCAGCGCGACGGGTCCGTACCCCTCGACGCTCAGGCCAGGCAGCGGCGGGAGCAGGTCGGCGGGCCCTCCAAAGGTGAACTTGTCGAGGTTCTGCTGCTCTTGCGGGCCCTCTGCCAGCAGCTTTCCGACGTCGTGCAGGGGACCCTGCTGCTCTCCAAAGTTCTTGGCGGGCACGTCGTCCTCGAGGATCGGGAAGTGTGCCCACTTGAAGTCGGGCACGTTGTTATCGGTGGGCCAAGTGTCGTAGTCACCGTCGCCGTAGTCGCTGCTCTCGTAGCTGAGTTCGCTGCTGGACATCTTGCCGACGACGCCGAGCTCGGTCAGGCAGCGGCTGGCCGATGCCGACGCCGGTGCCGATGCTGATGGATGACGACGGCAGCGGCAGAGCCAACCAACGATCAAGTCCAGTCAGAGGGCAAGACTGGCGGATGCGAGCTCCCCGCCGTCGAGATGGGGGCGGAGTGAAGAGGATGCGCTGTGAGCAGAGGACTGCCGTGAGCCCAGGCAGGCTGCGGAAAGGGGCGCGAGTGGGTGATGGTGGTGGTCGCAAGGAAACGCGCCGCGAAATGGGCGAGGCGAATTAAAGAAAGCGGAAATTGCCGCAGGGGCCACCACCGCCTCCGCCGATTCGCGCCGCCTCGCCGCGACGGTCAGGACCCATATGCATATGCCTTGCCACCGGGCCTGGCATGCGGGTGCCGGACCACTCTGGGCTCGGTCCTTTGGACCACAGCACCGACGTCAGGTCAAGGCATACCTCAGCTGGCCTGGACCAGGGAACTGACCGGCCGGCCAGCGGCACCCAGAGACAAGCCCATCTCCGTCGACAAACATCACTCCAAGTCGGCTGGGGCCTTGTCGGACTCTTTATCAGCTTCTCAGCGCGTGCTAAGGCTCAGGTTCAGATCATATCAATCGCATTCCTTCGGTGCCGTCCGAATGCCCTGGACGACTCCAAAGCATGGCCGGCGACGTTCTCCGACGACGACGACGAGTTGGAGAAAAGAGGGATGGGGTCGGGGCCATGTCTTGCGTATCGCTGATGGCCAGACGGCGACATCGATCGGGGCGAGGCAAAGGGCAGCACCAAGCCTAGTGGCCAGTGGGCTTAGCTTCGGACGTGTTCGGCACAGTTGCAGCAGTGCGCTTGGCCAGCCCAGCGATGATGTCCGTCACGGACTGAGGGACGGGTTCGGGTGCTGGCGAGGCGGCGACGCCCGTGCCGTGCATGACCGTGACCAGGACGACGAGGAGAGCCAGGGGGACGAAGGTGAAGGCGGTAGGGAGCTGCATCTGTCGTCGTGGCGGTGGCGGTGGCGGTGGAAGCGGGACAGGAGCTGTGGCGGGTCAGGGCAAACTCGAGACACCGGAATGCGAGAGCGCAAGGAGAGGAGCAAAGGCAACGAGTCTCACCTTGCTCTGAGATCAGTTGGCCAGTAGGTTGTTCGTTTGGTTGGAGCTGTCGTGAAGTGGTGCTTGATGAGAAGTCGACAATGCCTCGCTGGCTCCGCGCCGCTCTTATACCTTTGCGGGCCCCCTTGACTCGTCCTTACACCTCTCTCGCTGTGCTCCGCTGTACTGGACTGGATTGTACGGCGCCGAGCATCCTCGACGTCTCTTGTCCCCGCTGTCCTCTTTCCCAGCCTCGCTCCTCTCGCAACGCTCGCCCGCATTCGGCACAGAGGACGGCTCCACGTCGGTGTCGAGATGCGAGTAGCCGATGCGCCTGATGAGGGAAGACGAGCCAACTCCATCGCCTCGGGGACAAATGGTGCGGTGCAAAAGTGCTGGGCTTTACGTACAACGACCGCGTGCCGGGGAGCCGCCCGTCTTGGCGCACCAGAGTAAGGGCTTATGTGTTGACTGAGGGCGCGCTAGCGGCTGAGCAGGTCACTTCCATGGCATCATCGGCGACGGGTATAGTGCTTTCGGCCGCAGCAGTCTGTCGCGCGACGAGACCGCTGTCGGTACGTAGACGTCGATATTCACAGCGTGGCTATGCTTGGAGCGGTGAGAGCGTCATGGCCCGAAGGGGGAACGAGTCGCTTGAACAGCACGTTCGAGGCCTGGCGCATGTTGACTTTTCCCTCGTCGGCGCTCGGCCGTCCCCGGGGGCGTCTTGGGGACCGGCGAGAGCGTGGCCGAGTCGAGGGCGGCGAATTGAGTCAAGTGGGACTAAGCACGCACGCGCTTGCCTTGGGAGATCGTGATCGTGGCCGATAGCCAATGGCTCAGGGTCGGGCGGCATCGTGAGAGGTTGAGACTGCGGTAGCTGCGACAAGGACGACGACGACAACGACGGCGACGACGATATCGGAGCCAGTCGAGACGAGCGGCGGGCCTGCCTCGGTGGTGGTTGCGTTGGAGCTAGGCGCGCCTCTGCGCTGGCGGCAGCGGCCGAGGTAGAGTCGCGCGCGCTCGAGGGTGGTCTCCAGAGTTCCAGGCCCAGGCGGGAGATGGGCGACGGAGCGAGCGAGGCAAGCTTGCCGCAGCAGCAGCAGCAGCAGCAGCAGCTGCAGCTGCGGCCAGGCCAGGTCGATGGCGAGCTGGTGGGCCTCGAGAGTGGGCCAGCCTGCCTTGCTTGCCTTGCCTTGGCTGCCTGCCTTGCAGCAGCCTGCCATTTTGGGAGGCTGGAGGCGTGGCCGGCCAGCAGCAGAGAATCCGGCAGTCGGGCTTGTGGGCCAGCAGGTTGGACCCTGACTGCCAGGGTCGCTGCTTCTGTCGCTGCTGCTGCTGCTGCTGCCCCCCGACCAACGAGGCGGCGAGGCTGGGCCAACGTGCGTGGGCCACGCACGCACGCTGCTGCTGGCCCCTGCCTGCCTGCTGTGCCCCCTGGCTGACTGAGGCAGGCCCACGACGACTTTTTGAAATTCACAGAGAGGCAGGCCAGGCGGCTGCAGCCAGACAGCCAGGCAAGGTCGGCCTTGCCTGGCAAGGCCCAAAGAGAGGGAGCGAGCGAGGGGTTGAGGGCCCGCCCAAATTAAAAAATTGCTTCGGGGGCCCATCCTCTGCTCCGAGCCTCGCCTCGCCTCGCCTCGCCTTCTCTGGCTTCCTCCATCATCATCATCATCACCACCATCCCCTGCCTCGTCTTGCCAACTGCCGGCGGCTCCGTGCATCACCGTACCGTCTTCGATCCGAACGCACTGCATCTCTGCATTGGATAGACGAGCGCCGCCTCTCGACCCGGGCGCATACATAGACGACGGAACCCCGACTGCCGCCTTCGCTCAGATTATTACCCTAGCCTACCTCACCACCACGACTTCCGTCTTCGAACCGCTTCCGAGCCAGGATCTCAGAGAAGCGCACATCCGAACGACTGCACCGACGGCGTCGGCGACAAGGACGACGGCCACGGCCACGACCACGAACACGACCCCGACCACGACAGCTTACCCTACCTACACCCGCCCTCGCTTCCACCGCCCGGATCTCACTCGCTTCCATCACCGCCCCTCGGCATCGTCGTCCCAAGATGCCCTGACCGGCTCGACCTACGATAGCTCCATCGCTTTTGCTTCTGTCGTCAGACACGGATATACACTTTGCTTGCCATCTCCGCCTTCCGCGGCAACGCTGGCCGCCTCGCCATACATAGACAGGCGTCCCTGGCGATCCCAGCCCCAGCCCGGAACCTTGCTCCGTCTCCTCTAATCTCAGACCTCCTGCCACCTATCGCACCCTCGCCGCCATGAAGTTTGCACGATACCTCGAGGAAAACACTGTGCCAGAGTGGAAAAAGGTCTACATCGAGTACCGCGGCCTCAAAAAGCTCATCAAGCGCGTCGCAGAGCACAGGCAGGCCCGCCTCCAGTACGAGCAACACCTCGGCCTCCACGACAACGACAACGACCAGCACCACGGCTACTCGGCCAGCGGCACATCGACCTCCCACAGAGATGCAGATGCCCTGCGAAGGCGCAACAACAACAGCAACAGCCCCGGCAGCGGGGCAGACTACTCGTCCAACGACGACGCTACCCTCGCACCTCCACATCCGGGCACCAGCCTCGCAAACAGCGACGGCAGCAAGCAACGCAGCGACTATGGCGGTGTCGCGCGGCGCTCCGATGCCGCTGCCAACGTCGGCGACGACGCTGCTCCATCCGGCGTCCGGCTGCCCCCCGTTTCCTTGGTCGGCACAAACCTCCGCCTAGCGGGCAGCGACCCCAACGTCGTCGAAGAGGGCCTTCTAGACGACCAGGACGAGGTGCCCGATCTAGAGGCCCAGGTGCCCAAGGTGGGCAGCATTGGCAAGGGCGCAGCAGACGTCAGTCGCAAGGCGTCGGGCCACAGCCTCACTCGCGACTCGCTCACCGTCGCCGATGGTCGCACCGGCAGCGGAGCCGGCGGAAGGGGCCCGTCGCCAGAGCCTGACTCCGAGCGCCGCAGCGAGCAGCAACGGCAGCAGCAGCACCAAGGGCAGAGCCAAGAGTCGTCGCAGCAGCCGCAGCAGCCGCCGAGACAAGACTCCTCGCCAAAACGCCAGCAACCGCCGCAAGAGGCGCCCTCTACAGCACGGCCGCCGCCATCTCCACGGAAGCCGCAAAAGAGCGGCTCGGCCACCAAGCTCAAGGCGAAAAAGGTCAAGCACGCCTACCCGACCACGCTCGACGACCTCATCGCCAGCGCCTTTGACGCCGAGGAACGCAAGATGTTCCAGGCGTGCGACGCCGAGCTGGAAAAGATCACCGTCTTCTACGCCGCTCGCGAGCTCGACGCGGCACACAAGTACGCCCAGCTGGCGAGGCAGCTGCAGGAGCTGGCCGAACACCGCCGCGAGTACCGCGCGCGCCACCGGATCGCCAAGACCGAGAACCCGATCGCTGGCCGCGCCCGAAAGCGGCTCAGCCAGATGTTTGGCGCGTTGCCGCCGTCGGTGCGGGAATCGGTTCGGCCCAGCGGCGAGATGAGCCGCGATGGTGCGCAGGCGGACGGGCTGGCGGCGACGAGCAACGACGGCCGGATCTCGCAGAGCGGCGACCGCGGCAAGATGTCGATCGACGGCCAGCTGTCTGCCTTCGATGCCGCGACCACCACCGACTCGAAGCACGAGCTGAACGGCAAAGCTGCGGCGGCGCGGTCGTCCGGCTTCGACGACGGCGCCAGCGGCATCGAGGACGACGAGGGCCAGCGGCGGCGCGAGCAGGCGCTTGCCAAGATGCAAAAGAGCCTGCGCGGCTGGGACGACGAGACCGACCGCGCCATCCGCCTCCAGAACCGCGCCGCGGCCATGAGCCACAATCCCGAGGCCTACTACGCCGCGCGCAAGAAGCTCAAGGCGGCGGTGCTCGAGTACTACAAGTTCCTTGAGACGCTCTCCAACTACAGGATGTGAGTCGAGCACGCGCGCCCCGCCCAGACGGCCCCGCTGATGTCGCCCCGTACCGTAGATCCTGCGAATGACTCGCCTGGCTGCCCTCCCCATTCTCCCTCCACCCACACGCACAGCCTCAACCGGACCGGCTTTGCCAAGGTGATGAAGAAGTTCAGCAAGACGACGGGCGTGCCGTGCGCCGACGCCTACTACGAGGCGCGGGTTGCGCCGAGCGTGCTGGTGACTTCGAAGCGCCTCGACAACCTGATGAAGAGCACCGAGGAGATCTACACGGCCTACTTTGAGCACGGCAACCGCAAGGAGGCGCTCAACCGGCTGCGGACGCGCGACGATACGACGACGCACCACTTTAGCGTGTTCCGGAGCGGCCTGTACCTGGGCATCGCGCTGTGCGCCACCGTGGGCGGGCTGGTCGAGGCCATGAAGCCCGAGGTGCAGCGGCGGATCCCGCAGTGGCCGGCGCTGCTGCGCGTCTACGGCGCCGAGTTTATCCCGACGCTGTTTGCGCTGCTGTTTGGGCTCAACCTGGCGTGGTGGCACGAGGTGCGCATCAACACCGTCTTCATCTTTGAGTGGGACGTGCGCCACACGATGGACCACCGCCAGTTTTTTGAGATCCCGGCGCTGCTGATGCTGCTGCTGTCGCTCTGCTTCTGGGTGTCGTTCCTGGACCCGTTCCCGTCGGCCATCGCCCCGACGACGTGGCCGACGGTGTGGCTCGTCATCTTTGTCGTGGTGCTGCTCAACCCGCTGCCCATCCTCTACCGCCAGAGCCGGATCTGGTTTGTTCGGTCGCTGCTGCGCGTCTTTAGCGCCGGCTACAAGCGCGTCGAGTTCCGCGACTTTTTCCTGGGCGACGAGCTCAACAGCATCGCGTGGACCATCTCGAACCTGTGGTACTTTGGGTGCGAGTGGCGCCACGACTGGGCGGTGCCGGACCGGTGCGCGCCCAACTCGACGTTCTGGACGGCGGCGCTGCTGAGCGTGCCCGCGGTGCTGCGGCTGGGCCAGTGCGTGCGGCGCTGGGTCGACAGCGAGCGGCGTACGCACCTGCACCTCGTCAACGCGGCCAAGTACTCGAGCGCGGTGCTCAACAACTTTTTCTACATCCGCTACCGGCGCAACGGCTCGCAGTGGGGCAGCGGCGACATGGCGGCGTGGCTGCTCTTTGCGAGCATCTACTCGGTCTTCCACGTCTCGTGGGACCTGCTCATGGACTGGTCGCTGCTGCGGCGGCGGTCGCGCCACTTTTTGCTGCGCGACGAGATCTCGTTCCCGCAGGGCGTCTACTACGCCTTTATGGCGGTCGACGTCGTGGTGCGGTGCAACTGGTTCATCTACCTGCTGCCGGGCCCGGCGTCGGTGACGCTGCGCAGCTTCCTGGCGGCGCTCGTCGAGATGGTGCGGCGGGCGTGCTGGAACGTGCTGCGAGTGGAAAACGAGCAGATTGGCAACACGGACTCGTTCAAGATTGTCCGCGACCTGCCGCTGCCGTACCAGCAGAAGCGGCACCGCGACGGCGGCAGCGGCGGCGGGGACGGAGGATCCGACGAGGGCGACGACGACGGCGGATCCGAGACCGAGAAGCGGTACAAGGAGGGCATCTTTGCCAGCATCCGGCTGTCGAGCCTGGGGCGCAAAAAGTCGAGGATCGCGCCGCCGACGAGGCCCGAGCTGGATACGGCGCCGGTGCAGGGCGAGGTGGTGTCGCCGCTGCCGCCCTCGACGCCGCGCGGCGACGGCAACGGGTCGACGTCTCCTCGCAGCCGCGTTGCCGGCGACGACGACGACGACGCGGAGGGTGGTGATGCAGCGGCAACGACGACGACGACGACGGGGCGACCTGCGGGCAAGCAGCGGACCAAGAGCGAGACGATCCTGGAGCGGCTGCGGGACAGTCTGGTGCCGGACTCGAAGGTGTACGGCGATCGGCTCGACGAACGTGCGGCGACCAAGGGCAGGACTGGGCGGGACTACACGCCGCGGGAGCTGGCGGACAGCGATAGCGAGAGTGGCACCGACGAGGCGACGTGAGTGCGTCGGTGCCGTGCGGTGCGGAGGGGTGTTTGAGCAGTGGTCATGGGGACAATGTCACGTTGTTTGGATCGTGTTTGCTGTGAGAACGTGCTTGGCCGAGTGTCGCTCACGGATCATCGACTGCCTAGAGAAGCTGGGTTAGAGAAGGTTGCCAGCTCGATGCTGGGTGTTCAAGAGGGGCCGCTGAGCGCGCTTGCCTGGCGGCTTCTCTGTTGGCGGCTGGCTGGCTGGCTGGCTGGCTGGCTGGCTGGCTGGTTGCGCGTCGCGTGGGCTTCTCCACATGCGCCTGGCTGCAGCAAGAAAGTCGAAAGGGCACAGACCAACACCCGGTCCAGGTCGAGGTCGCCTTCCTTTCCCTCCCACCACCACCACCACCACCACCACCAACCCCACCATCCACCCACCGCCACCCGCGGGCAACGCGCTCGCTCGCTCGCAGGAGCGCAATCCTACGCCACGCCTGCCTTGTCTTGCCCTGCCCCACCCGCCCACCATGAACGCCGTCATCTCGAGCTCCAACATCAAGGCCTTTTCCAGCGCACTCCAGTGCCTCGCACGCTTCTCGGAAACCTTTTGGCTCCAGGCCGCTCCCACGCCTTCCTCGTCGTCGTCGTCGTCGGGCATCCCGGCAGAGGCCCAGCTACGCCTCTCGGCCATCAATCAGACCAACTCGGCGTTCTGCATGTTTGTCTTTGATCCCGACTTTTTCCTCCGCTCCGCACTCACCTCATCCTCGTCCTCGTCGACGGCGCACCACCGCGTCGAGTGCCAGCTCGCCATCAAGCCCGTCCTCGCCATCCTCCGCACGCGCGCAAGGACCGTGGAGCGCTGCGAGCTCGATCTGGTCGACGACGCGCAGCACTGCCGCTTCTCGATCCAGCTCCACTGCAGCCACGGCGTCAAAAAGACGCACCGGCTCACCTACGAGCCCAAAAAGGGCCTCCTCCCCACCGCAGACCCCAACCCGCCCCACCACTTTTCCATCCACGCCCAGACCGCACACGAGTGGACCGAACACTTCCTCGGCACCAACCGCGGCGGCGAAATCTCCTTTTGGTGCTCGCCCGACTTCTGCATCGTCAAGAGCAAGGAGGACGAGGTGCCGGAGGTGCGCGGACAGATGCGCAAGGCCATCCACACCGAGGTCAAGATCGACCTCGCAGAGCTCAACGACTACCGAGTCGACGGCGAGGCGCACCTCACCTTTAGCCTCCGCGAGTTCAAGGCCACCGTCACACTCGCAGAGGCACTTCAGGTGCCCCTCGACCTCTGTTTCAGCGACGGCGACGAGCCCCTCTTTATCCGCCTACACGCAGACGCCATGGTCGCAGAGTTTGTCCTGGCCACGAGCAGGGGCGACGCTCAGCCCGAGCAGCAGCAGCAGCACCAGGCGCAGCCTCAACAGCGGACGCAGCGGGCGCAGCAACCAGATCGCTCTGCCCGGTCGACGCAGAGAACGCAGCAGACAGCAGCAACGCAGCGAGCAACAACGACCAACGGCAGAGGACCCCAACAGCAGCAGCGCGACAGCCGTGGCGGCAACGGCGCCGCGCCCGTGTCAGCGACGGGACGCACACAGCCGCGAGAAGACACCTCGACCGCCTCGATGCCATCGGCCAGTCGGGTCGATCGTGTCGCCTCGCACGGCGAGGCGCCGATGGAGTCGACGCCCAACCCCGTCCTCTCACCGGGATCGCAGCGACGGGCCGATGCGCCGCCCCCGCTCTTCTTCCCGGGCGCCTCGCAGGACTCGGTGGCAGAGGCAGCGATGCACGACGGCCGTGACGCCTCCACCTCGCACGACGATACAGTCTCGAGGGGTGCAGGCGGGTACGACGACGGCGAGGAGGCGGATCTGGGCGAGTACGGGAACGAACTGGGGGATGCCGACTTTGCGGCGCTCGACGAGGTCGAACGCTCGATCGAGCGCGGGGAGACGCAGCTCATCGGTTCCCAGCTCATCGTCACGGGCGCCAGCGTCAGCGGTGGAGGTGGTGGTGGGAGTCGGACCTCGGCAGAGCGAGAGGGTGACAGCGTCTCTGCGCCGTCGCCATCGTCGAGTAGCCGGCACGACTCGACCGACTTCCCACGTACCCGGCCCAAGCGGAGCGCCGCGGATCGACGGATGCGTCTGGCCCGCATCGAGGAGGTCCAACTCGGGGAGTCTTCTGCGTCTGCGTCTGCGTCCACGTCGCAGCAGGGACGGGGGCCAGACAGCCCGGACCGATCTTCAGTCGGTGGTCGGCTTGGCGAGCGAGAGGATGCGGATAGCGACGACGACGACGACGACGACGACGACGACGACGACGACGACGACGAGGGTGATAGGCCGCGACGAAAGAGGTTCAAGCCCCTCTTTGGCTAGCTTTGCCTTGCCGTGCCTTGCCTGGCCCTGTCTCTTCACGCCTGGCCTTGGCTGGCCTGACGTGATCTGACGTCGCACCGTCCTGTCGGGCAGGTCGATACCAACCGAGCTACCACAGTCGCACGACAAGGGTCTTGTCTCTTCTCCCCACCACAGCGGGCAGTCCATGCTGGGACTCGACGCATCACGCCCGGCGCCGCATCTGTCTCAGGCCATAGGGGCGTCGGGGCCTCTCGACGAGATCAGACATTCATATCGCCGTGACCCAAGCCCGGGACGGAACTTGATCGCGCGGGTCCACGGGGGCAAGCGCTGCTCGAGCTCGGCACCACCTCCGCGCGATCAGTCGACGTCACGTCGAGTCGGAAATCGATCACCGTCGATGTGCTCGATTGCGCATGGTACCTCCGTCGCATCGCGGCCCGTCTGCCTTATTTGCGCATCGCCTTCCTGCTCGCATCGCCAGGCCCGGTTGGCATGATCCCCCAGCCCGACGAGACCAGGAGGTGCGCCGCAGATCATTGCTGGCACCGTCACGCTTGACCTTCCCACCCGGCCAATCCTCCCCCCTGCAGCGCGTCACTTTGCCTGCTTGCCTGCCTCTTTGCCTCTTTGCCGCGGGCGCTGCTCCACCATTGTCGTACTGCTTATCCAAGCTCCCGGCTCTGCCTCTGTCACGCTGGTCGAATCAAGGTTGTTCGGCTGGGTCCGCTCGAGGCCACCGTCGCGCGCCGTCGCGGCTAGGCAGGGGCGGAGAAATTGGCCGAGTGTCCGAGGCGCTAGCCCATCTTCGACTCGAGCTTGACCTTCTTGTCCTGGTGCTCCGCCCCGTCTTGAGCCTGGTCGTCCGTCGATGGCGCCGCCACCATGGCCTCGCTCTCGCCCGTAGGCGCAGCCGTAGTCACCGCACCGGACGCCACACTGGGACCGGCATCCGTCTCGATGTCGGGCCTGTGCAGCGGCTCGAAAGCAGGGCTCGTCGGGACACCTTCTGCAGCTTCGCCAACCGTTTCGCTGCGAGGCGGTGCCGCCTCGGCCTCATGAGTCTGTTCGAGCTCGACGCCGGCGCTGATACTGCCGCTGCCGCTGCCGCTGGGACCGGCCCCGGCATCGACAACGAGCAGCGACCCGAGCGTCTTGATGTCACGTTCGAGACCCGCGACGCGCGCCAGACGTTGGGCCTCGCGGTGCTGCGGGTAGGCGTCAGTCTTGGTGAGCGTGACGTACGCCCCCCTTCCCCGCCCACCCTCGACGGCGGTGAAGGAAAACTTGGGTAGCGTGTGGCTGCACCGCTGCCACTTTTCCGCGTCAAGCGCGTCGGCGCTGGACAGCACCTTTTGGCACGTCTCCACGAGCTTCCGGGCCGACTGGATGCAGTCGAACCCCTTGACGGTCTCGGTGCGCTCATAACTCTGCAGAAAGTCCTCAACTCGAGCGTCGGCCGGGAACTCTGCCTCCTGGAAGCGCCAGTAGTCTGCCTTTGATCCGGAGGCGCTGGCGCGCTTGTCCTCGAGCTTGGCGATGCAACGCTGCAGGAGGGGCTGAAAGATGTGGCGCCTCGCTGCAAAGAGGTTCTGATGCAGGCGCTGCGCCGAGAGCAACGATCCCATGCACTGGTGGACGTCGAACTGGTCGTCGCGGACGTTGAGGTACCTCTGCACCAGGTTCCTGCAGACGGCCGGTTCTGGAAGGGAGAGGGCGACGCGCCAGCTGATCGCCTGCTGCAGGTTCCGCCAGAGCTCGTCGTCGTCGCCGCTCTCGGAGCGCAGCAGGGCTTCGATCAGGAGCTGCTTCATCTCGACGGGGTCCTCCTTCGGGTACTTGTCGATCAGCTTGAGCGTGGTGCAGGGGTCCTGCGCAAAGGCTTCGACGACCCTGGCCCGGCCGGCCTTCCAGGCCCTCGGCCAGCGCATCAGGCGAAGCAGATCCTGCCAACCCTCGTGGTTGTGGATCAGCAGCCTCGCAGTGCGGTGGAGGTCGAGGTAGAGACCAAACAGCCTCGGGCTGAACGGTCGCTCGAGCAGCGCGATGAAGATCGTATGGCGCAGTTGGTCCTCGAGCGTGGTACGGAGCGGGAACGCCTGTCGAGACCTGGCCTCCCTGACGCTCTGGAGGAACTCCGCCAGCTCGTCGTCCGAAGGTTCTTGGGTCAGTAGCGTTCGCAGCGCCTCCAGCTGTCCGACACGGATCCCCTCCAGGGCTTGGTTCAGCCGCCGGGGCCATGCGACGACGACGTACTTCTTGTAGGTCGTCACCTGCGACGGACCCTCGTTGCCGAGATCCCCCAGTCTCTCTTTGCGGTGACCGCGCCACAGCGACAGCAGCGACTTTCCGAGCGGGTTCAGCACATCCCTATGGCCAAAGTACGAGGCCAGGTCGCGCGACCCGGCCAGAGACGTGCCGTCGAGCTTGTGCAGCTGGGCGAACGTGACCTCGGGCGACTCGTACTCGTCCCAGGCATCTTGGTAGAAGGAATAGACCGTCCTCCTCTTGGCCTCTGCGAAGTAGAAGTCGTAGACGCGATCTCCGCTCAAGCAGCCGTTGGCGACCTGGAGCCTGGCGATGCGCTCGCGATCCACGCCCTTGAGCGCCCGGGCGCCGAGCTCGGATATGCTCTTGTGCGTGTAGTCGTGCTCGAGGAAGAGGTGAAACTGCCTCTCCTCGCCGAGCAGTCTGGTGAGCAGGGTCATCATCTGGTTGACGGCATCTGCGCCGGCCGATGTGGGGACCGCCGCGTCTTTGGGCTCCGCTGGCCAGCAGATCGAGTACACCAGCGCAAGGCGGTAGCCCTCGGTCACGGGTGTGATCTCGTGCTCGGCATCGGCATAGTGGACCGCGTAGTGACATTTGAACGGCGCAGTGCCGCCGGCATCGCCAAAGTCGTGCGTGATGGGAGTGCCGCCGCGATAGACCAGCAGCTGGCCGCCGGAGTGCATGGAGGGTAGCTGGACAACCAGGGTGGCAAACATGCCATCCTCCTTCTCTGTGTCGCGATGCTTGCCAAAGTGGCCTCCAGCCTCGTAGAAGAGCAGCTTGTAGAGGTGCAACGCCAGCGGTGTGCCGGGGAAGCCCAGCTTTTCCGCAATCAGTGGGGCGAAGGCAGCGATCCCCTCGTTCCAGGCAGGGTTGCCAAAGGCGATCTTGCCTGGCTCAATCTGCCACGTCTTGCGCACCGTGGGATCGATGAGCGTGTCCTGTCCGCGGCCGAATGGCGCCAGCTGGCAGACGGCGGCCAAGCGTTGAGCGTCGGTGGCGTTGTCGAGCGGTAGGGTCAGGCGGCCATAGCCCTCGATCCTCAGGCCAGGGAGCGGCGGAAGCAGGTCAGTCGCTCCACCGAAGCTGAACCTGTCGAGCTGATGCTGAGGATCCTCAGCGAGGAGCTGGCCCAGGTCGTGGAGGGGCCCCGACTGCTCTCCAACCTGCTCGGCCGGCACGTCGATCTCGTTGACTGTGTAGAAGTCCCAGTCGGGGAAATGACGCTTCCAGTTGTATTCCCAGTCCTCGGGTCCGTCGGAGCTGCTTCCACGCCTGCGGTCGTAGCCCCGGCGGCCGGGCATCTCTGCAATGCAACGCCGCGCCGCGTCCGCTGTGACTGACGGATGACGATGCCGACAGAACCGGACCGGCGGGTGGCCGAGGAGGCTGTCGGACGGAAGTGCGGCGGCGCGCGGGTGGCTGGTGGGTCGTATCAACTGACGAGAGGATGATGGAAGAGGAAGGGGAGAGGACGAGGCTCAGGAATGAGGCGAGAGCGGTGAGTGGTGGCGGGATGAAACGGGGCGTCGAAGAGGGGAGGGAAAAAAGAATTTGGGGCGCGTCGAGGCCTGAGGAGGGGAGGCCCGTGCCCGCACGCCGGCTGGGGCCAGAGCCAGGTCTGAAGCTGCCTGGCTAGCTCAGCGATCGACCTGCCTGGCCTGCTCTGACCGCAAGAACGCACACGCCTTCCTGTCAAGCGTTGGCAGGCGACGAGCCAGGCGCGCCCTCAATCGCCGAGCCCATCGTTGAGACTTCACAAGAGACGGGTGGGATTTAGGATCGGCCGAGATCCTCGGCCGCTGCTTCGAACAAGAAGTGACCGGTCACTTCTGCTTCTGCTACAACTATCTTGTGGCGCTGGATGAGCGATCGATGCGGGCCATGAGCACCACCAGCTGCGGCCTGGTCGCACACCTTGTCTGAGAGAGTCAGAGCCGCTCGACTCCGTGCCATGCTGCCTCGATATCGGCAGCCAATATGGCCGCTCGTCCCATCTACACTGGGCTGGCCTCGGCGGCCACTCTCTTGCGAAACCTGATCTTGTCAGGTGAGAACCAAGCAGCCAGTCTTCAAGTCGAAGCAGAGACGGAGCCCGACGCGGGCTCGACACCCTCGACAAGCACCGACTTGAGCTTCTCGATCTGCCCGTCAAGCTTCTTGGCAGCGCGACCTCGCTCAATCTCGCGTCGGCGGGAATGCACGTCGGTCTTGGTCAGGTGCACGACCGTCGAGGCTCCCTCGCCCTCCAAGCAAGCGGTAAACGAGAATGCGGAGGAATAGGCCGAGTCTCTCGTGTGTTACGAGTCCGGCGAGGTGCTGGGCTGAGCGCCCTCGCAGTGTTCCACGAGCATCTCGGCCTCCTCGAGTCCTACGGGCATCTCGATCGTCTTGGTGCGCTCGGGCCCGCGAAGGAAGTTTTGCACCGCCCTGTTCTCCCAGAAAGAGGGTACCAGGTGAGGAAAGGCTAAGCCAGTGGCGGTGATGGTGGTGGTGGTGGGAGGGAGGGAGAGGGGAGAAAAGGACGGGCGTACGGTCAAAGGGCCCAAAAAGGGGGAGGCATCGGGGCTGACAGTGTGAGTGTCGGGACATCAGCGAGCAGTCAAGACGATCAAGCCGGCTTGCTCCGCATCACACGTCACAAGTCAGTCAGAAGGGTCGATCTCCTGCTCTCAGTCGGAGCAAAAGCCGGCAAGTCATCTGTCCGCGCCGCTGCACACGTGTCGGCTCCGCCCAGCGCCTGCAATAGGTAGGCTAGGTATGGTCCGACTCAGCTTGCTCAAAGCGAAAAGAGCATTCCAGAGAGGGTACGGTGCGCAACAGAACGGGATAGGGGTCCTCGATGCATGCCCAGGCATGGCCCTTGCCTCGCGGTGAAACATTTCTCGATCTCATCAAGCCGTGAAGGCGGACCCGGGCTCGACAAGGGGCAGATAGACATGCTCTGCTAGCTGGTCGTCGTCGTCGTCGTCGTTCTCCAGCGCCTACCCTACGGATTCACCCGACGACATCGCACTCGATAGCCCGTTCGGTCGGACGTTCGCCCCGGCCCAGTATCCGGGACGAGCCAAACCCTAGCTGTTCTGCGTCGTAACCCTCCGTTCGTGGCCCGTCCCCCTTCAATTTTCGTCTGCCGCTGCCGGCTGGTGGATGCCGGCTTGGCTGTAGTTGTGTCGTTTGGCCGCGTAGCGCTGGTGACGAGGCGCTGCTCATGTTTCGGCTGCTGTACTGACCCCCTATTTCGAGACGCCGATCGCCCCTTCCTGCGCGCTTCATGTTGATTAGACGGAGGCCGTCTTGTCGACGCTGCTCTCCGCCTCGGTGGCCGTGGCCCGTTCACCGCCGGTTTCCGCTTAGTCGCCCGTCGCCTGGCTGGGCAGTTCCGCTCCGAGCGGCGATGCGTCGCTGATGTCGACGGCTGCAGGCGCGGTTGCGGCGGCAGCAGGCGTGGCGTCCGCAACCGAGTCCTCAGCTACATCAGGACCGGTCGTGGGGGGTGCAGCCGACGGCGGCGCTGAACCGGAGCCAGAGGCAGAGCCAGAGGCAGAGCCAGAGGCAGAGCCAGAGGCGGTCGCCGGTCCCCGCTCCTCGCCGAGCAGCGTGACCAGCTTGGCGATCTGCTTGTCCATCGCCTGCCTAGCACCGAGGCGTTCCACCTCACGGCGCTGCGGGTACTCGTCCGTCTTTGTCAAGGTGACCGTGGTCGACTCGCCCTCGCCAGTCGCGGTCGCCGTAAACGAGAAGGCGGGCAGCCTGGGGCGCGCAGACTTTGCACGCTTCGAAGAGCGCGGTGGCAGGCCCGACAGCGCGCGGTTGCAGTGGCTCAGGAACCGATGGGCCTGGCTACTGCCCTGCGGCATGGGCAGCGTCAGCGTGCGCTCGGGACCGTGGAGGAACGTAAAGACCCGGTGGTCCGATCCGTAGTCTGCCTTGTCGAAGCGCCAGTACGTGTCAGACGACGGCGGCGGGTACATTCGATCGCGCTCGGCCCGCAGGCTCGCCACCTGCTGCTCAACGAGCGCCTTGACGGCCGCGAGTTTGGCTTGGTCATCCTCCGATTGCGCCTCATCTGCAGCCACCCGGGCCTCGTAGAGCATGCGCAGGAAGTCCGGAGGCGGGTTCTGGACGAGGCAGTCGCTGAGCGCCTGCTCTGCGACCGTAGGCTGCTTGGAGAACGCGGCGAGCATCCTGGGCCTCACAGCCGACCACGCCTCTTTGTGGCGCGCCAGCCTGACCAGGTCGACCGACCCGCACGGGCTGTAGAGGTGGGAATCGGCGGTGGGAAAGAGGTCCATGTAGCGCTCAAAGAGAGCCGCGTTGAACGGCCGCGCGACGAGCGCATTGAGGGTCTCGTGCCGCAGCCGCATGTGCAGGGCCTCGATCTTCTCCTCGTCCTCCTCGTCGTCGTCCAGCACCGGCCTCTCGGGGTACCTCGCTCAGGGCGATCGACGCCTTGATGGCGTCGAGCAGCTCGATGAGCTGTGCGTCCGTCGGCTGCGTGGCCACCAGCGCCTTGAGGGCGCGCGTGTCGTGCTGCGCGAGCACCTCAAAGACGCCTGCCAGCCGCTCTGGCCAGGCGATCAGGACGTACTTGGAGTAGATAGTGTCCTGCGACGGGCCGTCGTTGCCCAGCCAGCCGCTCTCTTGCCTGCGGTGGCCGGCCCACAGCTGCAGCATCGACTTGCTGTCCGGGTTGAGCACGTCGCGGTTGGTGAAGAGGTGGCCCAGGCTGGCGTCGCCCGGAATCCGAGTGCCGTCGAGTCGCTGGTAGCGTTCGAAACGGATCACGGGCTCCCAGTACTCTGACCAGCCGCTCTCGGGACCGTCGAAGGCGTGCAGGGTCTTCCTCGTCGCCTCGGCGATGTAAAACGCGTAGCGGCGATCCTGGGACAGCAAGCGGCTGGCTGCACACAGGCTGGCCACGCGTTCGCGGTCGACACCCTTGAGGGCGCGCTCGCCCAGCTGCTTGATGCTCTTGGCCGTGTAGTCGTGGTCGAGGAGGTGGTAGAAGCGCCTCTCCTCGTCGGCGAGCTTGCCCAGCGCGGCTGCCAGCGCGGCAGTCCCGTCCGCATCGGCCGACGTAGGCGGCACCGTCGGCTCACCCTGGCTCGCAGGCCAGCAAACCGAGTAGACCAGCGCCAGGCGGTAGCCCTGCGTCACGGGCGTCACCTCGTGCTCGGCATCGGCGTAGTGGACCGCGTAGTGGCACTGAGAGGCCGCGGTGCCCCTGGCAGCGCCAAAGTCGTGGAAGATCGGGACACCGTTGCGGTAGACGATCAGCTGGCCGCCGCTGTGGACCGAGGGCAGCTGGATGACGAGGGTGGCAAACATGCCGTCCTCCTTTTCCGTGTCTCGGTGACAAGCAAAGTGGCCGCCAGGCTCGTAGAGGAGCAGCTTGTAGGGCTCCAAGGACAGGGGCGTGCCGGCGAAGCCCATCTTCTCGGCGATCAGGGGCCCAAAGGCGGCGATGCCGTCGTTCCACTCTGCGCCATGTACAGCGAACGCCGCAGGGTCGAGCTGCCAGGTCCTTCGGACGGCGGTGTCGACGAGGGTTTCCGTGCCACGGCCAAAGGGGGCCTGCTGACAGGTGGCGGCCAAGCGGGCAGCCTCGGCGGGGTCAACTAGGGGCAGAGCGACGCGTCCGTAGCCTTGGACGATGAGCTCGGGCGAGGGCGGGAGCTGATCGGCGACGCCGCCAAAGCTGAAGCTCGCGAGCTGACGCTGCTGGTCCGCGGCAAGAAGGGCGTCGACGTCATGCAGCGGACCCGTCTGCTCTCCGATCTGGGTGGCTGGCACGTCCGTCTCATGGACCGGATAGTCTTCGTCGCGGCGACGACGATGGCCGCCACCACCACCGCCGCCGCGGTGCGAGTGGCCAAACATATGGAGGGACCACGTTGCGGGAGGATCGCGGGAGAGGGGTGGGATAGAGGAGTGCGGCGGTACCGAGACGACGCTGGCGACTTCGGTGGTCAAGGCCGACTGGGCCTGGGCGCAGAGACGGTTAGGTGGGGAAGAAATGAAGAGTCGAGGGGCGAGTGGTGATGTTGGTTGTGGCGGCAGGGAGGAAAGCGAGAAGCCTTGCGGGTTAAATTGAGGGGTTGGAGAAGGAGGAGGCAGGCGGAGCGTCGAGCCAGGCGAGGTGGCACGCGGCGCGCACGGCACAAGCTCCCGAGCTGAGGCGGGCAGCAAAAAGAAAAGCCCGGCTGAGAGGTGCGCGGGCTGAGCGCAGCACCGCCTGCCCTGCCTGGCCACTCTGCTGGCCGCCATTTTTTTTCTTGGATGGCAAGGCGGATGGGTTGGCTGGCCTGCTGCGAGGGTGGCTGGCCTGGCTTGCTTGACCTGACCTCACCTCACCTCACCTCACCTCACCTCACCTCACCTCACCTCACCTGGCCGGCCCGCCCTCGTGCTCGAGCGGGCGCGAGTCAGAGGCTGGCTAGCTCTAGGTTTAGGCGGGCACGGACCGTCTTCTGCCCGGGAGGCTGTCGCTCCTGGCCGTGCCTGCTCGGCGGCAAATGAGGTCGAGCGCGGCGGGTCGCTGGCACAAGCAAGCTGAACGCAGGTCGCTCGACGTGGACCGCCTGCGCTTGGGACCAGCCTGCCCCCGGCACGGGCTCGACGTACTCTTCAGGGTACGATGATGGCGATGCCAGGGAACAGGGGAGAAGGCGAGCACGGCGTAGCTTGGCATTGATTGCGAGGCACGCATCCTCTACCTCTCTGTCTAAGGGCGGGAGCAGGGGGGAGGTGCAGCGCGGCTCCATCACAGCCCAAAGAGCCAGCGAGTGTTGCGCATCGCTGCTTCTGCGACCTCTTCTAGCGCGAGGCCCTTGACGCTGGCGACGGTGGCGGCGACGGCGCCAATGACGCAGGGCTCGTTGCGGCCCTTGACCATGGCATCGGGGCGCCACTTTTCCTTTTTGGCCGAGGCAGGCTGGTAGAGGGCGTGCAGGTCCGGCCGCGATGCCTTGAGCGCCTGGATGTGCGACGCCGAGGCGTGCGTCGAGCGCGGGTCGCACCAGGGGGCGTCGGTCTCGAGCATCAGGCGGCTGAGCGGGATGGCCTTGACGACGTCGAGGTTGTCCTGCGTCTTGAGCGAGCAGCCGTTGATGCCGATAAAGAGGCCCAGGTCGACGAGCTCGCGCATCTCGTCGAGCGTGCCCGTGAAGCTGTGGACCACGCCGACGCGCCTGGCCGCAGCGTCGTCGGGATGGGGCGCCGACGACGACGGCGACGACGACGACGACGAGAGGACGTCGTGGATCTCTTGTATGCGAGGCTTGAGGATGGCGGCAAAGTCGGCGTGGGCGGCGCGGGAATGGAGAAAGAGGGGCAGCTGCCAGCGCACGGCGAGGTCGAGCTGCGAGGCAAAGTGGCGCTTCTGCACCTCGGCGGGCGAAAAGTGAAGGCGGTCGTAGTCGAGGCCGCACTCGCCGATGGCCACCACCTTGCGCTGGCCCTTGCCCGCACCGACGTCGCCTTCGGACTGTCGAGATGCCTGGATAAGCTGCGAGAGCTGGGCGAGGTAGGCTTCGGCGCCATCCGGGTGCGATTCCATCTCCGACGTGCGCGTCGGGTGGCAGCCGACGGTCGAGTAGAAGGTGTCGTCGCCGTGGGCCAGCTCGAGGGCCTCCTGGGACTCTTGCAGGTTGCCTCCCGTGATGATCTGTCCCACGACGCCCGCTGCTTTTGCGCGCTCGAGGACACGGCCAAAATCGTCGTCGTGCGCCTGCTTGCCGTGGTGGTTGCCGCGGAAGATGGGGTCGGTGAGGTTGACGCCGATGTCGATGAAGCGCGGCAGTGCCGGTGTCGGTTCTGATGCCGATGCCGATGCCATCCTGGCGTTTGTGATTGTCGAGGAGAGGCTGCGGAGAGATCGGAGGATGGATCTAGAGGAGCAGCGCGGGGGCAGCCAGGGCGGTCGAGGGGCCAGGACAACAAAGCAGAGGCTCATGCAGCACCACGTCAGGAGTGCGGTGGGTCACGAGGCAAGACGGGAGGGTACGAGACAGCGTCGGAGTCTAGCCGGGTGCCAAGGCGGATGGACCGTATGGCTGTCGGATGGGCCGTCGACGATGGGTTGGCCAGCGAGGGCGACGGTGGTGGTGGTGGTCGTGGTGGCAGCAAAGGGCGGGCGAGCGAGGCGCAGGCTGGCTCGACCGAGGCCGACTTTCTTCTCATCCGCGTCCGTACGCCCACGATGGGCTGCAGCGCCTCTGCAGCGACGGCGTGGCATGTGGAGGCAAAGGGGGGCGATCCGGCTCTGCCCCTCACCCCCTGGCTCTCTTCGCCACCACCATCACCGCCATCACCTCCCTTCTCAGCTCGTCTTCGGTCGTCTTCCAGCATGCCATCATGACCCTCGCAGTCATGTCCTCATCCGCCAGCGCCACCATGCAGCTCGCAGCATCGGCAACGGCGGCGGCAGCTGATCCCATGGCATGGTCGACCGGCCGCTGGCTCTCGCTGTCCAGCCTCGACCTGCTCCTGCTGCCCCCGCTCCTCGTCCTCTGCCTCTTCCTCACCTTGCCTGCCTTACTCTCCCTCTTCGCAGCCAGGCCCACAAAAGGCAGCACTCGCTTCTCGCCCGCGCCCTCGGCCTTTGTGGTGCCCGCCTTCACCCGCCACGCCCGCTTCCTGCCCCGCGAATCGGCTCACCGCTTCAAGTACAACACCCTCTACCTCGCCGTCCGCCTCGACAGCCTCGAGAGCCACGCGATCGACACCGGCCACGCCTTCGCTTGGAAGGGCTCCCACTTTGATCCAGAATGGCAGGACGAGTCGCGCCTGGCCGCGGCCAAACTCGTCCGAAGCGGCAGCCGCAGCATCAGCGGAGCCTCGGACACCGCCCCGGCTCCCAATAACGCCATCACCTCCATCGACGAGGAGGACGAGGATCTCGTCGAGCCTCCGCGGGCCGAGAAGCCCAGCCTGGAAGAGTGGAAGGCCAGCATGCGGCGCTCGGAGCGAAAGGAGCGGAGGAGCAAGGAGGAAAAGCGCCGAAAGGTCGACGCCACCACCTGGGCCATCACGGCGCTCCACCCGGAATCCTACCTCCGCAACGACTTCGACACAAAGCCCAGCGTCGATGCCGTCGGCAATGCTCTCGACAAAGAGGCCGCGCTGAGCTCGGCCCGCAAGGCGCAGTGGCTCCAGGGCTCGATCCTGCTCAAGCTCGCCTACGAGCTGCGGGAGCGCGGCTACCTCCGGCACGGCCCGCAGGACGAAACCGGGCTGGCGGGTACAGAGGCCAAGTGGTCCCAGGAGTTGGGCCAGGTCTGGACGGTGACGATGCCGGCCGTGTTCGGCATCAAGGGCATCAACCCGCTCACTGTGCACTACTGCTACCGGCCGGTCAATGCGCTTGCGGCTGGCGTCACTCCGCCATCGAACAAGGGCGACGGCCCCCATCACGGCGATGGAGCGCTGGGCGACTTTTGGCTGGTGGTTCTCGAGGTACACAACACCTTCAACGAGCGTCACGTTTACATCCTCGAGGCGGGCGTAGGCGAGGACAAGCCACGGCAGTCGGACGCTGGCTCCATCAGCGACAGCACCGATGAGGGCGGTCGACGCAGGGGCTACGACCATCAGTGGACGTTCCCGCGCTCCTTCCACGTTTCGCCCTTCAACGATCGCGGCGGCTACTACCGGCTCTTCCTGAGGGATCCCTTCCCTGGGCGCACGACGGCCGAACCATTCGTTCTGGGCATCCGCCTCCTGCTGCTCATCGAAGGCGGGAGCGAGGGCCAGGTCGAAGGCAACACGACACCCGCCAGCGCCTCCGTCACTGGCGGCCAGCACGCGCCGCCCCTTCTCCTCGAAAAGAAGCTCATGGCCTCGCTCGACTCCTACCCAGCCACGCACGACCGGCGCGTGCTGCCGCTGACGGCGCTGCACCTCTACATGGCACTGCTGCGCCAGCCGTTCGACCTTTTCCTCACGTTTGCCCGCATCCTCTTCGAAGCGGGCAAGCTGCACTTCGCCAAGAAGCTCGACGCATTCGGAAGGCCGGACATGGTGCAGACGTGGGAAGGCCAGGACGCGGTAGGCGCCCCGCAGCAGCATCAGCGCCAGCATCAGTGGGACGGACAGGGCATCCCGCCTCCCCTGAACCGGATCCAGCCGCATCGCAAGCTGGAGCAAGCATCCAACGAAGCCGCCAAGCCCGCCGGCGGGCTCCTCTACCCGGCTCAGGCAGCTGGCGAGACGGCCGCCAAGCGGTACCTCGAGCGATTTGCACAGAGGCGCGTCGAAGAGCTTGGCCGTGGTCGAGACGGCGCAGCGTGGTCCTTCAAGGTGGTCAGTACCGACCCAGCCGATGACGGCATCAGCGTCGCTGCGCCCGACGTCGCAACGGACCACGCCGACAGTGGGACGACCACACGAGAGCTGGTCCTCTACACCCGATCCGGGAGCGTGTACACCGACCTGCTGCTCTTTCGAGACGCGCGGGTGGCACGGCTGGTGGGGTCGTTGGTGGGCAGGCGCTGGGGGGTCAATGACGTCGCGCTCTTTGAGACATTCTTCGGACGCGACAAGCTCCACCGCGCAGGCACGGGCAAGACCGCAAGGTGGATCGAACGGGTGCAGAGGAGGCATCTGCGCTGGTCCCTCGACTGCGCCATCGCTGCCGATCCATCGATCGGGGTCAGCGTGCAAGAGGCGGAAGGGGGTCTCTATGCCGCCCTCGACTCGTCGGAGCACACTTCGGCCGACACTGCCGCGCTTTGCGCCTCCGCCTTGGACCTCGATGCGGCCTCACCGACCTGGTCCGTCTTCACGACGGTGCTGCTGTCGCACCTGGCGGGTGTGGCCGAGGAGAGGGCGTTCCACTACCTGGGCGCGCGGTACGTGCGCGGCACCGAACCGTGGCTCGAGCTGCAGCGCGGTATTCGCCTCTTGCGCGACGGCGAGTCGGTCAAGGCGTCGTGGGATCTTGGACTGGGCAGCGTACGGAGGTGATCGGGAAGGAGGGCGCTATGTCGGCTTCTCCGATTGGCGAATCATAGGCAGCCGGCCGGCCAGGTGGCCACCTCGTCTCCCTTGCGCGGTTTGGGCCGCGCAAGCCACTCAGCCCTGAGACCTGGCCGGACCAGAGTAGGCACGGCCATAGGAAAGGGCTGCGCTGGGTGAGGAAGGGCAGGGCAGGTCCACGCGCGCAGGCTCGCCCACACGTCTGCCAGAACTTTGGCACTGGTTCATTTGGCGTCGTCCTGTCTTCTCTTCTCCCTACCACCACCACCAACCCCTCTCGCCAACTGTCTGCGCCGTTGTCGTTTTCCTCTCGTTTTCCTCTCCCAGCCCGTCACCGTACCATTCCTCGATCCGAACCTCGTTCTTCCTCGCTTGTTGATACACGCCTCGCCTCCTGCCGCTATCGTCACCCGTCAGCATCAGTCGTCGGCTTGACGTTCCATCGCCTGCAGCGCTCACCCATCAGCGATATGTCCGGCAACGAATCTAGCGTCGATGACGGGCAGACGGACGCCACTTCGACCAGCGAGTCGGGCCAAGTCGCTCGAGAGCAGGCCGGTTCGCTCTCCGAGCTGGGCAAGCTGATGGCCAGGGTTCAGCAGCAGCAGCAGGACCTCGCAAGCTTCACCTTTGGTGGTCTCGCCGACACGTTGCCGCCGCTTTCTAGCATCAGCGTCAACGGGTGCGGTCCGATCCCCCTCCCGCTCGTCGACCACGAGGACGCCAAACGACTCGCTGGTGTCTGCGAACGGGCGCCGTCACCGTGCGCAGCTTTTGCCGACGCTTCGGCTGGCAAACCCTGCCAGCTCGATGCGGGAAAGGTGACCGTCGACAACCAGGCGTGGCGCGACGGCCTCGCTGCCCTTGGCTCGCAGATCGCCGACAGGTTCGGCTTTGTCGACACGCCCCTCACGCTGCACCTCGACAAGTTTCTCTTTCACGAGGCCGGCGGTCCCTCTGGCAGCCTTTGTCGCACCAAATCCCGCGACGGCATGTTTGCCACGCTCGTCGTGCAGCTCCCCTCGATCCACAGCGGCGGCCAGCTGGCCGTATACAAGGGAGGCGACTCGATGACGCACGACTTTGGCGCTGTAGCCGGCACGACCGCGTCCGGATGCCACTTTGCTGTCCACCACTCGGACCTCGAGCACGAGGTGCTGTCCGTGACGCAGGGCTACCGTCTCCTGCTCGTCTATGCCGTCTGCTGGCCGGCGGATCGCGCCAGGTCGACGATCCCCTCCACCGTCGACGACGATGTCGTCTCGCAGATGGCGGCTTGCCTCTGGCATCTGAGCAAACAGGAGCGTCACTTCTACCTCTTCCTCGACCACGAGTACCCTGCCGAGCTCAGCACCGGTCAAGGCAACACGGTCTTCAAGGGCGTCGACCATGAGCGCCTCGTGAGCCTGCGTGCCGCCAATACGCTGCTCTCGGAGGATCGCCGCTACGCATTCTTCGTGGCCAAGGCCCGGATTGACCGGAGATTTGTGTCCCACTCATATGGGGACGTGTCGTTGAGCAAAACGTGCGCGATCGCCTTTGCAGATTTGCAACACCTCGACGGAGGCACGCGCATCCCGGGAAACTGCAGTCCAGACAAGTACTTCGGCGACGAGGACATCCTCAACCCGGACGCCGAAACGCTCAAGGATCCCTGGGAGCGACGCCCAAAGGCGCAGGACGAGAACGGCGTGCACGAATCGGAACTTCCAGAGCGGTGGACCAAGAATGTCCTGATCGCGTGGCCAGACCGCGATTGGCACCGGCTTACGATAGCATGCGTGGGGGAGACCAACTACTTCTGCAACAACATCCTGGCCAGGCACATCCTCCCAGACGCCTCCCTGCGATCTTTCCTGGAGCTCACAAAGAAGTTTCACGCCCCCACGGTACGTGAACTCAAGAGCAAGATGCGTCTCGAGAACCTATGCGTAATCGTCGTCCAGACACTCGTCAAGCGCCCGTTCAACCAGCAGCTGCTCGACCTCCTGTTGGACATCTACTCGATGACCGACATGCTCCAGTCCCCGTTTGCCGACAGGCGCGCCTTCCTCCCGCTGCTCATGTGGGAGGAAGCGAGGCCGACGGTACGGGTTCGCCTCTTTGACATGCTGTCCCCAGACCCGCTCCTCATCCTCACGGCGGTGGTACAGTGCAGAGAGGACGGAGCGCAGGACATGGCCGAGACGCTTATCAAGGTCCTGCTGCGTTCCGAACACGGCCTCGGACGTGGAGACCATGGTTTCAATTGCGCGAAGCCATTCACGATACTCCGCTACGCACTGTCCGAGCCGAACGCCGCCGTCTGCGGAAACGTCGTGCAACGACTCCTCAACTCACCCGATGCCCGTCTTAGCTTCGAACCGGGCATGGACGCGCTCCTCGGGATCCGATCCGACTCTCCGGACGACTACAGCGAGGCGAAGCGCGATGCCATCCGTCCGTACGTCGAGCGCAGCCTCGCCTGGCTCCGAGAGGAGCGCGACGAGACCGCGCTGCCCAGGCCGGCGGAAGACTACTGGCGCTTCGATTCCGCCGACTTCTACCACGATGCCCGGGTCGAAGCTTTCCTCCGGGGACCCGAACGCACCATCACCATCTCGGGACTGGACGCAGCCGAGGCGCGGGACCTCGTCGCCAACTGCGAAGAGAGGATGCCCGTCGAAGCCGCGACGAACGTGGAGGCGTGGCGACGTCGTGGCTGGCGCCCGTTTTCGTTTACGACGGCGGCGACGTTCGAGGCGGACGACGGCAGGACGTCCTGCGTCACGCTCACCAAGACGGACCTGTACCCGCAGCAGCGTCAGCTCGGTCGATCCTGGAAGGTGAAGAGATTGGACAAGCAGCTGGCCGAGTGGGCGTCGCTGCTCGTGGTGTCCTCCCGTCCTCGAGCTAGCGCGGAGACGGTCCAGATCGAGGCCGAGGCCGAGCCGAATCGCGATGGCGTGCATGAGAAGGATGTCCAGCAAGCTCAGGGAGCATCGACGTTGCAGCCGAAGCCGGACGAGGGCAGCAAGCCCGCCGCTGCTCCCAGCTCTGCTCGCAGCAGAAGGGCCACATCGCCGCACTCGCAGGACGGGGCGGATGAAGGACAAGAGCACCGAAGCAAGCGGATCAAGACGGACGAGTAGGCCGAGCAGCCGCGCTCATCAGCCACGGCTCTCTCCGGCTTCTTCCTCCGACCCGATTCGGTGTGGATCGAGCTGGCGCGCCTTATCGAGAAGATGCAGAACACAGTGAAGGAAAGACGATCAAGAAGACGGCATCGACGCGCGATGGGGGGCGCCAAGCGAAGAGAAGAAGGCGCACTGCGACGCCAAAGGCCAAGACGACCTCGAAAAAGTGAAGATTCAGCGACCAGCATCGACGACGACGGTGCGGGACGATCCGTTCGAGAGCTGGTCCTCTCACGGCAACCAGAAAGGCACACGCGCGACAGACACCAGACAAAAACGACGACGGCGGGCCGTTTGTTCCTTTTGCAGAGCCGCGATGAACCAAGCTCGACCGAGCAGAAGAAGTACCAGGGCGATGGCGGACGCTGGCCGTCTGTCTGTGCCATCATGAAGCGATCTGTGAATCGAAGATGGGGGGCCATCGCATCGCGTGCCTCTTTGAGCTCTTGCGGTCGCCTCAGACCGGACTTGGGGCACCCAGCTACATACATGATCCATGCGAAGGTCCCCCACCTCCCGCCCTTGCGGCAGCGACGCAGATGCCCATCCACCGTGACTCCGCGAGAGGGGAGCGGTACGTTCGCCGCGCACTCGTATGGGCTCCGCTCTAGACGCATATGTGTGCCGCTGTCTGCTCCTTTGCGCTCGCCACTATCCATGCTTCCACCTCGCACGTCCTTGCGATATTCGGCGATCAAGCCGTGTCAGACCGCAGCAGCCGTTGGGCGCCGTCATCGTCATCGTCATCGTCATTGTCATTGTCATTGTCAGAATGACAGCTGCATTGCTTCCGACCCGCTCCGCAGCCGCTGTTCAGGTCGGCGTGTCGTCGAGGATGACCGGCAAGGAGCTTACCGTTGCTGACACGGCGGCTGTACCCCTCGCTACATACGTCAGGTGCTGAACGGTGCTGCATTACTTTCTCTTATTCTCCGAAGGATCGAAGATCAATGTGACGGGGAGGCTGCCCTCTGAACCACGAGTGGGAGGACAGGGCCGCTCGCCAAGAGAATCATGTCTCTAGATCCGTGCGTACTCCTGCGGCTCGACAAAGTCAGCCGAAGTACTGCTGAACCTTGAACCATCCTGACGCGGGTCTGAGCTGCTGCTACACTCTGGGCACTTCGATGTTGCACAGACGGCACGGGAAGGAGTGACGCCAAGAGGACACGGCGACGTTGTCTTGTCCTCCCTCGTCTTGGCATGTGTTGCGACAGACTAGCTCGAGCCGCCTTGACGCGGCCATCATCATCCTGGGGCCGTACGGCGCGATCCGCGCGCGCAAGTCCCATCCTCGCTCGCTGCCGCACATCTGGCTTGCCAGAGCATGATCGCCGCGTTCTTGCTCTGCTTTCTCGCGACTGACGAAGAACGGGCGCTATTGGGCATGAAGGGGGGAGAGGGGGGAAGGGATATAAGGTCCTGTCGCCATTTGATCCGACGTCGATCTTCACCGCTTCACTCCGTTACTCACACTCCCACCGTCTCAGTCCAGCCGTCAAGACCAAGTCCCAAGTTCCAGGGTCACCTTTCACGATCCGCGAGTTCCTCCAGGTCCAAACGACAAGAGAAGATGCACCCTCCCACCTCCTTCCTCCTCGTCCCCCCTCGTCCTCTTCCTCCTCGTTGCAATCTCGAGCAGTACAGGCGTACACGCCAAGCACCCGCAAGATCGCAAGCCAGCCAAGTGCAAGGGGGCCGGTGAACCTCCGCTCTACCCTACGCCGGCTCGACCTCAGACTACCCCGACGCCTTGATCACCCTCGATCGCGCGAGGCAGGAGGAAAGGGCGGCACCCCAGCTGCGCAATCTCAACATGCTCGTCCCGATCCTCGTTTGAGGCAGGTCAAGAGCTCGTCGTTCCCTATCGCCATATCTGCGAGAACGCGCCGATGCACAGGCGGAGCGGGAGCGGCAACGCTGCTTCGACATCTGTGAATCCCACCTCCTTTCCCCTCCTCCTCTGTACCCCCTACGGAACCCCATGTCCAACGCGCCTCGCCATGCTTCCTGAAAGGACCCACCCATACATTCCCCTCGTGCCCGCCTGCGGGGGTTATCAATCAAAGACGATCTTCATGCCATAGTACTGCACGTACCCGGCCACGATGGCGAGACCGATGCAGGTAGGCAGGAGTTCGAGGCGTACGGCGGCAAAGATGCACAGCGTCCCCAGCGGCGGCACGCGGCGCATCACGACGTCGTAGGGTGACTGCTCGTCGACGTGCGAAATTAGGGAGCAGTACCAGTGCGGATTATCAGCGACGACGTCGGTCAACAAGAGCTGGATGCGGGGCGCGCGACCGGGCAGCGCACCTTGTTGACGATGTAGATGAGCGCCGGCGTGCATATGGTGAAGATGAGAAAGAGGAGGACTTGGAGTAGCACCTTGCGCTTTGATGTCAGGTCTGCGATTGCGGAACGCCGGTCACGGGCAGTCAGTCGGTCCGTCCGCTCAGCACCTCTACAGGTCAGGAAGGTGGTCGATGGGAGGAAACTTACTGTACCAGATGAAGAGCGCCAGCACTGCAGGTGTGGGAGGGCACGGATCGCCTGACTCGTCAGCCTCTCACTGCGTCACACATCCACCGCTTTTCCCTGGGGTGGTCGGGGCCAGCTGACTCACACGGCAGGGATCCGACGAGCCTGGCCATCTGGTCAAAGAAGCCGACGGTCTCGGCGTACTGCTGTCGTACGAGGATGTCGAGCAGGGTGTAGACGAAGCCAAAGGGCATGGTCCAGATGACGAGGTCGAGGGCGGATTCGAGCGCGGGCGACATGCCCCTGGCCTCCTGGTCGCGCATCAGCTTTTCCGCATCGTCGTCCGAGGCGTACTCAGCATCCGAGGGCTGGCCGTAGTCGTCTTGCGAGTCGTAGTCCTCGTCGTCGTCGTCGTCGTCGTCGTCGTCGGTGGAAGCGGTCCACTCTGCTGCCGGACCCCCGGCCTGCCGTGGCCGTGGTGGTGCCCTCTGCCGAGGCTGTGATGTCGACTTGCCGCCACTGCTGCTGCCGCTGCCGCTGCCGGTCTTTACGTCGCTCGGCCGCTTTTTGAGATCTTCGAGCTGTTTCTGCGCCTCTTGGAGCGTGATGTAGTCCTTTGGCAGGCCGAGCTTGTCGAGCACGCCCGTCTGGAAGAGGACCTGTTCGCGCTGGGCCGAGGTGAGCATCTCTGCCTCGTCGTCGTCGTCCGCCGCCGCGCCGGTGCCAGCGCTGCCGCCTGCGTGTGGAACATTGGAGACGTCTTCTGATACGATCTCGGTGATCTTGCCCATCGTCGGTGCTGTTCCGTGTGGGTGGTCGTGAAAGTGGTGGTGGTGGTGGTGGTGGTGAGGTGCCAAGGCGAGGGCCCTTGGGACCCCTTTTTTCCGCGGCGTTTTCGGACGAGTTTTTGGCGGCATGCCTCCACTTTTATTTCTTCCTGCCTCGGAGACGCGCCGTTGCCGCACGGACCGCTGCCGCTGCCGCTGCCTCTGCCCCGCTCGCCACCATCAACCAAGTCGACCTGCTCTGCTGCGCAGGCTGCGGCGGTGATATCCTCGGACGACGTTGCGACTGGGCGCCCTCGCCCATACACCCCGCTACACTACGCTGCACCCGCACTGCGCTACGCGAGGAACTCGAGCATGTGCTGCGCCACCAGGTCCGGGTGCGTCAGGACGATCCAGTGATTGCCCTGCGGGATCACCTTGACCTCGAGCCCAGGTCCAAAGTAGCGCTTGGTGGCCAGGGGCACGATATCGTCGGCGTCGCCCCAGATGGCCACGCACCGCTTGCCAAACGACTGGACGACCTTTTCGTGCACCTCGCCGCTGTCAAACACGGGAGAGCACTGCAGGCTCGACTGCGGCGTGGCAGACGGCAAGGGACAGCAGAGAAGACAAATAGGGGGTCAGGGTGCGCATCCAGGATGATGGACGACAGCGCCGACAACGACCACGACCATGACCCACTCACGATGAAGCTGTACTGGTATCCCGCGTGGTTCTCCGACTGCCAGTGCACCACGCTGCCTTTGGGCGGCTTGGGCAGGATGTTGACCGCGCCCAGCAGCAGTCGCACCACCGACACGGGCATCAGCCGCGAAAAGGCCATCCGCCGAGCCAGGCCCAGGTGCTTCCTCGGCGTACCTCCGGCGGGGCAGATGAGCACCAGCCGTCGCACCCGCCCGGGGAAGTAGTGGGCAAATTGCGACACGATGGCGCCGCCCAACGACATGCCCGCCAGGTCGAACCGATCAAAGTCGGGCACGTCGCCGAGAACAAAGAGGATCTGCGAGACAAACAGCGACACGTCCTGCGGAACCAGGGGCGCGTCCGAGTAGCCGCGGCCCAGCAGGTCAAAGCAGAGGACCCGGTAGCCCTGCTCGACGAGCTTGGGGATCAGCTTGGACCAGCATGGCGTCGGCGTAGAGATGCCGTGCACCAGCAGCAGCTTCTTGCCATCCCGCGGGCCAATGTCGTAGTACCGAATGCGACCGAGGGGCGTCTCGAGGTCTCTGAGCGGTGGCAAGAGGGCACAACCACCAAGCAGCAGCGGGAAAGCCAACCCGACCGTCAGCGGATCGTCGCGACCAGTGGCTTCCGACGAAAGGAGAGGCAGTCCAGGCGGCACACTGACACCTCGCCCGACTCACTTTGCGCCAGGATAGAGGTCGGTCGGGTAGGGTCCGTCGTTGCTGCGCGGCGGCGAGAGGAGCAGCGCGGGTCGGATGGCATGGTCGATGCCACCCCTGGCCACCGACGAGACAAAGAGGCAAGCGATGGCGCCAACGGCGGCCGCCGCTGCAGCCGTTGCCGCCGTCGAGGCGTTGCCGTGCGGGCCGCGGCCAAAGATGTGCGCGAGGTCGAGGTGATAGGGCGCCATCGTGCGTGGTCCGCTGATCCAAGGGCGGCAAGCAAGGAGAGAGAAGTGCAGGATGCAGCCGGCGGCAAGAGGGACGATGCGGCACCGCACGGCTAGAGGTCGAGGCAACGAGGCAGGGAGAGAGGCCAAGCGGCGGAAGGCAGGGATGGCCGACGTAAGGTGCCGGTCGGGAGCAAAGGCGGCCTAAGAAGCTTCCGGCCGCGGCAGACGGGCCAGGCTCAGGGGCTCACCGCACCCGCTTGCCTGGCCATCCCTGCCCTCGCCGGCAGCGTCCCGAAAACGTGGCCACGGCGACGGAAGGCCAGCGGACAGGCTAGGGCCGCCGTCGGTAGGCAATTCGTAAGCCACGCCCGCACCGAGGCTGGGCGAGGTTTCGGAGAGAGCGGTGGCTGTGCCAAAGTCTCGAGGCGGCCGCCAAAGAGGGGGTCAGACGAGCAGATAGAGCAGATCGACCGACACCTCCGCCAGCCTCGGACCTGGCCTGCCTTGACCGGCCCCATCCGCCACGGCGGCATCCCTCCATCGGTCTGCTCAGGGGTCGAGTGCAGGGCCGGCAGGCAGGCTTCGGGTAGAAGGTCGCTCCACCGGCCCTCCGTCCCCGCTGCTTCGGCGGCTGGGTTGGAGTCGGAGTGGCCGCGGATGGTGTTGGTCGGGTTGCGTGCACAGGGCCAGAGGCAGAGGCAGAGGCAGGCCAGGCCTGGCAGCGCCAAATATCAAATTCATCCGCGGGGCAGCGGGGCAAACAGCCAGGCCTACCTGGTCGGCCAGGCCAGGGCAGACCACGGCCGTACGTCTGTGTCGGCTGTTGGCCGAAGCCGCTCCACCTCGGTTCATCACCCATCGCCCTGTGATCCGACCCCGCTGTGACGCCCGCCTCTCTCTCTGCCTTTGCCTCGCTTCGCCTTGTCTCCATCGCCGCGCCTCTCGCCGGCGCTGCTCCATCACCACCACCACTAGGCACCATCTCCGCGACTGCTGCGCCCCCCCTTCCCTGACCCGCCGGCTGCGCCCTTGGACGCCGCTTTGACAAAAAGCCGCATCGCCTCTTGGTCGTCCCCGGCTTCTCTCTTGCCCTCCTGCCACCACCTCACCTTCTGTCCCGCTCCCAACGTCTACGACGGCCTCCAAGTACCTTCGCCGCTGTCGCTTTCGCCGCCGCCCTCCCGTCCGGTGATGCCTCTGTCCCCCCTCGCTCAGCCCAACCCGACCACCACCTTCATCAACCCTCACAGCGTGTACGGATCGCCCAACCAGGCCTCGCGCGCGCAGCAGTCTAGGCACCAGCTCGCCGCCTCGTCCCACTCGGCCTCGAGCACCCCCCGCTCCGTATCGGCCGCACCCTCGCCCTCGGCCCTAGAACACTCGGACCCGCTCAGCAACCCGCTCCTCGCAGGAGGATCCCAAGACACCAAGGTCGACCCCGCCACCTTGACCGCCCTCCAAGACGCAGACGCCAGCTACGAAGACGCCTCCCTCTCCGGCTACCCCTCCATCCGCGACATCCAGGCACAGGCCCAGAGGCACCAGCAGTACTACTACCCCGCCGACTACCCGTCCCCGGCCGACCACCACCCCTCGACGACCGAGCACAACAGCCGCTGGACCCCCAAGCCCTTCCGCAAGCCGCCGCTCCAGCGCAATTACGACAGCTACCGCTCCATTGCCCACCCGTTCGAGTCGTTTAGCGACAGCGACCACTCCCACCCCAACCACCGCCGCCGCCCAAACAGCACCCTCTTTGGTCGCCTCGCCAGCCGCGCCTCCGAGTTTGGCCGCAACATGTACGCCCAGAACCAGAACGGCAATGACGGCACCGCCGACCAGCACCAGCACCAGCACGTACACGTTGGACCGGCTGCTGGTGTCAACGGCGGACAACACATCCCCTCGGCTTCCAAGCTGCCCGGCGGCGACCTTTACCGCACGCTGCGGTGGTCGCGCCAGCGCCCGCCCATGACGCGCGAGCGCAAGCTGCTGCTGCTGCGCAGCTACCTGCCGGACTGGATCATCACCATCGTCCTGGCCGGCCTGCTGGCGCTCATCAACAATGTGCACGGCTTCCGCCGCGAATTCAGCCTGACCGACACGAGCATCCAGCACACATTTGCCACGAGCGAGCGCGTGCCCATGTGGCTGCTCGGCGTGTCGGCCGTCATTGTGCCCGCCCTCATCATCGCTGGCGTGGCGCTGGGCGTGTCGCGCTCCGTGTGGGACCTGCACAACGGCCTGCTGGGTTTCGTGCTGGCCCACTGCCTCAACGTCACCGCGACCACCATCATCAAGGTGTGCGTGGGCCGTCCGCGTCCGGACCTGATTGACCGGTGCCAGCCGCGGCCGGGCTCGGCCAACGCGCAGCCGTACGGCCTGGCCACGGACGCCATTTGCAGCGTGGGCGTCGACAATTCGGAGCTGCGCGACGGCTTCCGCAGCTTCCCCTCTGGCCATGCCAGCTCGGCGTTTGCGGGCCTGACGTTCCTCAGCCTCTACCTGGCCGCCAAGATGCACCTCTTTGACCGGCGCGGCCACGCCATCTCGGCCTGGCTCACGCTGACGCCCATGCTGGGCGCCGTGCTGATCGCAGTGTCGAGGACCATGGACTACCGCCACCACGCCACCGACGTCATTGCCGGCGGCATCCTCGGCTTCGTCATGGCCTTTAGCGTGTACCGCCTCTACTTTCCGCCGCTCAGCCACCCGCTCTGCCACAAGCCCTACAGCCCGCGTATCCCGCGCGAGGGAATGTTCTCCACCGGCGCCGGCTACGACGAGGGCGATGTCGAGGAGAACGCGTCGGAGCTCGACGACTCGCCGCGACACCAGCACCGTCACCACCACCACCACCACCACCATCGTCACCACGGTGCTGATACCGCCGCTGCTGTTGGTGGCGATGGCGCAGGTGGTGCGACGACGACGACGACGTACGGCGGCGCACCCGGTGCGGGCACGCACTCGCGGCAGGGATCGGATGCGCGCATGCTCGACGCCACCAAGGGCGTGGTGCAGGCCTACGAGCGCGACCCGAGCCCCGTCCACGGCGCAAAGGCGTCGCTCGAAGACGACTACGTCCCCGAAACCGTCAACCGCGTCTGAGTCCGTTGGATTTAACCCCCGCCTGCCGTTGGAAGAACGACGACGACGGACGTTGTTGCGCCGGCGGTTGATGGCCGTGTATATATTCTGCTGCTTATCGACGAACGGACGAGACGAGACGAAACGAAACGAAACGAAACGAGACGAGACGAGACGAGACGAACAATGATTTCTCCAGACTCGCGGTCCCCCCGCCATCCCCGTTTGGTACGATGCGGGGTGGCGGAGCGTAGACGGGTTGATCGAATGCGACGCCGGTGCACAGCTCCCGTTCCGCCAGCTGGAGACGGCCTGTCTGCGATGGCGACAAAGAGACGGGATCGAGTCGAGCCAGGCCGACAAGGCCCGACCAACGTGGGGCGAGAGCGGCATCAGAGGCGAGGCAGCCATCCGACGGTCCAAGCTCCAAAGCTACGTCGGGAGGGGGGGTAGATGTGTGCCGAGGCGCGCAGCAGGTCGACGAGGCCGTCGCAGGCCTCGGCGGGGAGGTGGATCCGTTCGATGCCCTCCCCCCCGCTTTTTGCCTGCATGACGGCGGCAGCCGTCGAAGAGGGGAGGATCTGGAAGAGACACTTGGCTGCGTGGATCGGTTGCCGTTTCGGGTTCGTCTCGTTCTCGCCCCGTTGTCGTCGGTTTGAAAGGGCGGGTGGGAGAGGATGGGAAGTCAAAATTTGAAAGGAGGGTTGGAAGAGCCAGATCTATCATCCACGCACGCCGAGGATGGCATCGGAACGGGATTGGGCGTCAGTGGGAGTGGTCCTGCCCGGCGACTAGGGAAGGAAGGGGCCAAGGCAGACTCACCAGGATCCTCTCGCGACCGCTCCCCTCGTCGGCCAGGACAAAGTGGTAGGCGGCATGGGCGCGGGCGACGTCGAGCATCTGCGCCGAAACGAGGCGCGGCAGTGCGTCCGGTTCCGACGCGCTCGAAATGGCATGCTTGTGCAGCTTCAACGCCGTCACGCCCCCGGCCGCATCGGACGTCGAGCTGGACACGAAGGCCGCACCGACAGAACGAAGGCATGCCGTACATCGCACCACCGCCGCCGTCGTCGTCGTCATCGTCGTCGCTCCTTCTGCCGCGCTCGCCGTAGCCTGTCGGCGTCAAGAGAGCCCAGGAAAAAAAGGGGGATGCGGAGCGTCAGCCGATGTCCTCTACGTTAGTGACCCTCCTCTCTACGGATCTGGGGAGGGGAGAGTGTTTCTGGGTAGAGTCGAGGTCGATCTGGGACGCATAGTATCAGTCGGGTCGTCGAAGCGGACAGACGGCCGTACGGACCAGAGGCCAGGCGAGGACGGAGAAGAGGTTGCGCGCCGAGACGCAAACCTGCCTGCCTGCCCGCCTTAGCCGCGAAGCGACCGACAGCGAAACGGCGGCGGTTCCTCGTCATGCGGCGGCAACATCCCGTGCCTTTGTCCGCCTTTCCTCGGTCCGAGACGGCCGTGTCCGCTTCGACCGCCGGTGGGCTGGGTAGGCGTCGACTTTCTGATGGTCCGGTGGTGGCTGCAGAACAGCAGTAGAGTGCAATATGGAGTAGGAAGAGCCAGGGAGAGCGTTTCATGTCACGGCCACTCACCGTCGGATGGCTGCTGCCTGCAGCCGCGTCCCACGAAAGCGCGTCTGGCCGTGCTGACGAGGCCGGGAGCATCAGATGCAGGTCGGCCACCCAGACCTCGTCGGATGGGATGGGCCTGCCTTCTTCGAGACCCTGTTTGCCCCTTGCCACGCTCTCGTTGAGCTCCTGGTCGCCGTGGCACATCCACGCGTCGACCAGCTCCTCCCAGTGCTGCGAGGGCAGCGCTCGATACCGCCGTGTCGTGAGGCCAAGGTCCGCCAGTACGGCGTCGCAGCCGGCGCAGGACAGCGTCGGGGGCCGGTGCAGTGCCAGCGAGTCGGAGGAAAAGGGAAATGCGACGGGCTCGGACGAGTGTGACAGGTGCGTGGACGGTGCGCTGCTGATGGCAGCCCGTCGAGGCATGGAAAGCCGGAAGGCGAAGTGGTCCTGGCTGAGCTGCGCGGACCCCCTTTGAAGCGGTACGCCGAGGCCAGGTAACGGGACAGTCACGTCAGGGTGGGAGCTTGAAGGGCCTTGCGATAGGTGCAGCGTCGTCTCGAGGCTGTCCTCGGCATCGTCAACAGAAGCGCTGCCGCTGTTGCACACTTCGTACACGAGGTTTGTCGTCGTTGTCCCAGGGCTGCCGCCGTAGACCGTCGCCATACCATTTATGGCGAACAGGTTGGCCTGGGTCTCGAGGATGTAGTGCATTCCTGCAACCGAGCGAGAATGGGCGAGCGCGACAGTCTGAGCATCCAATGCCGTTCCCTCGGCGCCAGCAGCCGGACCTCGTGCCAACGACGACGGGAGCGATAGCGGCGACGACTCACATGCGGTGGTCTGAGGAACCGAAGCAGGGTGGCTGGCCGCGCACACCATGTCGGCGGCTCCGTCGCCGCGCTCGCCCCGCGTTGCCGAAGCCATCGCAGTAGCGGCGCTGATGCTCGCCCTCGGCGTGGTCGTGTCGAGAAGGTCGTCGCGGCCGCCAATCAGGTCCGGCTGCGAACCGCGTCGAGAGGCCGATGCCGACGCCGACGGCCTCTTGCCTCCAGAGCGCCGCGGTGCCATGATGGCATCCTGGCCCGCCATCCGGGCCTGGCCCTGGTTGTTGAGCAGCTGGAAGAGGGTCTCATCGGCGTCGGCGTTGACGTCGCGGTCGATACCGACGCTCTCGGGCTCGTAAGCAGAGCCCAGGAGCGCGCTAGCCTTGCGGCCGGGACGCGGCTTCATCGCCACCCTCTGCTCGCCCAGATCCATGTCCTGGGCACGGTGCACCGAGGCAAAGAGCTCGTCGAGCGAGGCAAAGTCGCGCTCCTGACCCTCGCTATTGCTCCAGCGCATCGACGTTCCCCGCATCTCCGCATCGCGCTCCTTTGCCTTGCCCTTGACATCGACAAACGAGCTGCGCTTGAGAGTGTTGGCGAGGCTCGTCACCGAAAACTTGCGACCGAGCTGGGCGGCCGCCGAGAGTCGTCGGTGAGTGCGGACGTCATTGTCGACGCCGAGGAGGCGGCTCGAAGAGGCAAACGCCGACGAGGACCCCGTCGCCCCTCCTGAAGTCGGGTCGGACGCCTTGCGCGTGCGGATCGAGGGCGGATCGGCGCGCTGGTCATTGAGCCGAGGCGTGGCAGCCAGCTTGTCCATCATCCTCTGCAGGCGGTCGTCGCGCATCTGGTCGGGCGGCAGTGAGCAGCGCTGGTTCAAAAATTGCGGGACCGCCGAGTACAATCGTTCAATCGAATGTTGGATGACGAGCAGGTCCTCGGGCGTCCTGGCCGCATAGGCGGCGGCCGCTTGCGATCGGAGCGTCGACGTCGACGTCTGCTTCTCGGCCTCCTTGACTGGCGCTGCGGGTTGCGGAACGGCCTCGTCATCTTGAAGCTTCTCCTTTTCGGCGGAGCGGAGGTGCGAGAACGCTTCCTCTTCATCGGTGTAGCTGGGCAGGGACCAGATTCGCTCGCGGAAGCCGGCCAGATCCTTGCTGTCGGCTGCGACCTTGCCGTGCGATCCGTGGGTGTCGAGCGAGCCGCAGCCGTAGGACGGGGGCAAAGAGTGTTCGGACCAGACCGAGGCTCGCAGCGGTGCGTGGTAAGACGTGGAAGACTGCGCCAACGTGGCACGGCCTGATTCGACCGAGACCATCGAGGCCCGCGTGGAGCTCCTCGAGGCGGCTTTTGGGCTCAGCTGGGGCATCAGCTCGCGGACCAGGGCATCGTATGGACCAGGAGCGGGTCGACTTGCATGGCTTGCGTGGTTCAGGCTCCCCACGACGTCGCCTTGCTCGGCGAGCTGTGGAGAGGGATCGACGGGCCGGACCTCGGTCGAGCTGCGCCAGGCAACGAGCTCCTTGGTGATGGCCACGAGCTCCGACAGCTGCTGCCAGGCCTCTTGGCTAGGCACTGAGGTACGTGCCGAGCCTGAGCCGGCCGCAGGGCCAGGAGCAAGCGGCGCTGCTGCGTCACGCAACAGAGTGCTCGCATGCAAGGAAATCAGCCGACGATGTAGCCGGCCAAAAGCATCGCCGACGGCGGCGTCGACGGACACATCGCCAAAGGGGTTGTCGAGCTCCTCGCTATGAGACGATCGTGCAGTCGCGAAAGAGTCGCGGCGCCGCGCCGATGTCGAGCGCGGCTTGGAGTCGAGGTGGCGAGCATCCGACGGAACATCAGGAGCCGTTCCCGAGCTGGTCGGATCGGAGGAAGTCCTCGGAGGGCCGCGCACCTGCTCCAAAGCGGCGAGCATGGCGACAAGCGCCGTGGCGAGGTGCAAGTCGTCGGCGTCGACCGGTTCAGAAGCGGTCGTGATCCGCCGCAGGCGCTGCTGCAGCATAGACAGGTGTTCGAGGCCGCCCTCCTCCGAAGACTGTCGAAGCACCTCGACGAGCTCATCCCGTGTGGGAGAGGGCGGCGAGGCGGCCGATGAGACGCTTTCGGCGAGAACGGAGATTGCTTCCTGGGTCTCCTCAGACAGCTCCCGCAACGATCTCTTCAGGTCGGAATCGACGCCGGGTTGATTCACGATGTCAAAGGCAACGTCGTGGGTACCCTCGATCCTGTACTGGTAGACTTTGCTAAGGTCCTCGGGCATCTTTGAAGGCGCGCTATGCGCCGCGCTTTGCGGGACATGTGCGACAGACGGGCCAGCACAAGAGCCGGGTTGGACGCCGAGCGAGAGAGGGGCATCGGTGGCAGAGACGCACAAGGAAGCGTCGACGATTCGAGAGGCTGGGCTGTCCTGTGGCTCGTGGGTTGGGACCGAGGGCAGGATGATTAAGTCGGCGGTGCGGAGTATGGTTGGAGACGAAGGCACGAGCCCGGCTGGTCTGGTGTCCCTTTGCTGCCGCGGCGAGGGACCGGCTGCGGAGATGGTGCTGTCCCGGGTCCGTGTCGAAGCCAAGTGCGCCTGTGACGGGGCGTGAGGACGCTCGAGGGTGGCCATGGTGCAGCGGTCAACGATGGTGATGGAGGCGAGTGAGGCGGTGAGCGATGCGTTCTTTAGGCGCTAGGAGATATGACAGGCGCCGGCAGAGCGTGGTTCGCCCAAAGAGCGAGGTCGACGGCGGCGGTGGAAGAGCCCGCAAGTGAGGATGTGGGCTTCAGGGGCTGATCAGCGGCGGCGAGGTGGGGCGAGAATGACGCGACGACGGGTCATCCGAGGTGGATCTCGGGGACTCGAGCAGCCAAGGAGCAAGGCGTAGCTGGCGGTGGCGGTGCCCAAACTTCGGCCCACTTCCGAGAGGAGCCTTAGAGCGGTCCGAAAGGTCGGTGCCCGTCGAGGGCGGTGAGCGAGCAGCAGCGAGGAGACTGATAGGGCCAGCGGTTGGACCGAGTAGTGCGATTGCGAGTGCGAGTGCGAGGGGCGAGTTGAAAATCGAGAGACGAGATGCGACGAGAAGACGGGACGGTACCAGGCGAGATCAAGAGGTGGTGCGACGGAATCGAGTCGGGTCGGGCCGAGCCGGTCGGCGCGAATTGCGATGGGGATCAACCAAAGGTTCAGCGCACGATGGCGGCGGTGGCAGCTAGTGGTGGTGGTGGTCAAGAGGTAGGTTCGCAAAGAGCGTGGGGTGCGGGGGCGTGAGAGCGAGCGAGCAAGGGCGAGGTCAAGCAAGCAAGGGTCGTCTCGGCAGCCCCTTTGTTGCTACATAGGTCTGGCTCTGCCTGGCCTGCCTGGCCCCGCCCCGACCTGCTGGCCTGCCCACCAGCCAGCGGGCCTTCGCTCGCCTAGGTGCCGCCTGAGTGGGGACCCCCCACGCCCACTCTCTTTTTCGAGTGGCGCCCGAATGCAGGCAAAGGTGGCCGGCCGGACGGCCCCGAGGTCCGCGACGACCTCGCGCCTGGTCGCCGCCGGCCCGCTCCTGTCCTCGCAACGACCGGCCTCCTTCGGCGCCAATTCAGGTCCTGCCCGTGCACACCCGCCCGCAGACACACACATACACACGCCAATGCACACGCACCGCGGGATCACCGCGCCTCGTCAGACCTTTGAGCAGTAAAAGCCTCGAGATTGGAGAAGCAGCATGGAGCAAGGGCCATGAATGAGCAAAGCAAAGTGAGAAACCTAGCGACGACCGATTGACTACCCCCCTTCCGGCCTCACTCGTCGTCGTCGTCCTCCTCGTCATCGTCATCGTCGTCTTCTTCTTCATCGTCGTCGTCGAGCACGATCGGCTCGGCCGCCGCTCGCCTCCTCTTGTTGACCGACCGGCGAGCGGCCACGCCTCGACGGCCGACCTCCTCGTCGCTGCTGTCGCTCTCACTGGCGGCCGCTCGACCCCGCTTGCCGCTGCCGCTGCCGCCGCTCTTGCCGCCGCCGCCGCCGCCGACGCCCTTGCCTGCCTTGGTGCCCTTGGTGCCCTTGACGTCCTCCAAGACCAGTGCGCCACCGGCGGCCTCGTCGAAGCGGGCCTCGAGCTCGTCGACGTCGAGCGTGATCCTCTCGCGCTTCTCAATCGTGTCCTGGTCGATGGTCTCCATGGCGATAAAGCGCCACACAAAGACCTTCTTGGTCTGGCCGTACCGCACGCACCGACCGATGGCCTGGGTCATGGTGCCGTCGTACTGCTGCTGCTCCTGCTTGAGCAGCGGGCCGACAAAGATGACGTGGTTGGCCACCGTCAGGTTCGAGCCCGCCGCGCTCTCGTCGTCGACGTTGAGCAGCAGCACGCGCGCCCCGCAGTCGTCCTGGTACGCCTCGAGCAGCGAGCTGCGCCGCGACGCCGAGCCCGTCAGCTGCACAAAGCTGATGCCGTACGCCTGCAGCGCCTCGGCCACCGTCGCCGTCAGCGTCTCAAACTGGACAAACACGAGCGCCCGCTCCTCGTCGGGCAGGCGCTTGAGCAGGCTGCACAGCAGCGCCAGCTTGGTCCCGTACCGCGTCGCCGCCCCGTCGTCTTCGACGCCCAGCGACGAGGCGTTGACCACCGACGTCGGCTTGGCCAGCGCGGCGCAGTCCGCCGTCGGGCACTGGCCGATGTAGGCCTCGCGCAGGACGCAGTCGCGGCAGCCCGCATGGCCGCATGTCGAGCTGATGCTGACGTCGTCGAGCTTCAGTCGCTCTCCGCCGTGCTTGCAGGCGGCTGAGGGGCAGACGATGTCGACCTCGACGCCATCGAGGTGCGCGCGCTGGCAGTCGCGCACGGCGGTGAAGAAGCGGAGGGCGTTGACCCGCCCGACGAGCTCGTTGCGTAGGCGGGTGAGCTGGTGGACCATGGCGCGGAGGAGGTACTCTTCCTCCCACGCCAGATCCTTGGGGTCGAGCTTCTTCTTGGGCGCCGCGCCGCCGTCCTTGGCCGCACCACCCTTGGCCGCGGCGGCGCGCTCCTTTTCGCGGCGCTTGAGCGCAACCTGGAGCGCGCCCTTGTTGGCGCCCCCAAAGCGGCGGCGGGCCGCCTCGCGCGTGATGCCGTCCATGGTGCAGTCGGCCTCCTCGAGGATCTGGCGCACCATGTCCTTGGACTCGCTGTCGCCCCACGACGCGTTGTTGGCGTTGCGGACGAAATCGCGGAAGAACTGGCGGTTGTCGTCGCGGAAGCCAAAGTGGTACAGGACCAGGAGGTGCTGCTCGAGCGTCAACGGCAGCTCGCGCTCCAGCTGACGCTTGCAGTCCTCGAGCTGCTTCCTGCGCTCGCGCACGATGTACTCGCACGCCTTGATGGCGTTGTTGACGCCCTTGATCTGGCTCAGGTCGACGCCGGCAAAGTCGTCGTAGACCGATGCGCGCTTCAGCAGCGCCTCCTCGGGCGATGCGCTGTTGCCCAGCGTCTCGATCAGCCGGCGGTCGCGGTGGCTCATCTCGAGGTCCGGGTCGCCCTTCTTGCCGCCGACCTTGTTGGCCGCCGCCGTCGTCGTCGCCGCCGCCTTGCCCGTGCCCTTCTTGGCCTTGGCCTTTCCACCGCCGTCCGAGTCGCTGGCGTCTTCCTCGTCGTCGTCGATGACGAACGCGTCGGCTGCGATCTTCTTGGTGGCGGCGAGCGTCGAGGTGCCGCGCGCCTTGCCCTTGCCCTTGAAGACCTTGCGCTGGTGACGCAGGTCGAGGTTCTCGATGGCGTGGGCCAGCTCGAGGTAGAGGGCCGACTCGGCGGCGGGCAGGCGGATCGGCTTGATGAGCTGCTCGCTCGGCAGCTCGCCAATCTCGGGCTCGTTGCTGCGGACGAAGGCGTCGAGGAAGCGCTGCGCCACCTGCTGGCGGCGGTGGTGCCAGGCGGCCGAGTGCATCTCGCGGAAGTTGTTGAACTTTTCCGCCGCGGTGCGGTTCTTCTCGCGCGCGCGGCGCACCGAGTCCTTGATCGTGTCGGCATCGTCGTCGACGCCGAGGTGGAGGTTGAGGAAGACGGCGATGCTCTTGACGTCGCTGAAGTCGGCCGTCGGGGGCGTGCCGGAGAGGATCCACTTGGCCCTCGCCTGCAGGCTGGTGACGCCCGCCAGGGTGCGGTCGGCCGCCTCGGCAATGTAGTGGAACTCGTCGACGACGACGCGGTTCCAGAGGAACATCTCGAGCGGCGGGCACGTCATCTCCTTCCAGTCGCGGCGCACGACGGGCGACGCGAGGTTCCACGGGTCGGGCTCGGCCTTGGACTTGGGCTGCAAGTCCTTGTGCAGGCCCTTGTCGGCTCCCTTTTCCTCATTCTTGACCTTGGCGCCGCCGCCGTGGGCGTCGGCGTATGCCTGGCCGATGAGGCGCCCGCGCGCCCGGTGCGACGTCATGTGCGAGTTGTCAAAGTCGACGCGCTTTTTGATCGACTGCGCCAGCTGGCGGACGCCGTCCTCGCTGGTCAGCTCCTTGACCCGGTTGCGCAGCGCCGCCAGCGACCGCTTCAGGGCGGCGTTGAAGAAGCGGCCCGGGCGGTTGGGCAGCGGGTTGGCCGCCGACACGCGCGCCAGCGTCTCCCAATACGTGTCGGAGCGGTAGACAGTGACCGACATGATGATGATGTCGGCCTTGAGGACGTCACGCACCGTCAGCTTGTTGAGCTCGTTTTTCGACGTCACGACGCGCACCGAGAGGCTGTTGCCGCAGAACTTGGCCACCTCGCGCTGCCACTGCTTGCAGAGGTGGCCGGGCACGATGACGAGCGTGGCCTTGGTCGGGATCAAGGCGTCCTCATCGCCCTCGGGCAGCTCGGGCAGGCGGTCGCGGTCCGGCGACGCGGCGATGAGGGCGAGCGAGATGGCCGTCTTGCCATAGCCGACGGCATCGGCCAGGACGCCTCCGCGCACCGTGACGGGCCGGGTGGCGCGGCCCTCGGCCCTCCACCCGAACGGCGCCAGCAGGCCCTCGGAGATCTCCTCCTCGTGGAACGGCTCGACGTCCTTGCGCTCCTGGGCCAGCATCCAGGTGAGCGAGCGCTTCTGCTCCTTGCGCAGCTCGAGCGCAAAGATGTCGGGGCTCGGCGACTCGGCGTCCTGGCGGTTGCTCTTGATCGTGTAGCGCGGCAGGCTGAACATGTTCAGCGACTTGTCGAGCTTGGTCAGGCGCCACGACAGCTCGACGAGCCCGGCATGCGGGTTGGACGGCAGGCGGGAGAGGGCGCGGTGCATCAGCGTCGCCGCGTTGATGCCGAACCGCGTCTGGGCCAAGCCGTCGCTCAGCCGGAGGTGCATGACGAAGGGCGCCGGGCGGTTCTTGAGCGCCTGCTCGTACGGGCCGGCCTGTTGCGTGTTCTCGATGGGCACGACCGGCCGTCCGGGCATGGCGAGCCACTGGATGTCGGGCTCGGCGGGCGCGCAGCGCTTGCAGGCGGCGGTGGCGAGGCTGAGCGCTCCGTGCTTGGCGGGCATCCAGTCGTCGAACGCAGACACGTCGGGCACGCGCTCGACGAGCCAGGCGAGGTGGCCGAATGTGGTGTTGGTCTTGTGGAGCAGGTCCACCTGGCCCCACGCGCCGTTGATGGGCCAGATGCGGTTGTGCTCGGCCCGCGGCACGGGCGCGGAGCACTCGAGCACGGCCAGCGCGCGCTCGCACCCCTTTTGGCGCAGGTCGAGCTCGACGGGGGTGGTGGCGATGTTGATCTGGCCGTCGAGTGACACGCCCGGCTTGACCTTGAGCGCGGGCGCCGTGATCCACGTGCCGTCGATCTGGAGCTTGACCTGCTCGACGGCGTCGCGCTGATGGACCTTGGGCAGCTTGGGCTTCCATCCCTCGGGCAGCCGTCCGACGGCAGGGCGCTGCAGCGGATACGGCAGGCGGCCAATGTCGGTGGAAAAGACGAAGCGATCTCCACTGGCGTCCTTGTAGCGGTCGGCGTCGATGAAGAGGTAGAGCTTCCGCCCGTCGCCCGCGCCATCGCGGTCGCCGCGGCGCGCGTGAAGCGAGGCGTTGGCGGTGCCGCACTGGGGCATGAGGTCGTAGACGCCCTCGATGTCGCAGTCGAGCTGCGCCTTGGCCTCTTCGGGCACCTTGACGTGGATCTCTGCGAAGCGCTTGGTGTCGGCAAACTTGCCGCCCAGGCCGAGCGCGCTCTGCCACGTCGGCACGTGATCGCCGCTCGAGGTGAGGGTGATGGAGACCGTGTTGCCGGTGGGCACACAGATCTCCCAGCTTCCGTGGAAGAGGTCGACGTCGGTGGCGAGCGGGTCGAGGGCCATGCGCGCCACCGGCTGCATCAGCGCGGCGCGGAGGTGGCTGCCCGCCGGCTCCTCGGGCCGGGCATCGACAAAGATCCTCCAGTGCGGCGCGATCGGATCGAGGATGAGGTCGAGGCGGGCGCCGGGGGCGACGAAGCGCGCCTGCCACACCTTCTGGCGCAGTAGCTCCTGGAAGCGGAACTCGGCGCCGCCGAGCACCTCGCTGACGCGCTGGCTCCAGAGAAGGGCAAACACCATCTCGACGCTCGGCCGCTGCCGCGCCAGCGTGGTGATGTCGTCCAGCGCGAAGGCGTCGGCCTGAAGCCGCATGGGCAGCGCGCGCTTGAGCCGCTCGCCAAACTCGTCCGGCTGCGTCCGGGGCCGCGCGTCGAGCTCAAAGTCGTGGACGGGCCGGCCCTTGCAGCTCTCGCAGGCAGTGTGGTCGCAGCTGGTGCAGCGGTAGATTGGGCGGTCGGTGGTCAGGGTGCGACCCTCGCAGATGCAGAGCTGGGAGCTGTCGACGGCATCCTTGAGCAGCGAGGGCATCGCGACGCGCTCGCTGCTAGTGAGGTCGAGGGTGCGCGACTCGAGGCTGTCGACGCCGGCGATGGCATCGCCGCCCTCGGCGACGAGGTCGACGACAACGTCGCTCGAGCGAACGACTGCGTCGCGCTCGTTGCAGCTCGAGCCCCAGGGCAGCGACGGCCTGCCGCCCTCGATCTGCTCGCGCTCAAAGTCGCCCCGGGCCACCAGCAGCGCCGACAGCACGCACGCGCCAACGACAGTCGAGCTCATCGCGTTGCCGGCCAGATCCTGGAGCTGATCGTCGGTCTCGCGGGTGAGGAGGAGCTCGTCGAGCGGCAGGCCCTGCAGCGACAGCGCCTCGAGGCCGATCATGGGCGCGCCCCGGATCGGGATAAAGGGGATGCCCGACGGGGTCAGGCATGGTGCGATGCCCGGGCGCGAGGCGGCCACGTTGCGGTCCACGTTCTGCGAAAGCTCCCAGATCTTGGACTTGTACATCGGGTCCTGGTCCAAGGCGGCGAAGCGGAGCGTTGTGATGTCGAGCAGGTCGGTGACGCGCTCCGGCTGGCGGACGGCCCACTCGTTCCAGCCGTCGTGCGACATCTTGCACGTCCCGCCTTCTTCCCACGCCGTCAGCGGCCGCGTCTTGCCGAGCTCCTCTTCGTCACGCGCCCGCTCGTGCCGGCTCTGGCACTTGGACCAGTCGATCGTCGAGCGGCCCTTGGAGAGGCCCTCGCCGTGCGCAAACTGCTGCCGCACCTTTTGGATCCTCGGGTCGTCCGACGGCAGCAGAAAGGCGTCAAAGGGGCTCGACGCCGGCCGGACGAGCCAGCTGACCAGCAGGTCCCAATTCTCGGGCAGGCAGTCGGTCGTGTTGCGCGTCGCCAGCAGGTAGCCGCGCTGGCGCGTGTGCGGGATGTAGTAGTTTTTCGTGTCAAACGTGTTGCTGAAGCTGACGTCGTAGCCGGCCTCGGCGACGATGGTCTCGGCCACGCCGACCCAGGGCGCGTTTTTGACATTCTCGAGCACCACAAGCGCCGGGCGGTGGCGCTTGACCCAGTCGAGCATGCCGTGGAAGGTGCGCCCGGACTCGCCGCCGTCGTTGAGGCCCTTTTTCTTGTTGTTGAGGTGCGAGTAGTCGACGCACGACGTGCCGGCAATGAGGATGTCGACGTTGCCCGGCACGTCGACCAGGGCGCCGTAGGCGGTGTGGGCGCGGTCGCCGCCGAGCTCGGTGACGTCTCGGAAGAGGATCGGCGGCGAAAAGTTGCGCTCGATGTAGGCCTGCTTGAACGGCTCGATCTCGCAGCTGAAGACGTGCTCGACCTTGATCTGGATGCCGTGCTGCTCCTTGATCGCGCGCGTCATGAGCTCGAGCGCCAGCAGCGGCGACTCGGTGCCGCTGCACATGGTGGCCACCCGCAGCGGGCGGTTCTGCAGCGCCCTGGCGAGCTCCAAGACGCCGGGCGCCCGCGACACCATGTCGGAAAAGATGTCGTGCAGGTCGTGGATCGGAGGGAACTTGCCGTCGGACAGCGTGCTGCTCGCCTTGGCGAGGTTGTGTCGCACCGCTTCGGGCGTGGGCACAAATCCCATGCGGATAAAGCGGCGTTTGTGGGCGAAGCTCGACTTCCAGCCCTTGGAGCTCGACTGCGACAGGATCACCTTGGAGGCCGGCTTCGCCGCCTTGGACTTTTTCGGCTTCTTGCGCACCGACGGCATGTCGTCGCTGTCATCGCTGAAGTCGTCGAGATCCAGCAGCTCGGCGTCGTCGTCGCCGTCATCGGCCTCGCGCTTGAGTCTGCTGCCGGCCTTGGGGGCTGCCTTGGTCGGCGTCGGCGTCGGCTTGGACTTTGCCCCAAACATGTCGGACAGGGTGGCCTGCCGCTTCCTCGAGCTGCCGGCGTTGCTCGACATGGGCGTCGAGAAGAGGGACCTGAATCCGGCTAACTTGGCCGAGGCCGGCGTCGACACGGACGCATCCTTGACCTTGCCCTTGCCCTTGCCCTTGGCTGTCGCGGCGTTGGTGAGATCGACAAAGGGCTCCTTGCCGGCGAAATAGCCCGAGGCGGTTGAGTCGCCGTTGGCCGGCGTCTCGGGGGGCGTGGAGCTGTCGTCTGTGGCATCGCCGCCGTTGTCGGCCTCGATGCTGGGGGTGTCGTCTGACTCGCTGGCCGCCCGCCTTGTCCTGCCGTCGCGGTAGGCGGCGTCATCGTCGTCGTCGTCGTCGACGTCTTCGTCGTGCTCGTCCTGGCTTTCGCTCTCGCTGAGTGCGCTCGAGGGCACGAAGCCGTCGCTCTCGGAGTCGTCGTCCTTGATCCTGCGCTTCTTGACGGGCGGCTTGGACGAAGCTTTGCTGGCCCTGCGGGACCGCGTGCCGACATGCTGCTCCTGCTGGCGATCGCCGTCGTCGTCTGAGCTCGACGTGATGAGCGAGACGTACGAGACGCGGGACGCCCTGCGGGGGGCAGGCATGGTGGCCGGCGAGCTGCTGCGGCCGCAGAGGGCAGCGTCAGAGAGGGGAGATAAGGTGAGGCTATCGAGGCTTGAGAGAAGGTGTGGAAGAAGGGGGGCGGGTGTTGCTACTGCTGTAGCATGGCCCGGGCCGCTGCGGCGGCAAGGATGACGGCGGCGGGGTGTAGGAGGGAGTTGACGGGGATCAGGAAGCGCGAGGCTACGGCAGGGGGAATAGGGATGATGGGAGATGGTGGGAGATGAGGAGGTGAGGCAGGGAGGGAATTGAGGGGTGGCGATGGGGGCGGTAGGAGCGGGATGGGTGGCTGGACGAGCAGCCAGAAGAGAGAGGTAAGTGGCCCTGGTCCAACACTGTCCGGGTGGTCTTCATTTCAACGCTGGGCGGGGGGCCACAGAGGTGGTGTGCTGCCCGGCCAAGGCAGGCCAGGCCAGGCTGCTCCAGCCAGCGCCCACGTGTTCAAGCGGGCGGGTCCCCCGGCGCGACGCGTTGAGAAGGAACAATTTCGCGAAAACTGGGAGCCAGCCGCGTCCAGAGTCGAGCAGGTCCGTGCACCGAGCCCGCCTAGCCCGCCTCGCTGGCCTGATCTGTTCTGCGATAGCCTGGGGTGGCCTTGGGGCTGCCTGGGCCTGGCTCTCTCACCCTCGCCTCCTCTCTTGCGCCACCTCGTGCGGCGTGCCATCGCGACAAGCAAGCTTGCAACCGCGCACGAGAGCGCTCAGTCAAGGCTCGTAATGTGCTGGCGAGGTCGCCAGCAGACGCGCTCCGGTCTCGACCTGGGCCTCGAAGCATCTCGTCGCCTAGTAGGCCACGGGTGGATCCCTGCCCGCCTCCATCCCCCTCGGCCAGGCGTGGCACAGGCCGGTGCCCTACGGCCGATCTCGGGCATCTCAGCGGGGCTGACGCGCTGACGTCGGACCCCGCGACGGGAGCGTGCTTGCACCGAGCCCCTTGGCCCATCCTTTCGGTGCCTGCGGCGTCCTCCTGGCATCGGACTGGCATCGAAATGGACGCTGATATCACATTGAAACTACGGGGGCGGCGCCAGGCCAACAAGGGGTATCGAGATGAAGGCGAAACAAAGCGGGGCTGGCCCGCGATTAGACGAGATGATGCTGCTGCTGCTGGACCGCGGAGAGACGATACGGGCCCAGACGGGAAGGGACTGGATGGAATGGGGCCAATGGTGGGACATCTGAGAAATGACTGGAGAGGGGGAATGATGCGACGGGCCCGCCCCCCTGTCGGGGAGGCCCGTGGTCGAGACAGGATGCGGTGCGGATCAAGGAACGTGGAGAGCCGAAGGCGAAGCCGTGGCTCGAGGATGGCGGATGCGCGAGGGGGGAATGCAGAGGCTGAAAACGAGCTATGCCTCAGAAGAAGGTGGTCGAGACCTCGTACGGCAGGTATCGAATGACGATGGTGTCGTCCTCCTGGGCGCCCTCCTCAAACAGGAGGCGCGAGTTGTTGCCGAGGTGCTTGATGGGGCTGCAGCCGTCCTCGTTGAAGGCGAGGCCCAGCGCCGATGGGTGCGGGCCGGATTTGCGATCCGAGGCCGATGGCGAAGATGACGAGGGCGACGACGAAGAGAGGAGCGAGTCGGCAAGATTGAGGCTGATGCTGAGCTCCTTTGGGAAAACCCGGTAGCCCTTGGTACGCAGCCGCTCTGAGATGAGCTCCTTGAGGTCCAGCACCGAATTGTTGCTCGACAGGAAGAGGGCATCGAGCGGCTGGCCATCGTCGTCGTCGTTGTCGACGTCGTCGCCACGGCTGCTGGTGCTGCCGCCGTCCTCGTTTATGGGCGAGTCTGCCGCCGGCGACACTGGGCGGAAGGTGCCCGTCTTGCGAGGGAGCGAGAGGAACTGCAGTCGCAGACGGATCGCCGATGGCGGCGTGGGCGGGCAAGAGGAGAACCACTGCGCCGGCACCTCGGGCCAGGACATGCGCACCGACGACGCGGTCGTCGTCTCCGAGGCCGCCTGGCTCGGCAGCGACGAGGTCGACGAGTAGTAGCTGTCGGCGTCGAGGCTCGACGTGTCCGAGGCGCGAGACGCCACCGAGAGCCGCTTGACCTTGGGGCGTGGAGCCGCGGGTGAATAGTCGGTGAAGCCGAGGCCACTGAGCTTAGCAGCGTTGTCGCCGGCTTCGCCGTCGGCCGCGGCATCGCCAAAGACCTTCTTGCTGGTGGCAGTCGAGATCTCGACGGCAAAGATGCCGTGGGCATCCTTGGTGAAGTTGCTCATGCGGCGGGCGGCCATACCGGGGAGCGGCGCCGTGAGGGGCACATCGGGGAGCGCGGTGGTCGAGGCCTCGACGGAGTCGTAGCCCAGACCGCGGCAGAAGAAGGACTCCTCGCTTGCCCGTCGCATGAGCCGGTTGCTGCGCGGGACGTAGTGGTGCTCGGCGATGGGAGCCGGCGGCGGTCGCGGGTTGGTGAGGTGCTCGGATGGCTCCGGCGTCGTCGGGGCGGCCCACGAAGAGAGGGCCCGCTGGTGCAGCTGGCGGATCGAGCGGAGGGAGCTCTGTCGCATCGACGGAGTGACGGCCGCAGCGAGCGAGGGCGACGAGTCGGCGGAGCTGTCGCCACCCCAGAAGGAGCGGATGCGCGATGACGAAGAGGCAGGTCGAGGGCGGCCTCGCAGTGTCGCCTGGTCGTGGTGATCGCCCGTGCCGAACGTCTCGTCGTTGATGGGCAGCGGAGGGAGCAGTGTCCGGCTCCTGCGGCGGTTGGCCACCGAGGTGCGTGTGCAGTCCATGTCAAACGAGTCCGGGGACGAGAGCTGCGGCTGCGGCTCCATGAGCGGCGCAGAGATCTGCATTGGTGTCGAGGATCGGCTGTGCGACTCTCGGTGGCCCTGATTGCCGGTGCCGGTCGGGTTGCTGCCGCCGATTCCACCGCCAAAGCGAAAGGTTCGCGAGAAGGCGCGCCGGATCGGCGACCTCACGGGGGGCGAGGCGACCGACGACGACGCCGCGGTCGAGGATGGGTGGTCGGCAAAGTGGTATGGGCTATGCGGCGGGGTCATGGAAGAGGAGGGAGCTCCGAGGAAGTCTGACGGCCGTGGCGTCGTCAGGGTCGACGACGACGAAGGGCCTGCCATTGGCACGAAGCGCTGCGCGGCATCCACGTTGATCGGCTTGACCTGCTTCTTGCTCTCGCGCCTGCGGATGGTCGGCAGGCGGCCGAGCGAGGTGGTAAGGGCATTCATCGCGTCGGGGGTTCCGTCGCCGGTCGCGGGAAGCAGAGCGGCCGGGCGGTGGGGCGGTGGGGCGGTGGTGCGAGTACGGGAGCGGGCGGTGGACGTCTAGCAGCCAGAGGAATGGCGAGGCGGCGTTCGCAGGCGCGAGGCAGCGCGTCAAGGAGCGGACGAGGCGAGGCTGTCGGTGGCTGCAGACGTGGCGCGGCGCTGAGGATATGCTCAAGAGGGCAAGGCCGATGTACAGAAAGGGTCGGTGGCGTGATGGCGAACGCGCTCGGTCGATGATCACCCAGTTGGCTCGAAGGAGAGAGTGTAGGAGAGGGGCGGTGGTTGCTGAATGCTGGGCGGAGGCGGACGGTGGTGAGGAACGGACCAGACGAGGCAGGGGGAGGGGACGTGGACGAGGGTGGTGTTGGAGGCAGGGAAGAGGGGGGGGGGGGAAAGAGTGCTCGAAGGGGGCGACGTCAGAGCGACCTCCTCTAATATGAAGCAAGCAGGAGCTCCGGGTAGGGCTGAAGGCCAGCTCGGTGGCGGCAGACCCTCGACGGCTGTCAGCTTGCAAGGTCGAGGCTGGTCGGGGCTTGGACAGGACAGGCCGGCTGGGTTGGGCTGGACAGACGGCAACGTCCGTCATCGTCCTGGCCTGCCTGGTTCTGCCTCGTCCGCCGCCGTCGCGCCGTAGAAGGCCCTGCTGCCCGCCGACGGAGGCGGGAAGTCGAGCGATGGAGCCTAGCTGAATCGGCACAGGCAACGCTTGGACGCATGCATGAATGGCCAGCCCGACGCAGCCCAGCACCAACCTCTCTTGGACTCCCAGGCCAAGCCAGGCCAGGAGGCCAGACTGTAGCGGAAGAGCCGAAGGGGGGGCAGGCGGCTGGCCAACAGGCAGGCAGGAAGCAAGGCAGGGAAGCAAGGGCGCGATGCAGGGCCAGATGGCAGCACGACCCAGGATCGCCCCGACGTGGCCTGGGCCAGGCAGGCAGGGAGGGACAAGACGCACGCAGGCAGCAAGGGCAAGCCGTAGAGTGGGGCTGTCGCTTGGCCGTGACAGCAGCAGCTGCTCTGGCCCAGACCCTTGCCTGCCTGCCTGCCTGCCTGCCTGCCTGCCTAGCCTGCCCGCCTGCCCGCTCGCTGCCCCATCGGGACTTGCCCGCTTTGCTTGGCCTTGACCGCGAAGGCTCTCCCGTCGGTCTCAAAGCAAGCAGAAGTTAAGGAAGCTGGTCTCAACCGCCTCAGCCCCGCCGCTTCTTCCAAGCCAGGACGTGCGGTGGGAAACCCGGCTTGGACACGGGGCAACGGGCGGTCAAGACACGGAACATCCGAGCTCGCCACGGCCTTGGCTCCGTCGCGGCTCCTTCCCGAGGAAGTGGCCGGGCGCAAAAGCTCAGCTCGCTCGTCCGCTAGCCAGCTGAGGTATCGCCCCCACGACCGAACGAGAGAGCAGGCACGTACAGTAGCCAGAAAATTGGCCAGCCGTGGAGGGCGTGGGGGCCAAGGAAGGGGGCGGTGTGACAGGCCGGGCGATCCGCTTTGCCGCCGTCCATCGAAGCCAGGCTGGAAACGCACGCTCGCACGCTCGCACGCGTGCATGCTCGCACAGCCAAGCAAGCAGCAGGCCGGCAGCAGCACCGGCCGGACCCTAGCAACCGTACCGAACCGTGGCGGCGGCGGATGCGAGGCGAGGTACGGTGGTGCATGGCCTGCCTGACCGGCCAGGCTAGGGATCAGCGCGCCGAAGCGAGCCAGGCAACCTGGGAAAACCAGGGCCGGCCTACACCTGGGCGCAGGTTGGGGTGTCACCGCAAGCTGCACGGCTTCGGCGGCGGGGAAGCCCTTCCGGGCAGCTTCCGGTGGTTCTCGACCAGTGGGCGGAGGGTACCTGCCTCCATTTGCCCGTCCCGGTGCCTGGAAACTAGCCTCCTGCCATGCCATGGCCATGGACGATGACACCGACGAACGATATATCTTCTTTCGTCGGCGCCGTGGCAGCATGTCAAGGATCTGGCTGTTTGATGGTGCGCCGACGAAGAGCGATCAAGGCAGGCAGCCGGCAAGCTAAGGCAGACAGGCAAGGCTAGAACGGCACCCGCGGCCGGCTCTGCCGCCGCACTCCTGGCTGCCCGTTGCAGGCGGGGATCCTCGCAACAGCACAGCATGTGCACAGCGAACGACCCCGCGTCTGCAGGCAGCGGCCCCTGGCTTCTCTAGCCAAAGCCAGCAGCAGCAGGCAGGCTAGATTGTCGGCTCCCTTCGCCCTGCTTTCCCTGCTACGGGCCCCCTGCCTGCCTCTTCCCTCTGGCCTCCTATTCCCCCTCTGCTGTAACGTGAGGTCGAAACACGGCCACCTGGGGCGAGATTCCATCTGTTGCTTGCCTGACAACGGGCAACGCTAGAAGCTGTTGTGCGTGCGCGCGTGCTCGCAGCAAGTCCGCGTACACACTACGCACGTCTCGACTCCGTCGTCGATCATCCCTGGCGTCCTGCCAACCCGCCATCCTTGCACGCGAGTCGATTGACAGCGCTCCATGCACGCTGATCTTGCAACCAACAGCCACGTCGCATACATTGTAGCTCACCAGGCTAGTCTGCTGCTTGTCACGCTCATCCATGCGCGATAGGAAGGTAGCTAGAGGTGGCTGGACGGCTACTTTTGCCTACATGATGAGCATAGTCAGCGGTTCCTCCCGGTGCAGCAGCAACATCGAAAGGCGGGGGAAGGGGGATCGAAACGGAGGGGGATCCTGCAAACTCCCACTCTTCGCACCGCTCGCCGGCCCTTGCCACCACATCCTGTTGCCACGGTCCGGCGTGATGCCGGGATCCAGGCGTACGGCGCCCCGTCCTGGTTGCTGGTCGTCACCGACCTTCTTGCCTCCGACGGGTCGACCAAAAGACCAACACGAGCACGCAACAGTACGACGGGATAGTTATGTGAATGCCGGTGGGGCGCCGATGGTTTGAGACCCAGCCCAGGGCCAAGCTTTGCGGCCAAGCCAGCTCGCGAGCAAGCATGCAGGTGTGCGCGTGATCGTCCAGCGGGCGGCGAGTGTCTCAGCCTCGTCTTGCTTGCTCGAGCGAAGCGATCGGAGTTCGAGCACCATGGAACGTTTTGGTCCCAGCTACACGAACATCCGTCGCGTACTCTGCGCCCCAAGGCCACGTTCGGCTTGGCGCTCCCGATGCTACGACCGAGTGTCGGTCGATTCTCAGGCCGACTCTGCGAGCGTCCCGAAGCGCACACGAGACGAGGGCCGAGCAAGCTCGAGCCCGGCCGGCGACAAAGAGCCGTTAACGATAAGATGTGGTGAGGTCGAACCTTGCCTGTTCGCCCGCCCGCTCGATTCTCTGCCAACACCGGCAGCATCCGAGACCTCAGCAAGCTCAGAAACGGCAGTAGCCTTAGCTCGGCGCGGCGCGGCGCGGCGCGCTTGAGCCTCTGGCGTGAGAAGTCGGCATCGGCCCGATGGTCGTTGGTTTCGCTTTCTTTCCACGGCCTGCTGCGGAGGATCTGTTCAGACGAGACATGGCTCCGGCGCTGGCTTCGGTCGGGGTGCCGCTTAGATTGCAGCGCACTAGAGTGTCTTTGCTTTTCAGACAGAACCTAGCTACCGTAGGCAGGCAGGCCTGCGCTAGGAAACGAGGGGATGTTTCGGAAGGAGCAGCCTGGTCCTTTGAAGAGCTGGTCAGCCAGGACGACGACGATATCCGGTCCATTTGTCGAACGATACTCCACGAGCGAAAACGGCACAGCGGGGACGAGAAGAGTCGACGATGATGTGGCCATCTGTGCCAGTGCCATCGCAGCGCACATCCTCAACAGGATGCAGGGCGGAGGCCGACACCGACGGCGGCGGGACGGGAGCACGGCGCGTCTGGTCGTTGTTGGACGGCGGAAAGGAGCTCGCCCGAGACCAGGCAAGCCGGCTGCAGGAAGCAGGAACGGCCAAGCTGGGGGCGCTCGACATCTTCCGTGCGTGGCCGCCCTGGGGCGAGGAGTTGGGGCTGAAGCTGAGGCGGAGGCGAGGGGCGAGGGGCGAGGGGCGAGGGCGGGCAGGCGGCTTTTCCCAGCTCGGGCGTCGCTTGCGCCAACCAAGCCCAGCCCGGTCTAGCCCAGCCCAGACCACCGGTCCCCACTCGACCCGCAGCGGCCTCACTCTCGCCTCTCTTTCCCTTTACCGCTCCGCAGGCGCAGCTCGCTCGCCACCCGACAGCTGCCGCTCTCTTCATTCCCGCCATTGTTGTCCTAGATCGACCATGTACAGGCGGGAAGCTTGGCACCGGCTGATGTCGTACAGACAGCGAGTAAGTACAGTAATTGCGAGCGGAGCTTCACGCTGGCCTCATGATCGACGACGAGCAGACCAACACCTCTGCCGAGAACAACACTCGCCTGCCAGCACGTCTATCTGCCCTCGGGGATGGGCATACAGACGAGGCCAGCCATGGCCAAGGTCGAGACCGACACATCCTTGACCGCCCCCCTTGGTTCACGACGGGTGCTGAGCATGATCGAGGCATGTAGCCGGGGCGGTGCCATGAATGGAGGAGCCGTAAGTGAGGTCGGAGCGAACCGCCAGAGGGGGGCCAGGGACGAGCGAGTGAACAGAGCACAGTCGGCAGTCATGGGCCCACCTGCAACCTCAAGCTCGGCATGAACCCTCCCCATCGCAACGTAGCAGGCAGGCCAGCAGCGACGTCGGGGGTGCTGTACGTAGGCAGCGAGCAACTCGCCAGCCAGCCCCGCCGCACATCCCAACGAGCAAGCAAGCTAAGAAGATCGATCGTACACCGTCCGGGCGTCGACGTGCTTTACTACAGGCAGGTAAGATACGCCATGCCTTTCCCCGACACACAGGCCGATCAGGAGCGCGCGGCCATCACCCGCCGTCGTGCGCGTATGTCGCCGCTCCGTCCCGCCCGACGGAAGCTCCGAGATATCCCGTCGAGATCCCGGAGAGCGGGACGGTCCGCCCCGTCGCCGACAGGACGAAAGCGCCTTCTCTTCTGGGTGAGTTATGTAGGTAGATACCGGCAGGTTCGAGAGCTGAACGAAGAAGGCGGGGCAGGCAGGGCAGGCAGGCAAGGGCTTTCCCGCCTGCCGACCTCTGTACGTGCGTGCGAGCAGGCTCGCTAGCGCTGCTTCCGCTTGCAATTTACCCTCTCTGCCCTTGCATGAGGGGACAGCGAGGGAGAAAGGCAGGGAGTGAGGGGATGAGGCAGGCTGGCCTAAGAAAGGTGCACGGCGAAGCGAGCAGCCCGGCATCGCGGATGTCGTCTGTGAGGCGGCCGGCCAGCAGGAAGCCTCCTGGCCACGCCTCAACCGTGGAGGTGGTGGATGAGAGCTGAGGATGGAGCGGCTGGCTCAAGCAGGCTTGGTTGTGGCGAGGCCGGTCGAGCTGCTCCTCTCCCGCCCTCGGGCACTCGGACTCGAGCCTGTTGGTGTCTTCGCCGCTAGCAAGCGTCCATCTGTACTTACGGAGTGGAAGAAGCGAGGTGGTCCCTTGCTTGGCTGGCCGGCTTGCCACCTCGAGCCTCGCACGAGCTTCAAGGCTCAGGACGTGCTGGTGCCTGTCAGCTTGGCGCCATGCTGCCGAGTATCCGCTGCTCGTCTTACGATACCGCACAGCAGACTTATCATGAGCGGGCATCGCTTCGGTCGTCGACGACGTCAGGAGGTACGCTAGGAGCGATCAGACGTCGCATCCTTGTTGCCAATTAAGCGGCGGGGACGAGGGCCGGAGGGAGGTCAAGCTCGGGACCCGGTGATGACTGGTTGGCTGGCAGTAGGGGCGATGATCCACAGGGCGTGAGAGCGTGGGGGTGGCGCCGAGCGGCACCGCCAGGCCTGCCAGGCCTAAGTGAGCTACAGTCTAGTACACACTTACACCGCTCATGATTTGTCTTTGGCGCTCGCGATGAGGGTGAAAGCCGTCAGGCCTCGTGTCGTGGAGGAGGTGAGGCTAGACTGACCAGCAGGTATCCTCTCGAGTGGCTCTGCCTTGGTCAGGCTCGACAAACGAACGAACGTGTTCCATATCGAGACCCCACGAGTGGCAAATTGAGACACGACCACGACACGCTACCGCCCAGATTAGGGCGGGTAGCGGTACATTGATCGTGGCCGGCGATTCGGACCTCGACGGCCGACGACGTTCTGCCCTGGGTCGGTGACAGAGCAGAGCAGTCCTGGCCAACCTAGGCTAGGGTCGAGAAGGAGAGACCATCTGACGAAAGCTCAGAGCGTGGGAGGTTTGATCGTCGCTTCCGCTCCTGCCCGCGGACAAGAACAAGATGTCAAATATGTACCTACGTACTCCGCCTTCAGCCCTCGGGAGTACTCACAGTGCCTCCGATACCTCACCGTCGAGGCTTGCGGGGCGTGCTGCGGTGATCGCCAGACCACGGCTACCGTACCGCTCATCCGCGCTCGACCGTGGGTCATCTTAAAGGGTCGCGGAAGAACCGGCTACCTACATACCTTTCTGGTGGCTTGATGGGAACTCGCCAGGAAGAGCTGATTGTTTGTCAGTCATGGGCCGCCCCGTCCGCCAAGCAATCGTCTTCGCCTGGCCTCTGCACCTCGGGCAGAGAGTCATGAGGACATCCGTCACATGGTCAGGTCAGGCCTGCTGCGCTCAGCGACGACGAGCGAGGGGACAGGCGGACATGTCAAGGCGGCGAGGGAAGCCCAAGGTGCGGTACTGTAGCGTGTGTCGCATGTCACTCGTCGAACCTAAGCCTAGTTACCTCTGCTGAGGTTGGCTGGCAGAAGCCGGGTGGGTTTCGCCTGGGATCGGCAAACGGAGCGCGCAGCGGGGGCGCCTTTCCTCGTTCTCGGTAGGCAGCTGAAGCTCGCTGTTCCGTCTCGCGTGGATGAACCCTCGCTCGGCCAGCTCGCCTGGCCAGCTTCAAACGATATCCGTGGCGTAGGTAGCGTCGTGTGCCTGCCCTTCACTTCGTGCAGAGGGGTGTGCTCAGCTGGAAAGGAGAGAGAGAGAGAGCGCGAGACGATCGAGCAAGAAAGTGCTGCCATACCGTGGGCTTGCTGTGCTGACACCTCCGGCCTCTGCCTGTGGGCCAATAAACGTGGGAGAGCAAGCAGCGCCAAGCGACGTCCCCGTCCGGCGCCAAGGTACGTACATGCATCGGTCCATATGTGCGAGCGAAACGTCGATGGCGATGGGGAAGCAAGCAAGAGGTTGGATCGTCCAACACGAGGCTTGGTACCGGTACTTGTCGCCAGGTCGAGCAGGGCAAGATGCGGTGGTGAAGGCCAAGGTTCCGGCTCGGTACATACAGTTAGCTCGACGTCCTTGTCATCCCGGACATGTCCAGTCCCAGGCTAACTGTTGATCGCCGGCAGGTGTCAGAACCTCGCCACCGTGGCCGGTGCTGTAGGTACATGGCCACTAACTTGCAGTAGGTGCTGCCTGTCGATCGTACAGTAAATTGTGCGTGGGGACGCGAATTGCTTTCGCTGCGGCGCGGCCCGCTACATAAGTCGCAGCAACGAGACTACCGTCTGCAGCGCCGCAGTAGCGTCGAAAGCTTCGTGTCGGCCTGCCTGTCGATCGACCGCAGTGCTGCTTGGGTCTGTTCTGTCGGACAAGCCCATCGGAACTCGGGCTCGTTCGCACCGTTCGAGCCGCTGGTCAGTCTCGCCCGAGACGAGGCGTAGCCAGGTGGATCGTGGATGCGCAGTCGACGCAGCGGCCGAGAGGAACGAGATCGCAATGCAGAGGCGGTCAGGAACATGGTAGTGGTACACGGAGGGTCGGTCAGCGGGTCGGATCGTGCAGCGGATTGAAGCTCATCGCTGTGCGCAGCCTCTATGCCGCCTCGGTGAAGAGGTGCGGGACGTGCTGGGAGATCTGAATGACTTTTTCGACGAGATCGAGGTCTGTCGTGGCAGAGCGGGCGAAGTAAGCCCTGCAGGGTCAGCAGAAGGCGCGGAAACGGAGATGTGCAGCAAGGCCGCGACGACCACGACGACGGCGGCGGCGACGCACCAAGCTTTTCACCAAATGCGACCGTGGTGAACTCGCGGATGGTGCTCTCTCCGTCCATGCCCTCGGAGACCTTGCCGATGACTTCGACGTATCCGCTGCCGGAGAGGTGGGTATCCTGCATCGAACCACAGACCAGTATCGAGGCAGATTAAATGGGAGTCAGCGCAAGTGTGCTTCTAGGGGAAAGGTCGAGGAGGGGAGGTGCTCACCGGGTTGAGGATGACTTCGACGTTGCCCAGGTCCGACGTCTGGATGAGGAGCGTGTGGCCGTGGAGCTGGAGGTAGGACGAGGCGGTAGAGCAAGGGACCAAAATCAGCGGACGTTGGAGAGCAGAGCATGGCAAGACGACGCCCGAGGCCAATGGCCTGCCAGGAGGCCTGGCGAGCTCACCTTTGTGATTTTGCCAATGACGCGGACCGTCTGTCCGCGGTACTGGGGGAGCATGGACGAATTGACGAGGGGGGTTGCCTTTTCCATGGTGTCGATGTCGATGAAGGTGGCTGTGGTAGTGAACGGGTGCGAGTGGGTTTGATGAGTGCCTGCGGTATGTGTGAGCGAGAGAAGTGCGGTGATGGTGGCGAGAAGGTGGTGGCAAGACCAACACTGAGCGCGGGTCCTGCCTGCCTGAGCCTACCTGGCCCAACCTCTGCCGGCCTGCCGCCTGCGAAAATCCGAAGCGGGCGCGTCGCGTTGAGATCAGACGCAGGCGGCCAAAGAGGTGGAGGCCTGCCAGCAGGCCTGCCAGGCAGGCAAGCACGGACCCGCTGGGCCCTGTCCCGGCCTGGCCTGGCAGCCCAAGACTTCGGACTTCGGCTTCGGCTTGCGGGCCAGGCCGTTGCCTCTTCTTCTCTCCGTTTCGCAGCAGCAGCACCACCACCACCACCACCTTTCGCAGCAGGCTTCCTCCGCAATCCCTCTCCTCTCGCTCCCTCGCTCCGTCTCGCACAGGCATAGGCGCAACCATGGCGCTTGCCACCACGTCAATACTGGCACGGCAGCTAAGGTCGCACACTTCAGCACTATACACCCTCTCTGCCGCTGCACGTCCCCGCCCCGATGCGATATGGACCCGGCCGCAGCTTCAACGGCACCAGCTCAGATGGCAACCCATCGGCGGGACAAGATGCAACTCTTCGATGTCCACGGGCGATTCTGACAAGAAGCAGGTGACATCGGAGGAGCAAAAGGGGCAGCAGCAGCAGCAGCTACAACAAGAGCCGGACCAGGCACAGCCATCCTCACCACCAACACCTCCGCAACCGGGACCCAACACCAGCGACGATCATACCGGCAGCAGCACAGCCACGACCGACTCTCCATCGCCACCCTCAGATCATCACGCCTCTTCTTTCGCATCTGGCTCTCACACACCGTCCCAGATATCCGCCAACCTCGCCTCACTCCTCACCACCGCCCGCTCCACGGCGCAGCAACGCATCTCGACGCTGCAGCCGCGCATCAACCGCAAGATCTCGGACCTCAACCAGCGCTGGAACGCCTACACCGGCTTCGAATCCATAAACGCTCTCAAGTCGGCCGTCAGCGACCTCGAGACGTCGCTCGCCGCATCCCGCCGCGACCTGGCCGAGGCAAAGGCGCGCTACCTCTCGGCCGTCTCGACCCGCTCGGCGTCGCAGCGCGCCACAAACGACCTCCTCTCGCGTCGAGCCAGCTGGTCCGAGCAAGACCTCTCTGAGTACACCCGCCTCCTCCGCAGCGAGCACCAGCAGGCAAAGGAGGAGGAGATGGCCGAAAAGAACCTCGACGAGCGAGAGAGGGAGGTCCAGAACCGCTTCGACGACCTCATGAAGGGCGTCATGACGCGCTACCACGAGGAGCAGATCTGGAGCGATCGTGTCAGGAGCGTTAGCACCTACGGCAGCATCGCCGTCGTCGCCCTCAATGGTCGGTAACCTCACTTTTCTTCCTTTGCACGCCCGTCGACCTTGAGGTGGCCACCGATCTGACCTCCTTGTCCCCGCTCGATCTCCTCTCCGTGATCACCGGCCGCCTCCGCCCACAGCCCTCCTCTTTATCCTGGCCATCCTCATCGTCGAGCCTTACAAGCGCAAGAGGCTGGCGCAGACCTTTGAGACGAGGCTGCTGCAGGGCGAGGAGCAGGGACGGCAGATGGTCCAGCAGACGATCCACGCCTTTGACGCCAAGGTCGAGAAGCTCGTCGACCAACTCGCCATCGCCATCAAGGGCGACGACCTCACCCGCGTCGACACCGCACCCGCACCCTCACCGGCGTCTCCGACGACGGTCTCGGCACCACCCGCCATGGTCGAGGAAGACGAGGAAGGGCGCGATGCGGCGTGGAGGATGGAACAGATGGAGACCATCGAGAGGGACGTTGACGACTTCGTCTCGACGCAGCTAGAGGACTCATCGGCGGCGGTCGGAGCGATGACTTCGATCGCAGAGGCGGCTACGAAGCAGCGGCAAGACCAGGAGCGAAAGAGGCAGGCCGAGCTCGTCGTCGCCTCGACGGCGGGCGTCGTGGCCGGCGCGCTCCTCTCCATCGTGCTGGGCGCTTGCTGGACCGGCTAGGCTAGAGCAGCGTGTGGGCCCGTTGGCCGCTACCAGGAATAGAAGGACACGAGCTGCGCGATGCGGTGCGCTTCGAGCAGGAAGAAAGCTGCAAGAAAGGGGAACAATATGTGACTGTGGCTGTGACTGGCGACGCTCATGCTCGAAACAGTGGACGATCGAAAGGTACAGGAAACAGAGGCGAGGATGCGCGAGGATAGCGCCGGCGAGGCGAGGTGAGACGGTACGTGGCTCAGAAGATGACATCCTCGTCCTTGCCGCCGCTCAAGAGGTCCTGCGATCTCTGGCCGTCTTCTGTACCGTCGCCGTCGCCGCTCTTGTTCGCCGCCTCGCCGCCTTCCGCGTCGTCTGCCCCCTGTCGGTCGCGACGCTCGCGATCGGCCGCCTCGGCCTTCTCCTTCTTCTTGGCCTGCACCTTTTTCAGGCGGAAGAATTCCTCGCGGTCCATCTCGTCGAGCTCCGAGATGATGTACTGCCGCAAGAGGGAGGGGGAGGCGGCGGAGCGGAGATGGACGAGGTCAGCAGCCGGCGAGGGGAGGGTGGGGGCAGAGGGGGGACGCGCCGACTCACCGAGATGGTGTTTTCGAGGCGGGGCATGATGACGTGCTCGATGGCGTTGACTCGCCTGTTGGTCATTCGGATGACTTCGTCGAGGATGACGAACGCGGTCTGCAGGGTACAGGCGCATGCGCACGCGCGAGAGGATGCCGGTGTCAGTGGGATGAATGGACGTGCTGGCGGCAGAGAGGGACCACGGCGGACGCACCTGGAGGCTTGCGAGCTCGACGAGGACCTGGAGTGCCTTTGTGTAAGTTTCGCGGGCCTTTGCGACCTGCTGACCGCCCCTCGAGAGGCCGGTGAGGGAGAATTCTGCCGCGCCGCCCTTGTCCTTGACGTCTGCCTCAAAGGCAGGGAGGACGACACCGCTGACGTTCTCTTGCTTTGTCCTGACGCGGAAGCTCGCGCTCTTTACGCTCTCCTGGACAATATAGCCGATGTCGCCGGTGGCGTACTGGACCTCTGCGAGGCTGAAGGAGGCGGCCTGCATGACCTTGCCCATCTTGCGCTTTGCCTCGTCAATCTTTGCGGTGATGGTGCGGAAGCGCTTGGAGAGGGCGTCTGCCTTGCGCTTGAGGAGCGAGTGTCCCGTCTGTGCGCCCTTGAGGCGCAGCTTGGTGTTTCCGAGCGCCATGCGCGTGGGGAAGACGGACTCGCGCTGACCTGCGCTGGCCATGATGGGCGGTGGTGGTGGCGGTGGTGCTGGCGGTGCCGGCGGGGTAGGTGCTGGCGGTGCTGGCGGTGGTGGCGGGGTAGGTGTACGCTAGTTGAGCGAGAGGCAGGATGCGATGTGACGCGGTGCTGTGCTGCGCGGTAGGGGCTGGTTGAACGTGGTGATGATGGAAGGAGGTGATGCTGGGCCAGGCCAGGCCAGGCCAGGCAGCGATGCGAGGGCCTCCGCTTTCCCCTATTCCAGGCCCGCTGGGCCCCCCTCAACACGGACCATGCCCTGCCTGACCTGACCTGACGAAGCTAGCCATCGGGGGCCCTTTCGAGATCGGGATGCGGACGCGCCGCGACCCTCGGGTCGACCTGCAACCTTCCTCCTCCACCTCTTTGGGCCTTGTTGTCGACTTCCCACAACCACCATTCCCCCCTCTCTCCTCCCCCTCTCGCTGACCCGCCGGGCTCGTCGCCGTCGTCGGATGAAAGAGCCATGGACCATGACATCCAATCTCACAGCGACCCATACCAACACAACCACGGCCGACCACCACCAAACCATGCCAATCCCCCGGTCCGCACAACGGGCCCCTTTGCCGCAGGCCAAGACGGTCATCAAGAACACGAAGCCGAAGACGACGACGAAGAGGATGAAGACGAAGACGACGACGAAGAAGAGGGCGATGACGATGCCGATGGCGACGGCGAAAACGACGACGACGATGACGACGACGACGACGAAGACGACGACTCGGCAGACGAGTCCGGAGACGACGGCGCTGACGGCGGCCGTACTCATGATGCAGATGACGACCACCATCCTCATACTGACGGCCATCCACAAGGCCCGAACGGTTCGCGCGCGCAATCGGCTCTAGCAGATCAGCACCACCGCACCTCGTCGCGCCCCGCAGGCCAAGACTACCTCGCAAAGGCCCACGCCCGCCGCCGCCTCTTCCACCCTTCGCCCGAGTGCCTCTCCACCAACGCCTACCAGATCGAACCCATGGCCGCCGCACCCCACGCCTGCCAGGTACACGCTATGGCCCTCAGCCAGGACAGCAACTGCCTCCTCTCCGCCGGCGCAGACGGCTTCATCCGCCGCTACGACCTACACGCGACCATGAACGGCAAGAGCATGCTCACCCAAAACGTCCGCCATGGTTTCGTCGAGGGAATCACCCGGGGAGGGGTCCTCTCGGCCTGGTGGCCCAACCAAGAGGTCCCGCCCAACCGCAGCGACGCCATCGCAGAGCGCGACCGCCCCCTCGGCGTCGTCCACAGCCTCGCATGCCACAGCGACGCACTCTGGGGACTCAGCGGCAGCGAGTCAGGCAACATCCACCTCTGGGGCATCCGCCACGACGTCGGAGAGACCCGCCACGTCTTTCGAAAGCACAAGGGCCCCGTATCCGTACTTGCCCTCGCGAACGACGACACCGAGCTCATCAGCGGCGGCTGGGATCTCGGCGTCCATCAGTGGGACCTCCATACCGGTCAGGTCGTCCGCTCTTATCCGGGCCATGCAGGACAGGTCTCGTCGATCTCGTTTCGACCCGTCGTCCAGCGCAATCCGGCCACAGCCGTCTCGCGCTCGTCTTCGTCTCGAGCAAATACGCCCACCATCTCGATACGGGCCTCGGCCGCGCCTGAGAGCCGCGCCAGCCCCGGTAAGGGGTTAGGACAAGGATCGACCGATCCACCAGCGGCCAAGGATCCGGATGCCATGGATATTGATGGGCCAGAGGATGGCGAGCCGGGCCCAAGTGCAAGCATGCAGCCCGGAGATGGAGCCCAAGACAGCAAGCCAGACGGGTCACGGCCGACCTCGCCGACGGCAAAGCGGCAAGTGTCGCCTCGCTCGCCGGCAAAGGACAGGTCGAAGTTGAAGTCAAAGTCGAGGTCTCCTGCGCCAATACCGGACGGGCCGGGTGGCGGGGGCGCGACGGCCAAAGACGAGGCATCCAGACCCTCGGGCGGCGATGCCGCAGCCGACGAGGAGATGCCCATAGTCAAGACGGAAGCCGGGCTCGAGGGCGAGCCACCAAGCTCCGCAAATGGGCCCGGCACAGACAACACGGCGGCGGCGGCGGCGGCGGTAAAGGAAGCCACAGGGCGAGCACCGTCGCCGACACCATCGCAGAAGCCACCATCGCCGACCGACGGCAAAGACGGAGCCAGCACGTCGAAAGCGGCGGGAGGGGACAAGGCTGAGGACGACCCTACGGAAGAGGAGCTGGCGTTTGAAGCCGAGCTCAACGCCAGCCTCGGATTCGCGCTCGGGGATAAGGCGGGGGACCCGCATTCCATGGACACGGACGCCAAGTCCAAGTTTGAGAGCGCCCAGAGCGACGCGCCCTCTGCCGTCGCGAACTCCGCGGTCGGCAGGCAAGGCGGCGGCGGCGGCGATGACAAGGATGCGGATGCGGATGCGGACGCGGACGATGAGGACCTGTTTGGCGGAGAGACGCCGCCTTCGACAGCCGCGACGGGCGACGGTGCCGGGGCTGGGGCAGGACCAGGACCAGCCGGGTCGACGGCGGACAAGAAGCCGGGCGGTGCCGGCGCTGCGGACAACGACGACGGCATCACCACGCCCAAGGGGTCCAAGGACGATTCCGACGGCGACGACTCGCTGTTCGGCGACGATGGCGACGACGAAGACGACGACGACGGCGGCGGGATGGACGCCGAAGCCGACGCCGACGGCGACGCGGATGCAGACGGCGATGAGGACGCAGAGGGCGACGACGACGACGACGACCAGTCTTCGGACGAGGACATGCCCCTGGCGGGCAGAGCAATGGGTTTTGGCGCCGGCTCGGGCGCAAGCGGCGGCGGGGGCGGTTTCGGCGGCGTGGCGCTACCGGGTCGATCGACCGAGACGCCGGATCCATCGTCGTCGTCCCTCTCGCCGATAAAGACGCCCCTGCTCGGGGCTGGGGTGGCGCTGCCGTCGGGCAGCATGTCTCGCGTCAACAGCCAGCAGCAGCCGGCATCGCTCCCCGGTGCATCCTCGCTCAGCATCCCGGGCTCGTCCAAGGCCAATGGCACCTCGAGCTCCACGACGTCGAAGGCCACACCATCCAACGCGACGCCAAAGGCGCTGCCGAAGCCGGCGTTTGGAGGCTTTTCGGCCCACTCGGGGTTCGACGACGACGTGTCGACATTCAGCAGCGACGTCATGCTCACGTCTTCGCTCGCCGGGCAGGTGCTGCTGTGGGACCGCCGCGTCAAGACGACGACGACGAGCGACGGAGTGGCCAAGGGCGTGCGCGCGCTCGGCCTGCCGGAAAAGACGCCGCCGTGGTGTGCCTCTGCCATCTTCAACGCCGATGGGGACCGGATCTACGTCGGCAGGAGGAACGAGAGCGTCGACGAGTGGGACATGCGCATGCTCCCCGACACCTCCTCGACCGCGGCCGGAGGGGCAGGGATAGCGAATCCGAAATTCTATCGATCGCTCAAGCTGCCCTCCAACAGCGGACCCGTCACCTCTCTCGCGGCCATGCCGAACGGCAAACACATCATCTGGTTCGTCGCCGTGCTCTTTCTTTCCTCCCCTTCGCCTTCGACCCTCATCGGTACTGACCCCTCGCTCGCTCCCTCTCTCTATTTTGCTCTTTGCATCGCGCACAGTGGATCCTACGACAATATCCGGCTATGGAACACATCACCACCACCACCATCATCTAATCTGGAGGAGACGATATTGGGGAGGGTGCCCTTCCGCATCGTGGCGGGACACCACGGTGCCGCCATCTCCCAGATCCTCATTGACCCTACGTGCCGCTTCCTCATCACGGCCAGTGGCGACCGAGGCTGGATGGCAACCAGCTCAGAGGCCGTCATCGTACATGAAATCAAACCTGCTTAGCAAGAGGGGGAGCGCTATCGCCCCTCTCACCATCAGTATCTTTGTTGCACTTTGCCCCCCCCCCCCCCCCCCCTCCCTCTTTCGCGCGTGCGCTCTCGCTCTTGGCTTGTGCAGACGGCTGCGTTGGAGAGAGCGAGACTGTGCGTCTCGACGGTTCGGTATTCGGACCTTCCAGCTAGCCGGCAAGACGTGTTTGGCTGGGTGTTGTCTTCCGCGAACTCGTCCAACTGTCGATCCGATCCGCTCATCTGCCACTGAGCAGCTGCTTGGGGCTTGAGTGACGAAGGCGATGGCGGTCTGCTTGCCGTGCCGTCACATTCTTTTGCTGTCCTTTGGGTATCGCTTACAGGCAACGTGCCGCCAGGGTGGCACGGGAAGTCACGCGGTTTGGACAACCAAGGCTAGTCGATCCTCGGCGCAAATGCCATCTGCCAGCTGGACAGTGGCTGCAAGGGCGGCGCGGACTATAGTCTCGCCCAGGGCCCTTGGCGAGGCTAAATGAGCGGCGACGGAGCGCATCACTCCCCGCCGTGAGGCTGCGAGCTCTGGCCAGGGCTTACGGCGAGCCTGACGCGTCTAAAAATCGAGAGAAAAAACACCGTCGTCCATTACCATATCATCGTAGCAGAGAAAACATGGGGGGGTATAGCTACTACAGCCAAGCTCCTTTACTTGACCTTGGCAAAGATGCGGATGGGCGTACCGTCGCTGAGGACGTCGTCGCGCTCCTCGAGGCGGTAGCGGCCCCATCGGGGCAGGACGTGGAAGACGAGGGCCCAGTAGGCGGCGCCGCCGGCAAAGATGCCCACCGACACGGCGGGCGCCATGGCGTACCACATCGAGTTGTACACCGAGTCGCTCGCCTGCGTCGGCGGGATCCACGGCGCAACGACCAAGAAGAGCGACACGAGCGAGAAAAACAGCGTCACCGGCCACGACGCGCGTAGCGGCGGCGCCCATTGCTTGGCCCAGCCTGGTCGGTAGCGCACCGGGATGTACGCCGAGAGCAGCCCGGTCGCCACAAGAAGATTGATAGCGTTTGCTGGGTATGTGGAGAGATTCAGTACGAAGTCGTAAGCGTCTCCTGCGGGAGGAGCGAGGAGGATGATGAGGGTGACGAGGACGTGCCAGCTGATGCCGGCGAGGGGGGCCTTGCAAGGGCGGTTGCTTGCGAAAAAGCGGCCGAGGGGGATGAGCCCGTCCCGTCCGAGTGCCTGGACGAGGCGGCCCTGGCTGAAGACGACCGAGAAGACATTTGCGATGGCCGAGAGGGCGACGAGGACGTTGAGGGCGCGTTCGCTGGTGCGGCCGAACATGTTGCGGAAAAAGAGGGCGGCGATGACCTGGTTGCTGTCGAGGATCTCTTGGCGGGGCACGGCGGCAAAGTAGGCGATCTGGGTGAGCATGTAGAGCGTGGCGATGACGCCGATGGCGAGCGGACCGGCGATCTTCATGGTGCGGATGGGGCGGTTGACCTCGCCGAGGGCGTAGAAGAGGTTTGAAAAACCTGGCGAAGAGCGAGGGGACGGAGAGGGCAAGTGGAACTCGTCAGCTGGGGTGGAGGGTGGAGGCAGGTAGCCGGGAAGCGGAGCGGCAACGGGCGACAAACGGACTGCTCACCGACATAGGACCACACGGCGTTGTAGATGCACGACACGGTGCCGTAGACGTCGGAGCGGGTACCCGCGAACGCGTCGTCGAAGTTGCGCGGCGTGGGCTGGACCTTTGTGTGTCCGGCGAGGGCGGCGAAGCCGCTAAACGAGATAAAGACGAGGACGACGAGCTTGAGGAGGCCGACGGCGTTCTGGAAGCGGAGGCCCCACTTGAGCAGGGTGCCGTGGACGATGAGGACGACGACGAGGACGGCGGCGCCGATGCCGCGCGCGCCCCACTCGCTCGCGACGCCGCCGGCGGTGAGGAGGTAGCGTCCCGCGACGTACGAGTTGCCCGCGGCCTGGCCGAGCAGCAGGGCCTGGGCGGCGTACATGCTGGCTACGAGGAACTTGGGCTTGCGGTAGATGTGCTGCAGGTAGTTGAGCTCGCCGCCGTTTCGGGGCATGACCGAGGCGAGCTCGGCGTAGACGAGGTAGCCGGCCAGCGCAATGACGGCGCCGATGGCCCAGTAGATGAGGCTCATGCCCACCGAGCCGCTCTGGTCGAGGATCGTCGACGTCGTGGCAAACACACCCGTCCCGACGATGCGGTTGACGATGAGGAACGTGGCCGAGACGAGGCCCAGCTGGCGTCCCTGTGGCAGAGAGCCGCGCTCGTCGTCGCCGGGCGCGTAGCCTTCGGCATCGTGCTGCTGGGCGTCGGGCGCCTTGGACAGCCCTTCGGCCGCAGTCGAGAGCGACTTCTGAGACACCTCAGAGGGCGACTGGGATCGTGACAGTGCGGCAGTCATGGTGAAGTCGTCGGCCAGGGCGAGGCAGGGCGGAGACAATAGGGTGGGCGAGGGGGAGGGGGCTCGGTATGGCTTCGACAACGATGGAACGGCCATCAGATGCGATTCATTAAGTACTCCTCCTCGCTCCGTTCTGATGTGGAGCCTCAGTGTAGGTATACAGGAGGTCATCGTACGGGGAAGCGCGGGGGGAGCATCGTGGTCGCGGTCCGGGGCAGATATGAGTGGACGGTTATGGCGCCATCGAACGAGCGCATCCGCCTTCGACGGCCAACGATGGAACGCCGCCCAAGGCGAGGCAAGGCAAGGCAGGGCAAAGTGGAGCATCCATCAGAGCACGCCACCAGAGCGCCAAGGCCGGTCCTCTCGAAGTCGAGCGACGAGATCAAACCGGGGCGCGGGACCATGGTTGAACCGGACGCGATGATCAGCTCAGGACGACAGGGCGTCCGGCCATTCTCTGACAGAGATCGGTCCGTCTGCATGGCAAGCGACCACCGAGTCTACGGCTTTGCTCTCGCTCGTCGTGCACCTCTCCTCGATGGGCTCTTTGCAGCCGATGATCCTGCTCGAATCGCCTGCAAGGATGGCAAAGCAGACCTGTCTCTTCTTGGCATTCGACAGACGCGCCGCGCCGCCTTGCGGGATGGCGCCATCGCCCAAACCCCTCGGGACCTTCGGAGGTTTTCCTTCACGAATTTTTTTTTCCTTTCGAGGGCGGGCGGTCGGGCGGCGTTTTCGCCGTTTAACCCGACCGACCGTTCAGCCAAGCAAGGGATGAGGACCGAAGCCGACACACCATCACCATCACCATCGCCACGGCGTTCAAGGAGGGCCGAGACGAACGATGACGTGCGATGTGCGCAGTGCAGCGCTACTGCTGTGCGAGCATTCCGAACCGGTCGGTCGGACCGAATGCTACATACAGTAAGCGTCTGGCTCAGGATGAGTCGGGTCGGGTCGGTACATGAATAGCAACGAGGCGCGCGTGCGTGGCACGACGGGACAATGAGGTGATCCTCACCGCTCCTGCTTTGGCCATGCTCCGTTCACCGCGAGGAAAGATCCCGAGTCGGTGTGCCCGCGAAGGTAAGTAGGGATCGTCGCCGCCACGTGGCTTGGTCCAGCTTCGCCCCCGGCGCAGCGGCCACGCGACAAACCCAAAGGCAGGGCAGGGCAGGGCGGGGAGCCCCACGTCCAGACCCCACCTCGAGATCTGCGCCACGTCTTGGCAATGGCGACATCGCGGCTGCTGCCTGGCCATGCGGACCTCTTTGCTCCGTCTCAAAAGGCAGGGATGGCGTCTTCACCACGCCAGTCGGAAGATCGCGTAGAAGTACAACATATCCGCGGCAGCGGGGCAGGACGGGAACAAAGAAGTGGTATCATACACAGCGGCGCCCGAGGACGGAAGGCGAAGGCGGGTCGGGTAGGGGCACGCGAAGAAGAAGGAGGCGAGCGCGCCACGCGGCAATCTAGACCTGCAGCGATGTCGCATCCTCGAACCGGTCCAGGTCGAGCGTGTTGGTGAGCGTGCTGATGTACACGGCTGGCGAGCCAGGGAAAACGGTAGCGGTGAACAGACCGGCGAGGGGATGGGGTCAGCTTGAGCCAGCACATCGCGACCCGAGTGGGGTTCTACTCACTGACGGCCTTTTCGATCGACTCTTTCTGCCGGTGCATCCTCGAGCAGTAGTCGTCGTACATGAGGCGCAGCTCGTTGATCTGTCCAGACGGGCAGGTGGGAGTAGGACCGGTAAGCCGCCCGCTCGCTCTCGCCTGGCTGCGCGCGCGGATCTGCTCACCTTGTCTTCGATCTGGTCACCCTCGTTGAGCCGGATGTCTGCGAGGGCCAGTCGCTCCTGCTTGACGGCCTTGATCTTTTCGAGCTCCTCGGACAGCGCCTCCATCTTCTGGGCGTGGATCTCCATCTTGCCGTCGAGCAGCTTCTTCGACCGCTCGATCTTCTCAATGGCCAGCGTCACCTTGCGCGTCGTCTGCTGCAGCTGGTGCTCGAGCTGCTCAGACTCGTGGTTGCGCGTCTCGCACAGCGCTGCCGTGTCTTCAAAGTCGCGCTCCTCGCCCGACGTCCGCAGCAGCTCGGCGTTGACCTGCTCCATGGCCACCAGGCACGCCTCGAGGTCCTGTGCAGTCGCCAAGGGAGGGACAGGAGGTCCCGGCAAGCAGCGTCAGTCACATCTTTCCGGCTCGGCCAGCCCAACCGTCGCTCGCCGCCGACTCACCGCATCGAGGTTGTTGAGCACCTCGAGCCTCTCTTCGTAGTCGCGCGCCTTTTTCTCGCTCTCCGAGAGGCTGAGCGTGTCCTGGTTGACCTTTTCGACGAGCTCGGTGACGGTGCTCTTCATCTTTTTCGGGCTGGACACGACGCGGGCCTTGAGGTAGGTGAGCTTCTCCGTCAGCCGCAGCTTCTCCTCAAACAGGCCCTGCTGCTTGGCCACCAGCTGCTCTCGGTCCGACTTGTGGACGTCGATTTCGTTGATGAGCCGGTCCTGCAGCCTGCGTGCCTGCATGAGCTTCTCAGTCACCTGGGCGTTGGTCGCCTTGAGCGCCTGCACCTTTGGCTCGTCAATCTCGCGTTGCCGCCTGTGCGAGGTCGTCAAAGGACGGGGGAGCAGCGTCAGCCTTCCGGTCGAAGATGGCGGCACACTCACGAGAGGCCCCAACCCAGCGGCGTACTCACTTGATCCGGTCGAGCTCTGAGCGGTTCTGATCAATATCATCCTCGAGCTCGTTGCGCCTGGTTTCGAGGTCCTCGGAATTTGTGATGAGCTCCTCGAACTCTGCGATGCGGTCAGAGCGGAAGCGGTAAAAGTTGACGAGGGCCGACATCTGGCGCTTGAAGCGCTTGGGGTTGGGCCGTGTCATATCCTGGAGGTGGAAGTCGGTGATGGTGGCCGCCGCCATCATCTCGCGGCTATGAGCGGGTCGGCGGTGGGGACGAGGGCAAGGGAGAAAAGCTGTCAGTGTCAGCGAGGATGCCGGCATACGCAGAGGACGAGCGGACGACGTACACTTCGCGGAAGAGCATAAGGAATTGGAGGCCATCCTCGTACATCTCCTGTGCGAGCCGGGCGGGCAGGGACAGGGAGAGGAAGAGGGCACAAGCGGAAGTCAGCAATGTACGGGTGAAAGGGTCGACTGTCGAGGAGGACCGCGCGGACGCACCTTGTACTCTGTCTGAGCGAGGGTCGACTGCCTTGTCCTCTCCATGAGTTCCTGGTTTGTGCCGCTTAGGCACTCGAGGAAGGCGACAAAGACGCGGTGGGCGACGTGGCCCTGTGGCTTGACGATGTCCTCTGCGCCGATGAGGAGGCCCATTTCGTTGAGGACGGCGACGAGCTCCTCGGTCTTGACGGCGGGGAAGGACGAGTAGTTGTCGCCGCCATTAGCGCCACCGCCGTTTGCGCCTGCGCCCGCCGAGGAGGACGCCATGGATGAGCTGGGTGGTGGCATGAAGCGGCGTGGTCCGAGGGAGGGAGGGTGGTTGCTGCCTTGGTCGGTGGGCCAACCGGCGTGGAGTGCAGGGTGCGGAGAGTGTGTGTTCGGATCGAGTGCGGTGTGTGGCAAATGGGGATGCTGCGATGCAAGGTGGTTGGCAGTTGCAGGGATGTCGAAGAAGGCGATGGTGGTGGTGGTGGTGGTGGTGGTGGAAGAGAAGCAGCGGCAGCCTCCGAGGGCAGCTTGGCGTGGGCGTGGCGTGGCGTGGCGTGTGGGTGTGTTGGTCTTTTTGGCGCGCGCGCGTCGGGCTGTTGGTCTGGCTGCCCGCCTTTTGCCTCTGCAAATTTCCGGGGAGGGTGGGCGCACGTGACACTGCCACAACCTGCCAGCCTGCCCGGTGCTCTCCTGCCCTCCTCCCGGCCTCCTTCCACACCGTCACCTTCGCCCCTCGCCCTCTTCGATGCGGACCCGCCGCAGAGCAGCGAACGTCAACACCACTGCCACAGACGACAACGACGACGACGACACCAGCACACATGCAATCGACGATGGCGGTCAAGGATCCCAGGATGAGCAGCCGCTCTCCTTCAACCAAGCCGCTGGCGTCAATCGACCCGCCCACATGACAAAGCACCTCTCGACGCTCGTCTATCACTTTCCTTCCCTCCGTAAGTCATCGTCGCCACGAAGTCATGGCCGCGGACGTACTGTATTCTCGCATGGTCCACTCACGCATCCCTGCTGCGTCCTGTCGCAACAGACACGAGCTTCGACCTCGCACAGACCGACACGTCAAACTCGACTGGCTCGTCGCTCTGGCTCTCGTCCCAGGTGCTCGCTTCCCACCTCATCTCCCTCTCTTTTCGTCACAGCGGTACGATAGCTGCGGCTCAGCAAGATCAACAGGGACGGGACGGACGACGAGGGCGGCGCACCGCAATCGAGCTGGGATCGGGCACCGGCCTCCTCTCGCTGCTGCTGGCCCGACTCGGATGGCACGTCATCGCCACCGACATCCAGCCCGTCCTCTCCACCGTCCTGCGTCGCAACACTCGGACGGCTCGCTTCCTGCCCGCCATGGCAACGTCCGGTGGCAAGCTCGAGGTGCGCCAACTCGACTGGACGTGCCCCCCGCACGACTGGGATTGGTCAAGGCGCGGCAACATCGCCGGGCCCCCGAACCACGGCGGTGGCGGCGTCGATCAATATCAAGATCAACATCTCGACGACGAAGACGACTATGCTGATGTCACACGCACCCTCCGGGCCACCGAAGGCACCACGCCCGATTTCGACCTGATCCTAACAGCCGACACCGTCTACGAGCCCAGCCTGGTGCGACCCCTCATCCGCGCCCTCTCGCACCTCTACCGCTCCCACTCGGCCTTCGACCGCCCCCATACTCACGAGCAGCAGGAACACGGCCGCCGCGCCACAAGAAGCCCGAGCAGACCGCACATCCTGCTCGCCCTTGAACGCCGAGACGGCGCGACCATCGACGCGGCCCTCGCCGTGGCGCGCGACGAGTTTGGCCTCGACTTCCAGCGCATCCCGCACCGCAAAGTCAAAAAGACGTTTGACAGCCATGGAGATGGTCGGTCCTGGCGCAGGGACGACTGGCTGGGCGTCGAAATATGGCAGCTGTGAGGCGCCAATGACGACATGAACCGGCACGAACGAGGCCGACAAATCGGTGGTTGACGATGAGCGAGGTCGACGGGTGGAAGAGGACGTGTAGAATACAGCTCGCGTCGCCAATGACGAGTGTCGAGGTGAGAGGCTCGAAGTGACACCGACCCATCTGGTCTAGCCCTCGAGAATCTCCTTGAACTCGCCCGTCTCGATCTGCTCCTTGAGGATGTCGAGCCCACCAATCAGCTCGCCCTTGACAATGATCTGCGGGAACGTGGGCCAGTCGTTGAGCTTCTTGAGACCTGCAGAGGGTCGGAACGGCATGGCGAGGGAATGCGAGGTGGTCAGTGTGGCGCTTCTATGTCGCTTTGTTCCAGTCGAGGCTCGAGCCCGGGCCCAGCCACGTCTGGAATGCAATGCAACGGAGCGCAACCCACCTTGCCTGACGTTCTCGTCCTTGAGGATGTCGTAGTGCCCGAACTTGACATTCTCCTGCCTGAGGAGGTTGACCGTCTTCTGGCTGAAGCCGCAGCGCGGCGTATCCGGGTCGCCCTTCATGAAGAGCATGACGTCCTCCTTCTCCATGAGCTTCTTGCACCGCTCAAAGATTTCCTCGTCCGTCTCCTGCCTCAGCTCCTCTTCCTCATCGTCGTCAGCGACTGCAGCACCGCCGTTGGAGCCGGCAGCGGCGACGTAGACGTCGGAGGCGGCGCGGGGTGCGGCCGAGGTGCGTGAGAGGGACTGGTGCCCGCCAGCTCGGGTCGGGGCGGCGTGCGAGGCGACGGCTGCCGAGAGCGCAGAGGCGTTGGCGCCCGAGATGCGCGAGAGGAGCGTGTGGCCGCGGAGCAGGACGAAAGAGGGGACCGCCTCGACGTCAAAAGACTCGGAGACGTCTGGGAGGGCCTCTGCCTCGATCTGTAGTAGTGCGGCAGGGCAAGAGGAACGAGGACAGGGCGGGTGTTGGATCAGCAGGGGGCTCCTCGGAGTTAAGGCACGGCGGGCCGATCCGGAGGGGCCATTTCGGAACCTGCCAGAACAGCGTTGCTTCGACAGTGGCGAAGACACCGAGCACTCACGACAAGGCAGAGGACCTGCGGGTACTTGAGGGCGAGCTCCTTGACAACGTCGTTCATCTGCTTGCAGGGCTCGGCCCAGGGCGCCCAGAAGTTGAGGAGCGAGACGCGGGTGAGGTCGGCCTGCATGAGCTCGGTAAAGTGCTCGGGCGAAGTGACTTCGACGAGGTTCGAGGGAGCTGCGTTCGCCGCGGCAGAAGAGGACGAGGCGGCGTCCGGGACCAGGACGGCCGACTCGCCCGTCGAGGAGGTGGCGAGCGACATGGTGGGAGCTGTCGAGTGTCGTGCGAAGGTGGTAACGATGCGGCGCGGGTTCCGGCGGTGCGCTGTGCAGGTGGGGACGTGATATCGGTCGATGTGTGATGCTGTGGCGGCGATGTGCAAGACGGTTGCGGCGTGGTGGTCGTCGAGGAGAGAGTCTAGCTCAGCAGCCAGACGGAAAGAAGCGTCTGGCAGGCCACGCAGGCGATGTGGAGTCAGCCAGCCAGCCAGCCAGGCCCAGCCAGCCCGGCCTGCTTGCGAAGGATGGCGCAAGCCGCCCCGCCTGAACAAAATGCTCAACCCTGATTGGTCGGACCCGAGAGGCGCCGCCCTATCAGATTCTTAGATTCTAGATTGCATCACGCACGGGTCGGACCGCTCGCGAGCGGGCTCGCCACATCCAGGCATCCTCGTCGTTCTCAATGCAAGGGGAGAGAACTACGCCTGACACGGCTCCTGCCAAACCACCAGCCACACACAGCCTCTCGTCCGCGCTCATAGGCCGACACGCCGGCCGCGGCGCGGTGTGGCGGCGCCCGGCTGGGCGATCTGGGGCACCGAGGCGATGGCGTCGACGGTGGACCTGGCGCTCGTTGCCGGCCTCCCGTGCCGACAGTCGCGGTACCAG